CCAAGAGTAATAAACGATTTATCTAAGCTAGGGGGACCTTTAAAAGTTGATATTTATGGTATTATGTACTACTGTAGATAATAAATCTAATAAAGTGTTAAATAATGAAGTGGTTAAAGGTTTGCCAAGTACATATTAGTCAACAAGATATGGTGGGCTGTCAATGTAAAGGTTAGGTCATATATAAGGTTAGCTCATTTAGGTCTTAAGGACAGACCACAAAAGATTAAGTCCAGTATATTTCTATCATTAAATACAACAAAAGCCAAATAAATATATATATATAATAATAAAGTCAAAGTTCAAAACTAAATTACTTTTCTGTCCATATTTAAAGAGGCATTAGCACTTTCAACAAGGAAATAAATGTAATTACCGGTAATTTCATAGATCATATTTAATAGACTTAGATCAAAGCATTTGTCACAAGTGCCTAGTTACTACAACTTGAAAACTGCGATATATCTCTTACTAATGGACATATACAGTAGTTCAGCCAATGACAGCTATTCTTTTATAAAGCAGTCATTTTGAGCTAATTAAAAAAAAAAAAGTTATAGATCAACACTTGGTACAAGTAATAACTGCATGTCCCCTCTTTCAAATGGTATAGACAATGAATTATTTTTACTTATACATCTACACATTCATCTGAATATCAAACATTACAAATGTGGCTAATTCTGGAATTCAGAGCTATGGCATAATAACAACATTAACCCAATCAGGGGGCAAGTCCATGCCTTTACCCTTACTTCATTCTACATGTATATATGGCCTAGTTAAAAATAAGGAAACAAATTGTGTAAGTGATTAGTCATATATGGATCACCAGTAGGCCTACATGTGTACATGAACATGTATGTCAATATCTATTTAAGATCAGCAATAAACAGATCACCTATAATCACGCAATAATAAATGATCAATAATGTAATATGAATAGTCATATTGCTGTTACTCAATCTAATTAATTAATAAATGGTTACTGATATGGATGATAAAATCTATATAAATGTTACGTACATGATTTACATGATGTGATTTCAAACAATCATATAATTAATTTAGTAGGTAGATTATGTAAAGCTAAATAATTTGTTGTCATATCAGCCTTTAAAAAGTTTAAATCTAACTATCAATTTAGAAATAATTTGTTGATGTATGATTGTATCAGCCTTTGAGCATTCCCATTAATTTAGTTATATGCAGTCCTCTTGAATTACTACCTCTCTTTAACTTTGCTCACTATAAACAAATGTCATTTTAATTACCAAATGAATTTAAAAATCTATGTTTTCAAATGTTATTTTAAAAAATCTGATAGTTTGTAGGAAAAAGGTAGCTGTAGGTGGCTACAATTTTTTTTTTATTCAATGCAAAGATTGGACATAATAATTGTTTTATGAATTAATAATACATCACTACTTTAATTATCATATGTATGTCCTGTGTTTCACATATTGGCAGGAGGCGATGGAATAGAAGTGAGTTCACCATCAAATCAATGTGTTACTACATTATGAAACTGACATCGTTAATTTTATTTACTATAATTCTCCAACAAGTCTTTTTCAAATTCTCATTGTCAAGGAAACTTTTATGTGCACATTTGCAAACGGAATGACATGACATGCTTTCTTTCATTGTCAATTCCACAAGTGCTGACTTTGACAGGGAAAGATTCTGCTTGAACCATGGTGGGATTCAAAGCTCATCTCAGACATTTTACCGGTAGTTGGGAGTTCAATGGCTCCACCACCTTATATGCTATTGATTGCAGCACGACACTCAAGATTTAAATTAGCCTACCAGTCCTTGATACCGGTACTCATATTGTATATAAAATGCATGGCACCAATACCCTGGTATATGTACATGTATGTTTTATAAAACATGTGCGTTTCATTGTAAGTTATTAATTTAAATAGAAGTCTCGGTCTATATCCTTACCAAAATAGACCATTCAGTTGAATGGAAGAGTTAAATGCTTCAGTAACCTTCCATGCATCTGCTATTAATTTCAGATTTTGTTGAGACTTTCTTTTTGTCAATCTTGACAATGACTATTATTAGAATATGTTAGTACCAAACCACTGCACCATACTATACAACCAACTAGTAACCCACAAAACAAACACATAGACAGCAAGATACAAAGATAGGTTGCCAGCCCACAAAACATAAGCCCACAGCAGCTAAATCGTCCGAGCGGTCGACAAGGGTTGTCGTATATTTATTTTTTTGTATGTAATTAGGGGCATTTAATATACAATTTCATACAGATGACATTATAATTTTCGTTGTTTGAGGGTTCACAAGGGTCTAAAAACTAAAACTGGGGCAGTAACTCGGTGCAATAAGGTGAAACAAGGGCCATAACTCCAGAAGAAATTAACGGAAGTTATTGAAATTAAATAAGCTTCTTCATCTCACTAATGCAAACAACATGTATCAATTTCAAAACAATCAGATGATAAATGTAGTCTTTAGTGTGTTCCCAAGAAATTGTGGACAATGGACGGACTGACAGGGGCGACGGCAATATACAACGACATTTCCATGTGGGCGTATAAAAAATGTGAGAGAACATAAACTAAATCATTTTGAGACTAAATGTAGTCTCTTTTTGTCTATACAGTGGTTTGCAAGACGCTTTGTGGTATTAGAAGTGGAAGGCACTGGCAAAAAACCATGCAGGCGATGCTACATGTACATGTACCACTTATCATGTAGACCTTATGATCTAAAGAGCATGCGTTATACTAGTCTTACAGAGGGGTGATGGTTAAGTGGTCCAATGCATGGGCTTTAGATCACAAGGTCTATCAAGTGGCCTGGTTTGTGACAAGGAGTAGTGTCGACTGCTAGGTTTTCTCTGGGTCCCCCGGATTTCTCTTTAACTGCTAACAACATTTTATTCTGTCTCCCTCTCTTTACATAATAGAGTATCATAAAAAATATGTGTGACAAATGTGTAACCGGAAATTTTTTATTGACTCATAGGATTTGGTAATCCAAACTTGTATAATTTTCCTGTCTGTGCATTAATATATTAAGAAGCTGCATTTTTTTTTGTAGTAGTCAATCAGATTAAAACAATCTGATTGCAATCATTCTCCATTTAAAGGAGCTAAGTCGCTAATATTTGGGACCTAGAAATTGACACAAATGGGTCGCAACGCATACAATAATTTAATATGAATGTATATAGATTGATTTACATTCAATTGTTTCTGTTTTTACTGTAATTTCTAATCAGTTAGGTTCGGCGACATACGCCAGTATTCTCAATCGAATTTCAATCTCAAGCTTCTGGTTATTCCAGTCTACACCGATAGTATTTATTGGGCATGCTCTACAGATAAGAATATAGTGTCACTGTTTGACATGACTTGTGGAATATACCTAGCCTCGTTTATCGAGTTCCTTATTACAAAAAGCGCTGAAACGCATTATGGTACACGATTCGTGTACCAATTGTAAAATGTTTATTTTGTCTTAAATATTGGTTATCAGAAGGCCATCTTTTCCCGGTGAGATTACAATACCAATGTTGATTACAATTGACAAATAAATTGTGTTTTCAATGTCGAAGATTTTGGATGATATTGAGTTAGAGACTTAGCTACTTTAATGTTACATATTATAAATTAAAGGGGCATTAGGTAAGATTAAATAAAGAGCTGACAGTTCTCACTATAATAGTTAAAAAAATAGATAATGAGAACAAAATGTGCTGAAAATTTCAGTCAAATTGCTTCACTATGAACCGAGACATTAGTCATTGAATTTTAGACTAGTTTCGATCCTCATTTCATTACTGACATTGGTATGATAACAAACAAAGTCTTGATTATCCATTTTTACGTTAAACTATCTATCAGAAAATGTATTCAAATGAGGTAAATATCACAGGTTAACGATGGCATCGAGAGTTGATTGTGGTCTGGATAAGTTAATTAATGTCCTATTAATAATTTAGATAACATTTCAGGCCCAAAGAAAGACTGCAATAGGCAGACTTAGCTCTTGCATAATGCATGTTAAAAGAAGTTGCAAGATTTAACAAGGATTATATTTGGTAAAGAAAAATATTCAACAGAGGATTTTGTGCTAAATGTAACTTGTTTAAAAAATATGTCAACTGTGATCTTTTCATCAACAGGAAGAATTTGAGATTCTTTTATAACTGCTCACCTCAAATGTTTCCGCAGATAATCTTACTCAAGCTTACGATCTCAAAGGTGTGGTAATGAGGAAATTTCTGTAATAGGGGAAGCGAGGGGTATATGAATATTCACTGTTGAATAAGTTTCTGATAATATGAAAAGGTTGTCACTATGACATTATGTTCATACTGTACCGAGTAGATATGCAACCATCTCCTAATTACAAGTTAACTTTGCATACCATATACATGCATGCTGTATAGCAGGCGCTAAAATGTCAAATTCTTGTGTGACAGTATCAGAAGTTTCTACTCCCTTTTATTCTGCCATATCATTCATTCATTGTGTTCTTTACAAGCAACATCTGTCTAACTTTAAGTTTTTCACATTGAGACACCATGGCAATTAAACAATTTTCAATTTAGAATCTCATTACAATGAATACAATAGATAACAGCCCAATGGAATCAACCCCAGGCTATCTGCTGATTATCGTCTTACTCTTTATCGTGTCCCTTTAAATCAACGTTTTAATGAGGTTTTGTTGAGATTTTTATTGCATCTTATCTGAAACAGATGTTTTCAATAAATTTATTCTCCAGTCGTCAGTGAAGACTGTTCTATTTTTGTTCACATTGGGGAGATGTAATTTGTAAACACCATGTTCAACCAATAATCCGTTAGTCGATTGTCAACAAAGGCATCATGCCCAATCACATCCCTGACAGCACATCTGCACTCGGTGAGATTCCAACACAGCCGATTTACATTGAAATGTCAATCACTGAAATGCATTTCGAAACACTTTTGTTATTCTATGCTACTCACCTGTCTTCGTTCAAAATTTTCACGCTCGACCTCAAGGGAACTTTTCCCTCTCTGACTAACCACTCGTGGTAAATGCAGCGATGACATTTTAGACGAAACTAACGGTTCTTAAACTTGGTGGCTAAGTTCTATTGACATTTTAGTGCCTTCGGAACAAGTGCGATATGCAACTCCCTCTGTCGGAGAACTGTCTAAGGGAGGTAACCACTGCATTTAATACACAGTAAAAATTTAATAACCCCTGTAACGCATTTCATTATGATCTAATAAATGATGTTTACATTCAATTATAAACACGTAAAATATTTACGGACATCTAATTGAAACGAACAAAAAAATGTTAAAAGAAAAAAAGCTAGAGAAAATATACATGGTAACTCCCCTTTCCTTCCGCCTTTTGTGAGTCAGTGCGGCCGAATTCCAAGCTCAATTGTTAAGTAAATAGTGGTTCATGACCCCCTATCCATGACACAGCGTGTAAAAAATGTACAAATATACAGATTTAGACGTCAGTTGCCAGTTGTTAATAATCAAGTGACAAACAATATTGAAACAGTAGGCAATATATTTTAACTAAATGGAGAATTGTGGTAATTAGACTTTATGCGGATGTAATATAAAATTATTCTGTACTTCACTAGAATTATAGTAAACGACTTGTAAAATTCACTGTCAAATAATAGTAAATAAAAAAACACTACATTTTACAACTAAAAACTAAGCTCAGGCTGCTATATATCTTGTGAAGACAATTTCTGTCTCGGATTATAATACCTTCATCTTGTCCATCTTTCAATCTTGGAGGCCTAAACATTATTCAAAGAACTATAGATATTGCGGATATGCGGATACGCGTGTGCGGGATATGACATTTGCAAATTAATAGGTATGCCCATATAGAAACAAGGACACGATCTACAAAATTTTGAAACAAAACGCAGAAGAAATTTAATTGAAACCCGTAAACTGAAATGTAGGGGAGGATGCAGAATAATTGGTATGAGCGCGCGCGTGTGTGTGGAGGGGGGGGGGGGGGGGCTTTGGTCCTCCGAGAACATTTTGAAGGATTTATGTGTCAATTTCGATTTGTGGCGCATATCTGGACCCGAATATAACCTTCATTTCATCAGCTACATCATCTCCACAGGCACTTGATGGGATTAAAATAAAACTTCTTACTACTGCTTGACTATATTACAAGAATAACTTGTAATATATCGCCAAGCAGTAGTAACCAAATTTACACTTAGAAACAGAATAAGTGAATTGTTTGTATTATATACTGTCATTAGAAGGAGGAGGGGTGGGGCTAGGACTCCCCCCTGGATCCGCCACTGGCAAGATGGACCTGTGTGGAAGTTATAAACTCTGTACATTTTATAAGGAAATTCGGTTGATGTAGCTAATTGAAGAATTTGTTTATGATTTGTGTTTTGTTGCCTGTCTACTTTAAATGACTAATCAGGGGGGGATCCAGGAATTTTTGCAGGAGGTGTTTTGCTATGTTCCTTAGACAATGCTTCTTTTTTTTTTGGGGGGGGGGGGGGTCTCTCCCCCCGGCTTTGATAATTTTGAGAAATACATAGTCTGTTTCTTCATTTTGACTTATATTTGGAGTAACCAAATGTCACTTTGACAAAACTCAGAAACTGCGATTTTACATAAATAAAAACGTTAATTTTTATTATGAATACATACGATCACATTGTGATTCAATTTCATTGATATCACATATGTCTATATCATTATCTCGCGCTTTGGATGTCCATCCCATCCCACCGTCTGATGATAAAGGATAAAGCACAGATGGCATCGAGGGTTGATTATGGTCTTGTCATGTTAATAAATGTCTAAGTTTAACAAAATAAATAAATTCACTGATGATTAAATCCAAAACTATTTGTTCACATACGCATGACGTCATTGGTATTTGTATCGGCGTGGCTCGATAAATGTTATCAATTTTTTTTATTGTTATTATAGCCTAGCCTATTCAAGATTTAACTTAAAAGGAACCTATTTTTAAGTAAGAAATGGGGTGTTGGTTAGTTTAATTGTCTGTTATACCACCATTAAATTCTCTGGTTGCAAGTAAAGTAAGACTATAATAACAAACTTTTTTCTATAGCCATGTGTTCAATCCTAGGGAGGCGAATTTTGCCCTGACAGCGGCCTTTTAGCCATCTGTAGGCCCACGTCGGGATTCGATCCCGAAACATTCTAGTTGACTATCGCGGTCCCTGCCTTTACACGTCGACGTATAAAGCAGATTAATCCAGTTCCAGTTTGATGTAGGTTGTTAAAAATCAATTTGCTAATAAGAAATCTGTAAGAAAATAGACAGCCTATCAAGAATACAACATCACCTGACCAAGACAAACATAAACAGAGCAACATGAAAAAGTAACCGCTAAAATACGAAACAAACGATTTTAAGGCCATTTCTCCGCAGTGACGCATGGGACGATAAAGTGTTATTTTTGGCGGGAAAAATATGGACGAGCAGAATTCTTAATGGCAACATCCATGGGCGTAAAACATATTTCTTCAATTCTCAACCTATATGGTCCAGTTCGTCAAAAAAAATTGCCTATTATTTATACAAAGAAAATCTTTAAAAAAATAGAAATGAAATATGGTTTAACTCCTGCTAATGAAAGTGGACATATACGACATGCATGCGGTATGCTATGATACTGTCAACTTCTATTTCAAATTCCACGGCGTACTCTTAATTCATCTGTCAAAGGTCCTTTTCAAATTAACTGGTTTCACTTGACAGAACGATTTTAAATCTGAAATAATGGATAATTCCATTCATGTGTGCTGTTAGGATCGAGCTTGTTGCTAACAGGTGTATTGTAAGAGTAAGGGCTTGTCGCTATCGATGTACTGTTTGGGTGAGAGTTTGTCACTAAGAACCAGGTGTACCTTTGTCTTGGCTAATTGTTGCCAAGAGCTAGGTGTACTAGTAAGTGTAAGGACTTGTTGCTAAGAACTAGTTATACTGCTATGGCAAGCCGTTGTTGCTAAGAGCAAGGTGCATGTTCATGTAAGCTTGTGGCTAAGACCTAGAGCTTGTTGCTAAGAGCTAGGTGACCTGTTCTGGTAAGCAGTTATCGCTAAGAGCTATATGTAGACTACTGTAGAGTAATGCCTTGATGCCAAGAGTTAGATATGCTGTTAGGTTATGGCTTGATCATAAGAGCTCGGTGTACTGTTAGGGTACGGGCTTGTTGCCAGAGTTAGGTGTCAATGTTATCTTATGGTCTTACCACTAATATCTAGGTTTACTGTTAGGGGAAGAGCTTGTTGCTAAGAGCTAGGTATAGATTTTGGGTAAGGAGTTGTTCCTAAGAGCTAGGTGTCCTGTTCACGCAAGGGCTTATTACTAACAGTTAGGTGTATTGTTAGAATAAAGGCTTGTCGGTAGAGAAGGTGTATTGTTAGGGTTTGGGTTTGTCATTAAAAGCTAAGAACTTGGTGTACTTTTAGCTTCAAGGCTTTGGAGACTCTGTGCTCACAAATATATATCGAAAGGCTTTAACATTAACTGAATTTTATTTTTAATAGCATCTGCGTAAAGAAAAAAATAAAACAATTTCTTTTTAAAAAGAGCCAGATGTATCTATTAAAAGAAATATTTTATTCTCCTATTCAATAACATTTACGTAACAAAATCTATCACAACTAATAGTTCTCCCCTTCAAATATAACATTTACTTGTTTATTGTACAACTAAAGAGGATAGTCATTATCTTGAAGAACAAACAATGAAGTTCCAGTTATATCAGCTGTCACTCAACAAAAGTTTGGGTACACAGCTTACACATTGAAATCTTTTGCCATGCTTGATAATGGGAGATAATTCATTTTGATAATATTCTGAAAGACATGATTTGTTATATCTTTATGCCAGTTAAAGAAGTATTATGTAAGATTTAGATAAAGAGATGGTCGTTCTTGCTATAATAGTTTAAAAATAGATAATGCAAAATGAATATATTGAACATTTCATTCAAATTACTTTATTCTGAGCGAAGATATTAGCCTTAGAAGGTTTGACAAGATGTGTGTACTAATTGTAACCACCGTACTGATCATTCAAGTCTTAGCCTTGCTTCACTGTTTTTACATTAAATCATTCAATGGCTGAACAGCTCTAATATAGTTAAAAACGGATGCATTCGTTGTCATTAAGAATTGATTATGTTAATAAATGTCTAATTAATAATTTATATAATATTTAAGGCCTAAAGAAATACCTACAATAGGCACATTTAAGTCTGAATAAAATGACAGTGTTCGTCCATTACCAGTATATCTTATACTGTATAGAGATAAATAATTATATCAAACATTCTAAAAACATGATTGTGGTTATTTCTGAAGAGAAAATCAAGCTTTTCAAACATTTTTCAATCTACATGTAATAAAATGAATGTCCGATAAAAGTCATGATTTATTTTATTACTATCACATATCTGTTGTTCTACAACAACAATAAAGTTTTAATTGCCATATCTGATCATTAACAAGAGTTAAAATACAGATGTGACGTCACCCTTTGATGTTGGCATACCATTATTTCAAATAATTGTACGGGCAACTTGCCAATCGTACATTATTTATACTAGTGAAATATTGGACTCACATATTTCACAGTAAAAGCATGTGCAGAGTGTCTGTATTTTAAGTCGTTTAATGGTCTTGAGCTTAAGACATTGCGTAATATATTGTAAAAACACTCGGGCCTCACGGCCCCCTTGTTGTTACAATATATTACTTAATGTCTCGCTCTCGACCATTAAACAATACAGAGAGAGAGAAATCGGGTTTAATGTCCACTCGACACAAACTAGGTCATTTTGGGACTGACATATGGTTCAATTTTATTTCAATAATTCAATAGGGGTCTTTTAGCAGTAGGAGGAAACCAGAAGACCCGGAGAAAACCCACAAGGTTGGACAGGCGACCCTACTCCTTGTCACGTACAACCAGGGAATCTGATGTTGTTTCCTTTTATCACATTAATACTATGCATACAGATCTTCTGATATTTTATCTTGTTCGTAAAGAATATCCTGAAAGAAAAAAAAACAACAAAATATTAACAGGTATAGCTGACTTCAAAACACAGGCATACTTGGAGCCTGTTTCACAAAGTATGCAAATAATTTACTAATCAATACAGATAAGTTTTTAATAGACATGAATAGTAAAATTACATGTCCCTCTACATAAACCGTAATTTCCAGGCAATACAAAAAGTTGGAAAATAAAGAGAAAGAGAGAGAAATGGGGTTTAACATTAAGTCATTTCGGGACTAACGTTTGGTTCAATTTTATTTCAACAATTTGCAGTGGGAGGAAACCGGAGGACCTGGAGAAACCCACGAGGTTAGACAGGCGACCATACTCTTGTCACATTCAAGCGGGCAATCGAAACTATGCCACTTGACTCAATGTTAGCCCTTCTGATCCAACGCACACAAGTTAACCATTCGGCCACCCAAACCCCCGGAAAAGAAACACAATCAACTCTGATCAAGAAATGACAGTGTTACTCACTTCGATTCGGACTTTTTTTCTTTAGTGAAAGTCTGGATGTTGTTCCATCACCTCTCGGTGTTAATGATCTAAATATACAAATACATGAAATTGTACAATATGAAACAAATCTGTTTTTTTTACAATCTAGTTATTGTTGACCATTATTGGGTTCTGGTTCTTAATTTGGATTGGCACTATACAAAGATCTAACTACTTCTTTATCAATTCTCACTGTGCATCAAAGTCTAATTTTAGGCACTATGATAGGTTCATGAGTCATGAAAAATAGCGAGGTTCACCTATTTTTATTACGTACAGGATTTGAATATTTTGTTGACATGTGATTTTTAATTGTGGTATGAATTAAATACCATATGGGAATTAAATATGAAAAATAGCGAGGTTCACCTATTTTTATTACGTACGGGATTTGAATATTTTGTTGACATGTGATTTTTAATTGTGGTATGAATTCTTCTGCTTCAATAACAATAAGAGTTCAGCCCCTTTATTTTCGGTAAAATGTCTGACAAGAAATATTTTGATATCCCATCACTGTTCATGACTGGATGAAAGGTGAGGTTAGGTCAACTGAACAACTGTTTTAAAATAGTAGTTAGGTCCTTACAGTAGTGTGAAAGTAAATAACATAAAAACTTGAAAAGCCACTGAGGGATTGAGGAATCCCTTGCGAACTAAAATTTTGTGAAAGTCTCTACAAGGCCTATCAGTAGTTTAAGTTTGTTTGGTATGACCACAGAGGTTAAATGATGATGTTAAGGAGTAAAAAACAAAAAAAGCTTACTTTTGTTTCTCTGGTGAAGATTTTTCGGAGGTAGGTTCTAAATCACTTTCTTCTATCTTCTCCTGAAATACAAGAAAAATACCCTTTAATTAAACGATGAACTTCTATTTGAGAAATGATAGATTAATGTCCTGACAGTCTTCAAATTGGAGCAGTTCAAGGTATTGTACACTCTACATAGTTCAAGTTAGAGATATTGTACACTCTTCACAGTTCAAGGTAGAGATATTGTACACTCTACATAGTTCAAGTTAGAGATATTGTACACTGAACACAGTTCAAGGCAGAGATATTGTACACTCTACACAGTTCAAGGGAGCGATATTGTACCCTGAACACAGTTCAAAGTAGCGATATTGTACAGTTCAAAATTAGTTATCAGTAGTCAAAAAGAGCAAGTGTCGACAGACGGATACCCATTCTGCAGGGGGCATATGAAAAAATATTCCGTAATACTAACCATGTGTGTTTCTCTTGCTATTTTGCCCGACTGGTGGCTTGAAATGTGTTGTGTTGTCTCCCTTTCCAACGTCAATTTCTTTGTCTCGTCATCACTCATAGAACCAGTTGATGTTCGTCTTGTTCTCATCCGAGTCTCAATACTTCTTGGTGTCTTAGATCTGGTTGAAGTTTCGTTATCAGAAACCGACTTCATACTTGATCTTTTACTGGGTGTTCGTATCTCGCTAATGTGCGATTCTGATGTTGACCGTTTCCGTAACCCAATTGGTGAACGCAATTTGGGACCTGTTGTTTTATGTCCCGTAATCATTTCTTCATCTTCTTTCACGACTTCTAAAATGCCCAACATTTGTTTTCCGGAAAGTTCTTCATTTTTCTCATTTGAGCTGGAAGCTTTATTGCTCAAAGTGTTTAATGCATCATTTGATCCCTTCCGAGAATTTTTGACTGGTCGTGGAGACACAAGAGAAGTGAATTGGATATTCTCAGAACTAGATTCAGACGTCCGACTACGACGTTTTGTTTTCAAATGTGTGTCCGATTCAGAGGATGATGTTTTACGTGATTTATTCAAATGAACAGCCAAATCAGGAATTTCAGAGATTCTTTTCCTGGAACTTCTAAGCGTTGGCTCCATGTCAGTACTCTCGGAGTCTGATATTATTGTATATTCTTTGATAGAAGATTCCATCTTCCTGGTTTTGGTGGAAGAAATTAATTGTACATCGCCTTCTTGGTCATCTGCTGTACTTAAAGACTCAACAGATGAGGGAGATTTTATATAATCCTCTGCTTTCCAAGATGGCTTCCTGGTTCGACTTACTTTTCTAAGGCTTGGAGATTTACTAGCCTCCACTGAACTCTCTGACGATAAGTCAATCACTTTGTATTTTGAGATTGTAGGAGTTTGTTGGGTTACTTGTCTTAAAGGGGAAGTTAATTTTGTTGGAGACATAGTTTTAGGCGATTTTAACCTAGGTGATAAACCAGACTCTTTTGTTGTGGACATCACACCTGACTGCATTTCTCGAACCGGCGATTTAATTTCATTTTGACTGGGTGATCTAATTTCTGGTTGACTGGGTGATTTCATTTTAGGTGATCTAATTTCCGGTTGACTGGGCGATTTCATTTTAGGTGATCTAATTTCATGTTGACTGGGCGATTTCAATTTAGGTGATTTAATTTCTGGATGACTGGGCGATTTCATTTTAGGTGACATAATTTCTGGTTGATTGAGTAATTTCATTTTAGGGGATTTAATTCCTGGTAATCCCACTTCTAGCTGGACAGGAGAGTTCAATTGAACTGGCCTCAAATTTGCTTGAGTTAGAGATTTCACTTCTGACTGACTGGGTGATTTTATATCCGAAATAATGGGTGATTTTATTCCAGAATGATCAGGTGATTTCAGCTTTTGTGACTTAGTGGGTGATTTTGACTTTGGTGAAAGTTCATCTAATAGGTTAGAAGGTGAAATAACGTTTGAATTTGATGGTGATGTACTAATATATTTGGCAGTTGATCTTAATTTAGGGGAAATAACTAATGCATCATTTGTGGCCAAGGTTTTCTTGGGAGACTGGACACAAGTTGATTTGTCTGGTGAAGCTGTAATGTGCTTCTTTTTCTTTCTCAAATCATCTGAAGAAACAGCCTTGTCATCCTCCTCACTTAATGTCACTTGTTTTAATTGCCTATTTGGTGATACTATCGCTATCCTTCTTGGACTAGAATTAATAGCAGGGGACTGCATTGTTGGTTTTCTAGTATTTGCAAACTTTGTTGGACTGACAAAATCTGTTCCATTTAGTGACATGACATTTCCAAAATCCACTTCATCTTTATCATCAGAAATATCCTCCTCCACTGTCTTTACATTCTGAAAATAAAATAAGACCGAGCTTTAGCATATATTATATGAGAGTAGCCAAATTTCCAAATTTTATCTTATCGATAATATTGTTGTAATGCAATTTTACCGATCAATGTCAACCAAAGAAAAATTGTGCCCTTTCAACCAAAGCTTTTTATTTATCTATGTTTTAGTCCTTACGAAAGTTTCCGTATAAAGCTTCAAATACCTATGGGAGTTAATGGCCATTTAACATTAAATAGGACAATTTGGGACGAACATATGGTAGGCCTATATATTTAATTTAATACATTTTTTGGCATGGGTTTTTAGAAGCGAGAGGAAATCAGAGTACCATGTATAAGCCTGGGATCAAACCCATGACTTACATAGATAACAAAGCTTATGATCTTTAGCGAGCACATGTCCACCCAGCCTCCCTCTCTTGCAGTATTGACATGTATTCGGCATCTATACAACACGATTCAGCAAACTTCAATATATGTGTGTTCCTACCATCTCACAATCAATGAATGTATTTTTTGTTTTTTTTCCCTTGAAATCTTGTTTGTTTGAATTGCTCTTGAATCAGTCTTAATTTTTAACAAATTTGAAACCTTTCATTTCACTCACATTGGGCTACTTTGTGTCGTCAAGAGAAAACATATTACACACAAAGGGCGCGAGATACACACAAAATGTCTGTCATAAACAATTATCATTCATTTGTCATATGACCATTTTTGTCAATGATTATGATGTTGGGGGTTTCATAACGCTATTGATCTTGGCAATCTTTAAAACAGATAAAGCAAATTCATTTTGTTTTAGTAGTCGCTTTTACTATTAAATTTTAACCAACTTACTTGATTTTTCTTTTTGTCATTTTTTCCCTTTCTATCCACCATAAAAATATCACCCATATTATCATCCTCAGATGATATCTACAACATCAAGTATAAATTATACTAATTTCCTTTCACAGATCTGGAATATCTTCTATAAATTTCGAACAACATCAAGTATAAATTATACTAATTTCCTTTCACAGATCTGGAATATCTTCTATAAATTTCCAACAACATCAAGTATAAATTTATCTGAATTTCCTTTCACAGATCTTGAATATCTTCTATAAATTTAAATAGATTATTGAAAGGGTGTGTCTTTTACACCCTTGAAAACAATATATTTGAAATGATGAATTTGGTGATTTCTCTGTTATATTATTTGTAACCATTATCTAGATCTATATATTCAAAAAACATGCATGAAAAATTTGTGGACAAATAAATAATAAGAAGTAGAGGTACCTGAGCAGAATCAGGTGATCCAAAGAAACTTGTGTCTGATAAATCTGGATTAAATACCAATATGTCATCTTTATTTAACTTCTGTACACTTGCATTGTCTTCCTCCTCCTCCTCCTCATCTTCATCTCTTATACCTTCATCATCACACAAACTCTGGAGAAATTAATCACAAATTTACATTTGACATTAAAAGGGGGGGGGGGGGCACAGGTGCCATCACTTATAAGTGACTTTTTGTTTTGACTTAAAATGTAGGTTGACGAACATTAAAGTGTCATTTTAGCATCACAATATTGTAAAATATGAATCTCTAATAGGAATATCAGTTTGTTATTTACAAAGATATGTTGAATCAAAATTTCATCGATCTATATTGCTCACTATGTAATAAGCCTGTTGCCATTTTGTTGTAGGTGAACAGAAATTATGGGCCTGTTTTAAATCCAATGAAATCAACGCCGGGAGGTTATCTATTTTGTATTTGGATTTGGTTTTGTTTTCTTAATTAAAATATGTTAAATGATCAATCTAGGTATATATTAGTTTGATTTAAGCCGTGAGAAATTTGATATTTTAGGGAAAAATGCAAATGACACATTGTTACTTAAGTTTTGACAATCTAAACTTTCCATTACTTTCTATTGATTTCAAAATATCATCCCTTTGAACATCAGCCAGTTACTAAAGAATAAGTATTGCTACTCTGTATAGATCATGCTTTTATAAGTAATTAAAGTGAATGGAGGTTTACTTACATCAATAAGCTTTGATTGTAGAGAATCTGTCATATTATCTAATAAATATGTAGAAAGATTATCAACTTCCTCATCTACATCTGTTAACTCTGGTATATGTTCAGCCAGCCATCTTTCTGTTCCTGGTGGTGGAACAATTGTTCTTGCTTTCTAAGAAAATAAGACAAAACAATATTCTTATGAATCAAATGGTTGATTATAGGCGTAAGAGTTCCGCCAGTCTAATAATAAATTACAAGACTGAACATAAGCCAAAAGGAACTCACAAAATCAGCACATAATCAGGCACAGAATTGTCTTTTATCTTGTTCAAAATCCCGACAAAAACAAACTGGGGTTATTCAGACTAGCAACAAAATAATATGTGATTAAATATGGGGGCATAAAAACTCTATAAAGTTGCATTAGGTAAGATCAGATAAAAAGTGGACAGTTCTCGCCATAGTAGTTAAAAAATAGATGAAGAAAAGAGAATATGCTGAAAGTTTGTCAAATTACTTCACTCTGAGCCAAGATATCAGCCATACAAGTTTTTGTCTAGCCACAATTGTCATTACTACGATAATAAACAATGTCTCGATTATCCATTTTTACGGTTGTTTCATCACCCACAAAATGTATTCAAATCCACTAAATATCGGAGCCCCTGATGGTATCTAGAGTTAATTATGGTCTTTGTCAGTTAAGGCAGATTTATTACATAATGCATGTTTAAGTACTGTGCCCTGTTTCGCATTTAATACACTTAAAAAATAACTTTGCAAGATGAGATCGAAAAATTCTGACCCACGCAGGTGACAACAATATACATCCACCAAATCGTATCTGTATCACTAAGAGAATTTGATCATGAATACAGATAAATATTCTACATACTTTTATACCATGTTGAAAAGTAAGCTGAACTTGTTGACTGAGACTATTAATCAGGGCTACAGATAAAATATATTTTATATATGACTGGCTGTCAGTATTATCTGGAGTCGTCTCTACACAATATCTGTACAAAATAATAAAAAAAAACAATCAGAAGTGAAGGGTTTGATATCCAATATTATTTTGTTTAAATATTTTGATTGTGCGCAACTGAAGAAGTGGGAGAAAATAGAAGAATCCAGAAAAAAAGCTAGTTGCATACAACTGAGGACAAACTCAGACGAGGTTTAACATTCACTCAATACAACTTGGGTCATTCCGGGACTTACATTATGGTTCAATTTTATTTCAATATATCAATGCAAGCAGGGAAACTGTAAAAAAAACCCACAAGGTTGGACAGGCGATCCTACTCCTTGTCACGTACAAGCAGGGAATTGAAACCACGGGTTTGAAATTCATGAAGGATTTTCTCAGTTCCACACAAAATGGGGGAGATGGGATGCAAAAAGAAATCTACGAATCAATGTTCATACAGGATATGCATCAAATGTCAAATGGGTTTCCATAATGGCACCATGCTATTGCTAGTCTAATAAGTGAATTGAAATGGGGTTGAACATCCTACTGTTCTGCTCCGACTGGGCTAATGAGAGAGAGAGAGAGAGAAATGGGGTTTAAGGTCCACTCGACACAAACTAGGTCATTTCGGGACTAACATATGGTTTAATTTTATTTACATAATTCGCTTGCGCGTAGGGGTCTTTAGCAGTGGGAGGAAACTGGAGGACCCGGAGAAAACCCACGAGGTTGGACAGCGACTGGGCTAATGAAGACGGGCATACGCCATGTAGTGAGCTATGAGATAAATTTTTCCTGGACAGAAGCACTATGGTCTACTCTTATTTCGACTTCCAACACCAATGTGTACACAGGACCCCAGTTTTCCATCTCATCCAAATGAATATACAGTGTTCCTTGCTAGGCACTAGGTCCTACACCAGACAAAACGGAACCACATCGGAAAATCATGATGAACTTACTTGGGCAACACAGGGATTGAACACAGGACCTTCAGATTAGTGTGACAATGTCTTACTGATAAATCCAACATGGCTCCCACCAGTCTAGGCTAGATCTGAGAGTGAGACATGTGTATCGTCAAATTTGTGTACTCTTGTTTATGATGTTGGAGCCATTTCTTCCAAAAAACTATTTAGATAAAGCCATGTAGCCTCACACAAAAAAATAACTTACTGTATTAAAGGGAAGATGAGTGGAACTTGATCATCTTGCGTCTGAGTTAATTGGAGTAAAACATCATATCTCTGATCGGGAAAATCAGTTGTCATAAAACTTATAAATCCATATAATAATCTGGACAGTTTTATCTTTACTTCTTCATTTCTAGGTAAAAAAAGAAACAGAAAAATTTCTCAAAAGTCTTATCACCTTGCCAAAAGCTAATACTTTAGACCAAAAGTTTAAAGAAGTCAGATCAGGTTCATGAAGGTTAAATGAGCTAAATCTGAAAATCGCCATCACAAAAAGTATCAGTTAATTTGACTAAAGTTAAGGCTAATCTCAATAAGGCCATGATATATTAATGATGCAATAAGGAGAGAGAGAGAGAGTAACATATGGTTTAATTTTATTTCAATGATTAGCTTGCACATAGGGGTCTTTAATATTGGGAGGAAACCAGAGGACCCAGAGAAAACCCACGAGGTTGGACAGGCGACCCTACTCCTTGTCAAGTACAACCAAGAAATCGAAACCATGCCAGTTGACTCAATTACAGAGCTTATGCTTATGCGCTAACCATTCAGCCATCCAACCCCCTGTTGCGATGAGGTCAACTGCAATAATGTCATTAAGTCTTCATGCTTTAAAACAAGTTTTGTTGTCAACTGACACAATGTTATAATAATAAAAAGGTAAAACTTTGACTAACCTAAAGAGGAATACAGACAAATCTAGGTAAACTGATAATAATGATGCTACTAAATCTTTGTAATATGGCTTCTCTTCTTTTACTGCTGACTGTAAAATACAAACAAAACATAAAATATATTGACTATATGGAATCTTTTGATTAGGAGTATTAAAACTTTCAAAAAGAAAATAAAAGTATATTCATAATAACCTTTGATTCATTTAATTATTGAAAACCTAAGCACTGGCTTCCTGAGATCAAGGCATTTTGTATATGCCTGAAAAATTTCAGTTAAAACCGCCCCGAATCCTATATCATCTGTGTTGTCTTCACGGATTAACAGATTGGTGTCACTTTTATAACATAATTTATTTGGAATGGCTCAAGCTTAAATGATTAGTCTTAAACGAAATCAAGTTACGTCAAATTCTATGAATCAGTAGTGATCACCAAAGTGAGGGTGTATCTTTAAATGCTTTTTCTTTGATTACACTCAAACCTGTATACAGGATCCAGATAACGAAATTATTCAAATTTACCCAAGGTGTAGAAATAAATGGGGTCAAATGTCTCACTTGCACAATACTTTGGCCATATTAACTTGCCACCTCCACCCTTTTTACCTGCTATGATGTTTAGGTCGAGAATGTTTAAATTTACATTTTCTGCCAGATTTTGGTGTATGTTTGACCATATGCAGAATAAATCCAGATAGACAACGCTCATCCAAATTTTTATCAGATAATTGTGACATGTTGGGCACTTTGTGACTATAAAGTGGGATATGTTGACCAGAATTCCATGAAATTTTATAAAACTTGTTTGGATTTTTCAAAAATGGCTTAGTAGGGATTTGTTGATACGTCTATTAGAACTTGTGCATATTAAGTGGGCGGACAAGCTCCAATTTTTGTTTTATTATTACTAATAAAATTTACTTTTCTTACCTTGATAGAGTGATATCTCATATGAGACACGTACAGAAGCTTGTGTAGATTTTCATAAACTATAGAAATTCTGAAAATGAAAAGGTTTTAAATAGTTAATTAATGGCATTATTTAAATACATATATTGTGTTGTCCATTTAAAGAAACATCTTTGATTTAAGTCAAGATAAACAGCGGGACTGCAATGATCTTGTGAGTTATATTGTTTAGTGCCAAAACCAGCTTTATACAGTTGAATTTGATGAATTAAGCAGAAATTTATTATCTTAGTTGTTTTAGGATTAAACTGCAGACCTAAAATTTTGTATGTAGACAGATAGACAGAAAAACAAATCAACTCATCAAATTAAATTAAACCAAACCAACACTTTCATGTTTGCGGTTATCTAACACTAACTTGACATCTAACATGCAAGATACAAAATCTGTCAATCAAAACACAGAATAATGAAATATCGAATAAACATTACATATAAGATACATATTCTCAGACATTACATCAAAATGAAAACAAAAAAAAACAAAACGCAAAATATATTTTATCAAAGTCACAACAGGTCAAAGGGGGGTCGGATGGCCGAATGGTTAGCACGCGCGCGCTGTATCATGAGGCCTGTCATTGAGTCAACTGGCGTGGTTTCAAATCCCCGGTTGTACGTGACAAGGAGTAGGGTTGCCTGTCCTACCTCGTGGGTTTTCTGTGGGTCCCCCGGTTTCCTGCCACTGCTAAAAATCCCTATGCGCAAGCGAATTATTGAAATAAAAATTAAATCATATGTTAGTCCCGAGATGACCTAGTTTGTGTCGAGTGGATGTTAAACCCCATTTCTCTCTCTCTCTCAACAGGTCAAAATATATTTGAAAATGTTGTTTAGAATCTAAATATTAAAAAGAAAAAAAAAATACAACAAATTGCTTTAATCCTTAACTTTGAATCAAGAATCTAGTACAAACTTACTTGTTTGTATTTTCTTCTTCCAAATATTTTTCAGTTAATGGCTGCATTTTTCTACAAATATACAATTTAAATAAGATTAAAGGAGCTAAATCGCTAATATTTAGGACCTAGAAATTGACCCAAATGGGTCGAAACGCATATAATAATGTAATCTGATTGTATATAAACTGATTTACATTCAATTGTTTCCTTTTTGACTCTAATTTCAAATCAGTTATGTCCAGCGAAATACAGCATGTGTCTCAAGCAATTTCTAGCGTCTGGTTATTCCAGTCTATTAAGCAGGCTCTCCAGTTGAATATGTCTAGCCTCGTTCTTTCTTGTCACTTGTTGCAAATGACGCTAAAACACACTATGGTACACGATTCGTGTACCAATGGTAAAATGTTTATTTTGTCTTAAATATTGGATATCAGAAGCCTGCCTTTTCCTGGGAAGATCACAACATCAATGTTGATTTGAATTGACAAATAATTCATATTTTCAACGTGTAAGACTTTGGATGATATTGAGTTAGAGACTTAGCTACTTTAATCTTCATAGGCATTTTATATGTATAATAATAATTGAAATGTTATCTAAATTATTAATTAGACATTAATTAACCTATCCAGACCATAATCAACTCTAGATGGCATCGCTAGCCTGCGATCTATAGTGGATTATGAGCCGATTTACTGCATAACTTTCCTTCACGATTAACGATTAAATGGGTAATCAAGACTATGCTGTTTATCGTACTGACTTTAGTAATGATGATCGAGGCTAGGCAGAAATTTCAATCTTTTAGTTCTCGGTTCATAGCGAATCAATTTGAATGAAATTTTCAGCAAATTGAATTTACATTATCTAGTTTTTAACAATTATAGTGAGAACTGCCAACGCGTTATCGAATCTCCCTTAATGTATCTTCAACCAATACAAAGTCAATTCAAATAGCCAGGAAAAAAACTATTCGAAATCAAGTATTAACTTCATATTGAACTTTTATTAGGGCTTCAATAACTGTTGTGTTTTTGTGTCATGGGTCAGCTGCAGTAAACCACTGGTTATCTGAATTGTCTAGCATGTTATTCCATTATTTCAAATATGATTTATGACAAATAAAGAACGTCTGTAGTTTTCAAGATTGATCAGAATTGCGAATAGTAAACACAATAATGGAAATTGAAAATAACAGATGATGTAGTATCACACTTACCTAAGATAGACAGATAAAAGTTTTTTTACAAGTTTTATATCTTTAATTCCACTAGAAAGAACTAACAGTCGATCTAATGCTGTCATAATACTTTTCTCCTGTGTTATACGCTGAAAAAAAAAGATAATATATAGGATCGTGTTGAATTTAACTGATTCAGTACTTTCTTGTATACTTATAAAGAGGGAGAGAGAAATGGGGTAAAACTTTCACTCGACACAAACTAGGTCATTTCGGTTCAATTTTATTTTAAAAATTAGCTTGCAGATAGGGATCTTTAGCAGTGGAACAAAACCGGAGGTTGGACAGGTGACCGTATTTAATGTTATGTTCAAAAGCTGGAAATCAAAACCATGCCACTTGACTCAATGACAGACACACATTAGACCATTCTGCCACCTAACCTCCCTCGTATATTATAATCAATTCTTCCTTTAATTTATGGTGATGTGGTTGGAGTAATAATCCATTTCCCTACTTTGGTTTTATCTACTTAAAATTTCCAGCATTGCATTTCTTTATTGTTCCCGTTTATTTAGTTTTCATTTTCATTGTGAACGAATTCTTCAGCTAAAGTTTTGTTTATTTGTAAAATCATTTTTATAATAATATTTATGGAATTGGATGAATATATGAACTTGAAAGATATGGAGGAATGCAATTCAGGAATTGGTTTAAATAAGGGGAAGTAACTTTGGTACTCAGCAGGTCTCAGCAGTTATATCTCTTTTTCTGTTTCCTCCCCGGTTTCCTGTGTTGATGTTATTGTTTATGTTCCTGGTGTATTTTAGTTCCTGTTTGAGTTACATTCCTGTTTTATTTATGTTCCTGTTTATATTCTGTTCCTGATGTAAATAAATATTATTTTATGAATATTTAATATTGGCTAATAAATCAATTACTAATTTACATTACCTGAAATTCTTTGACTAGTTTAATAACAGCATTCTGATTGTCTTCCTGTTGAATTTTTAAAAGGAAAAAATTGTTTTCTGAAATAACAATATTGGAGAATCAATTTTCTCAGTTCATATCCAGTTTGTATTGCCCACTTCAGATTTGAGAGAATCTTCCTTGGGTGAACTTGATAGAGAAGAATATAATATCTACCAGCTTCTGAATTTAAGAGAAGTGGTAATGGGTGTTCTTGAAACAGTAACTATAGTAACTATACCCTTTACAATACCTGTTAGTATTTACAGCCATGTGGCGTGATAGCTAAGGCTTAGATTACAAAAGCTTAAGACCACCAGCCATTTAATCTATGTAATTAATTATGGTAAAACAGAAAAATATGTCTCAAAAAGGAAAAAATGCTATTTTAAAGTTTAAAGGTCTATATTTAGTTCATACAAAAGTATCTGCACCATTAAATTTCACATATTAACCTATTTCAAATGTTATGCTCTTAACTAAAGACCCACCATGACAACTTGTTGGGACCTCTGTCTATTCTCTAACATCAGTTCCAAAAAGATCTGAGGAAAAAATAACGTACCAACTGTATTATCTTTACTGTCCGGATTTGTCAATACATTTGATCTATCAGTTAAATAAAAATTATAAGGAAATTCATGCTCTTTATTGGTTATATTATATTTATTATCAACTGTTTCTTCTTCATCTTCCTCTTCTTGTACCTCATCTTTTGTGTCATTTTTTTTAATAGACAAAACCACTTCTGACTTATCTTGCAGTTTCTTTATTCTTCTGTTAAAAATAAAATCAAAAGTAAGCTTAAAGATTTTCATTTTCCAAATATCCATTGCATCAGCTCTTCCAAGCTACGAATCACCAACCAGCAGCTTTTTGAAGGGTGACTGTCATGTTTTCAAGGTTGGAGGCATTATCTCTGCGAAAAAAATTTGAACCTGCAAGCGACTTTGAATATAGATACGGTTATGTTGGACCTGGCAGTCACGCAATCCCAGCAGTCTGAGCACTCTCAAAAACTTAAGATATCTCAATGGACAGACAGACGGACAGTCAACAGGGGTGATGACAATATTCTCCCACATGAAATGTGAGAATATAAAATCCAGATACCAATACTTTTGGCAATATCACTTCGGTGGAAGTGGATGTTACATGTAAATAAAGCTATTTCACACACAGCAACTGTTTACAGTTATTGGTCATGAGAATTCCCCACTGTTTGATGTATGTACCCGACACGTAAGTACCAGTTTGACACTGTATTTGGCTTGGTTCCTTGTGCATCATCTTACGTGATTGAATTATGCAGGAAAAGCAGCATGTTAAACCCCATTTAATTCCATTTCATTTGAATCATACAGTTCTAAACCTTGTAAGTTAACTCCCACAATACCATAAAAGGTTTTCTGTGTCTCCAGCTTATTAACTCCTATAATAACTTTTCATCTTGTAACTTACATTTTCAAGAATTCTAAACAGTCTGTAAAATTGTCTAGTAGAACTTTCTGTAATGTACGTTCTGGTAAACCTGTAACAGCTTTAGAAAACTTTTTCTTTAGAGTTTTACTTTTAATAGGTCTATCATCTGAAATAGAGGATACAGTAATTCATTTTAAAATAAAAATTTATATTAATTTTCAGTGAGCATGCAGACAGTATTACTGGATCGGGTTGTCATTGTTATTTTAGCTTTAATATGTAACTCTTAATTTCTACATAGACACCTTATTCACCCCAGCAAAGCCAGTAGATAGAATGAAATTTAATTTGATCTTGTCATTCATAACAAATGACTGGCAGATGCAAATAAGAGATGACGATATTACTTATTGAAGATCTGTTTTGTGATCTTTTATCAGTATTAGAGCCTCAGTGGTAAAAAATTGCCCCAAATAACCATGGAAAATAGCAGTTTACTCTAATTTCAAAATGACTTTAATAAGTTTTATCAAAAATGCATCTTATTTCTACTTTTGTTTTCTTTTCCAATTTATATTTATAATAAACATATAAGCCTCACATAGATAACAATTACTACAATAAATCAATTGGAATGGTTGGCAAGAACTTATAGATAACATTTACAATGATCTATTTAATACCAACCAATTCAAAATTGAGGGATCAACTATAATTTTGTCTTGGCTCTCAAGAAAATTGTCGTCTACTTTCGATTTCAAGATTTTTTGACCTGTTTTGGTTTTGTTATTGGGTAATGGAGAGCATTCTTATATTAAATGTAATCAAAATTCAAACAATTTAAACCTTCGGTCAATTTTCGAGCAAGGGCTTTTAAAAACTTTTTTGATTTTTTGTCCATTTGCATTTTTAATTGACTTCTCCTTGGGGTTCTGTGATGAAATTATAAATTTAGCCCAAAACACGTGTGGTAGATTATTCAACAAACACAGTGAATGGATCAGTACGTGGGACTCTGACCAATCAGATAGCGTGTAATATCTATTGTTAGGTTCGAATATTGATAGCTCATTTTTTCGTATAATCTTATTCATTTATTTGTCTCAAATATAAATTTAAAAATAGACTTTCTAATGATGATAATAAAAATTTGATGAAAAATTTGAAAAATACCATTTAAGTCTACCATTTCGTCATGACTTGTTTTATACGAAAACAAGAGCAGTCTGATTACGGTGAATTGTGGGATCGAGTGTAATTTGTGGTGGAGAGAAGTTTGTTGAAACTGCTGCAAATAATCGGCTATTTATATTGTCATAATACAGATAAGGGGATGATTTTTTGCGTAGGGAAGTTCCTAAGTGTCTACTAAGAGGGACTATGCTTACCAAAATACTCTTAGTTCATCTGGTGAAAGATGGAACATGAAAGAAAAAGCAACTCATGTGTGTATTCTTCATTCTTTGATTGTAAATAAAGAATAAAACAAATGAAGTCACCTCAAATCACTTGTTTTTGATTTTTACTTGTCAACAATCAAATTCCTATTTGTCCACTTTGTTGTCATTATTTTTAATTGAATGTGTCTTTTTCTATTTGCAGTTATCAATGGAGCCAAACAGCAACCTGACAGCCAAATGGATAAAAAGAAGCACAACTATAAGTTGGTTGCTGATCCTTTTATCCATAGAGGGCAACATAAAATTTACCGATTTAATGGTTTAGTTCCAGGGGTAAGCATGAGCCAGAAAATGTCAGACACAATTGTTAAAGATTGTAACTGGCAATTTATGTTGCATTTTGAATCCAACATGCAATTTAAAAAAAAACCCTCAAACATTTGGAATTTATTATACTGAACTTGGCATACACAAATTTTGATTCCTCGATTGTCTTCCAGTATTGTACAAGTTTTGTCGTTTAGGGTTAGGGCTTGTACCAGTATTGTTAACAATATTAGTAAGACCCTAGTCCTAACCCTTATGTACCAGTCTAAAAGGTCTTTTGTTTGCCGAGTTCAGTTTATCCAGAATTTGAAATGGGACAAATTGCCTGAGACCAGGGCTGTCGGTAATTTTTCACAGATGATTAGCAGCACTGCTAATCAAAAAGTCCAATTTTGCCAAATTTGATTAGCAAATTTAAAAATTGATTAGCAGTTTTTCAGTTCCAACATAAAACACCTAAATAACAAGAATATTTTAATTTTAATTGATAACAAATGATTAGATTTCATTCTTAAGATTTTTTAGAATTTTAGAACTTCTACAGGTAGCTGTGAACATTTCTGAATGAATGTAGACTTTTGGTTAGGCCTTATGTCTGAAGCAAATTCTTGGCAGTGGCTTCTTATTTCTTCGTTAAAAAACAATTTCGTCTGCTTTTTATCGTGTGTTATTATTTTTGTTCAATCGGAAGCACGCAGTATTTTACGAATAATCTCGATTAACTAGACGCAGCGATATAAACAATAATAGTTTACACGTATTTATTTTTTATATTTTATTTACAATACGTGGGGGATACACTGAATTTATTTTTTTTCAAATTGAATACTGATATAATTACCCGAAATTGGCATGTCTCGCAACGTGAGTGGTACTACTTGATTCCCTATTTCCGGTTTAATCGTCCCGATTCATAGAGTTATGTCCCTGTATTATATAGTATAATGAATTGAATCTGGATAGTTCGAGAAGAAAATGTCACACGGAGAATTCCGTTTTGTTTATAAAATTTATTTGATATTTTATACACGTTGAAAGTGTTAAGAAATGTGGATAAATCTTTGTGTCAATATCCAAAATGACAGGCATATTAATGATTCGCAGTTACTGCGAATCAAAAACGTTAGATTTTAATTTTTGATTAGCAAAGGACAAAATATGTATCGCAAATTGCGCTGCGATACTGGTTGTCGGCAGCCCTGCCTGAGACAAAAATAACATTGAATTAATAACTATTTTGACAGTGATAAACTGCTGTGTGCATCAGATGCACTGTTATGTAAAGTGGACAATCTGAGTACCAGTATGTTTATTTTGAACAAACACTTATAATTAAAGGGACAATATCACTCTTGCTGGCTTGAAAGCTACAGAAAATAAATAATATCTCTATCTAAGTACTAGATGTTTAATTGTCCTACCTGTTGTGTAAATTATCCATTACATCATATTTTACTTGTCCAGAGGGTTCGAAAATATTTTTAAATCAAAGTTTCATTTGAAAAGGTTTACGTAAGACGTTTCAAACCATTATGTTGAATTTTTCAAAATGTTTAAATAAGGTTGTTAAGATGAATTTGTATCATCAATTAATTGAAATATTCTAAAATAGTACAATTTGTTGACAAGAATAAAGATTGGGACATATTATTCAGTTACAACAAGAATGGTATTGAGCCTTTAATATTGCTCAGTAAACAATCATTTTGTCTGATAAATTCATATTTCTGAAGCAGTGGATATGAGCATTACCAGCTGCATCAAATAGTAATATGGTTCATTGTTTTCAAAAGTCTCCCAAGTTCTCAATACAATGAGATAAGAAAAGTGCATGGCATCTAAATTTCGAAATGATTACTGTATCTGTACTCCAATTGCTTCTCTGACATGAGGTAACCTGGATGTTCACTGGAGGTACTAAATGGTAAATGTGAGAGTAAGAAAGATTCTAAAACCTCGCAAATTTTTTTAATAGAATCTCTTATCTTATGTTTTTGATTAATCATTTAGTGCGGCAATACATGTAGTTAATTAGCTTGTAATGATTGTAACTGTTGGTTCAGGAATATTAAGAAATAGGACTGTCCTGATGATGCTGTGGTCTATAATTTATTTTAAGTCAATTTAATCCGAATACTTATCAATGACATCATACATGTATCTGTTTTTAGATATTATAGCACCAAGTTTAATAACCATTCTTGAGTAGAGTAAATATTAAGGCTCACATATTCCATGAAAAAACTTTATTTTGTCATATACATGTAGCTAGATAAGGTACATGATTTTAAAATTGTTCTTTGATAGTATTGTTAGTGATAGCATTTTATGTATAAATTTGTTCTATCAGTGTTGGGGGGGGGGGGGGTGTCGATGGCTGAATGGTTAGCATGTGCGCCTTGTATCATAAAGTCTGTCATTGAGTCTACTGGCGTGGTTTTGAATCCCCGGTTGTACGTGACAAGGAGTAGGGTTGCCTATCCAACCTCCTGGGTTTTCTCCGGGTCCTCCGGTTTCCTCCCACTGCTAAAGACCCCTAAGCGCAAGCAAATTATGGAAATAAAATTGAACCATATGTTAGTCCCAGAATGACCTAGTTTGTGTCGAGTGGACGAGTGAAAGTTAAACCCCATTTCTCTCTCTCTCTCTCTCTCTATCAGTGTTTCCAGCATAAAATCCATTATTTATACAGATGGACCATTTGTAACTAACTTTGAAAGAAAAGCAAAAATGTTAGATCGAGAGTCCACAGATTTCAGAATCAAATATTTTAAAAGAAGGCACATCTTTCCAGATCAGTAGTTATCAGGAATCGATGTAGACAATTTTTAATTAAATGCAAATATAAATTCATTTCTCTGAGAAATTCTTTTGGCCGCAGCACTATTTACTGATATTATTTATTAAATACATTGTCAAACCACTTATGTATGGCTTTTTTTAACTCATTGTCCTTGATATCACAAGTTACTTTTGGATCCATTCACTTGATTTGATAGTACTTTTATTATTTATTACTTATAATGTTGCCTATGAACTTGTCTTTTGATTTCTATATTGTTGTCATGTGTGGCGTGGATATTGATTACCAAAATTGGTCACACTTCAATGACAATTATTGTTTACTAGTCAACTGGGTTATTTTTGTTGAATGGTAACTTTTGTGGCTCAACAAAGCAAATTTATTTACTTTAGGAGACGAAAGTAGTTGATGTTAAAGATCCTAGACCCAGGTTTCAGAGGATATGGTGTAGAAGACAGCCTGCAGATTTACCTGTTCCCAAATTTAAGGTATATAAAAATAATAGATTAAAGTACAAGTACTTCTACAGGGGTAGAAACTAACCTGAAATGGTCACTAGCCATTTGGGCTAGTAGCTTTCAGATCTGTCTAGCCCAGCCAACATTCTACTAGCCCAGTAAGAAACTGACACCAGATGTAAGAATTCGGATTTAGACTGTTGTTTTGTTCATCATTAATCAATCAAAATCACCAAATTACATGCACTTAAATTTATTTTGGCACATTTAATAATACAACAAATAGACTTTGTTCATTGTTGCCTCTGTTTTTTCATCAAATAATGAATTCATTAATCAGTCATGATGACATATATATTAAAATTCAATTTGGCACATTTCATTTCATATTTCATATCTGTCCTTTGGAAGTTTAATCTTCAATACAATAGATTTTTTCTGTGGCCTCATTTGCATTTATATTTAATTTATGTTTTATAAATTCAGTTGTGATGTGCAAAATAATATGATGTAATGTCCTTAAAATTTAATATCATAAGTTGTCACGGAGTGATTAAGTTATTTATAGCAGAGCATATGTATTTACGAGCGTCTTCATTGCCGTAATATATCGCTGTTATAAAACCTTTTAACATCCATGTTCTTCGCTAAATTGCTTCTTATATATCAACGATTTATGATAATTAACCTGAAATATGACTTAAAAGTTATTCGATTATATCGACTTTCGCTTCATAATTCATCAAGGTATAAACAGAGGCTGTTCCGTACCCTCCCTCGTTATCATACAATTTCAACCAATCAGCAAGCTCGCTTGCTCAGATTTCATACCGGTATGGCGAAATGGAACAGCCAAAGATTAAAAACACATAAATAGTGATGCCAATGATTTTCGGAAGTTAGTTTCATGACAGTGTTCATTAAGTACAAATTATCAATTATTACAACTACCAAAATATCAGGTCGCCACACGGGCTAATTGATTTTGAATTTCATTCGCCCGTACTGACTTTTACTCGCCATGGGCGAGCGTTAGTTTCTATCCCTGCTTTTATGTTTACGGTAGACAAATACATCAAAAGATACCAAATATAAACCACTTTTACTTCATCATTCTGATATACATCAAATCAAAAGTTAGCTGTCTGTCCTTCATAGTCGTCTTCAGATATTATAAAGTATAGATGTTAAAGACTCCTGGTTACAATTTATCGGGCATCTAATGGAAAAGGGAGATAATATAGCTCAATCAAATCTGAGTAGTTTTACAAGGCTATTCGACGTGATATTTTGATAATTGATATTCAATGACAATTAAAACAATTCAATTTGACCGTTTTTTGTCTCCAATTCAAATTTTGATAAGAAAAATATTGATTTATAAGAATGGAGAATCACTTCAGGATATGATAATAAAAAAACCCAAGTTTGTACATGTATATACACATCGGCATAGATGTAAAAGAACCAAGCGCTGAAATAAGCGTCCGGACACGGACAATGTCCGGGCGAATTGACCCCTTTTGACAGGCCAAATTGCCTTTCGTCCGACCATATTTTTGTAAAACATAAGTCAAAAATATTCTAGTCGATCGCTATTTATTATTAGACTCGAAAGTCAAGAACCAAAAATATCAATGACCCGAGTCATAGTGAAAATGTTACTATTTATATCTCGGCCGCGTGCAGATAAAATCTTCAATAATTTTTAGAATCGACTCTTTTTACTCATAGTAAAAATATTACTATTTATACATGTATCTCTCTCGGCCGCGTGACGATAAAATAATGAATAATATTGAGAATCGGCTCTTTTTACACTGGTTATACGAGTCTCGTAGCTAGCTTTGCGTTACTTTCGTTCTTTCGTATATGAAAACATGTCGAATAAAATAACTTTTTACTTTTCCCAACCCTCGGACACGGATATCCCGGCTAGTGGGACCGTTCCAGAAAATTCAAAGACTGGTACTGTGTCTTAATCTTATGTCTCTCATAAAGACACTTCTAAACGGGGGCCATCGCCATTCGAAAATTACAAACACGAACCGTAGAAAAGTGGATCAAAAATGACTTGGCAGATTCTGAACCATTTACGATGTCTATTCTTTAGTTAAATTTGAATCTTAATCAGAGTTTTTAGGATTTAGTCCCCAGCCCCACCAAAGAGATTAATGACATTATATGAACTATAAAGTTGTATTCCATATACATATAAAAATTAAAACTCCAGGTTGTATGTAAGTCATCAATTTATTTTATTAATAAATGTATGTATAATAATAATATATAAACATAGTAAATTTCAACAGTTTTTTGGTTTAATATACTTTATAAAGTATTTGTCAGGCTGAAAATCTGAAATGTCCGGCCGAAAATCAGTTCAGCCTGAAAAGAACCCTTGACCAGTTGGAATTCGAAGAAGAGTATGGAGATGTCGCTATCCGGGCAAAATTTCCCTCATAGCACCCAGTATCGCTTATAACTTTCTTCATTAGTACCAGTTGATGAAGAACAGTAGGATGTTAAATCCCATTTCATTTCAAAATATGTTGAGACAATAAACTATTTCCCTTTTTTTTTTTATTTCAGTATGATCAGTATTTTGTTGCTGTCGTTCCACCTAAAGAGGTTACATTTACCAACCTCAATGACAACATCAACAATGATTTTCTCGAAAATATGTGTAAAAGCTTTGGAAAGATTGAAGAATGCAAGATTTATTTCAATCCTAAGACGAAAAAACATCTTGGAGTTGGAAAGGTAATATTTTAATGAAATAGTTGACAAAATACCATAATCTGTCCACCACTGACATTGTTGTGATTAAAGATATAAGAAGGATTAGTTGGTAGAAAAATTGGTTGATTGATTCTAAAATCACTTCAGATAGATTTTTAGCGATAAAATTTATTCCCTCAGATAATCAAAGTATTGTAAACCATAGAAAATGATTACATTGATGTATGTAAAAAAACATACACATTGTTAAACTTTCTTAGAAATACCATTTAAAAAAGTATTTAATTCTTTATTCTATCTGTTTTACATCCAATAAATATTTTCATGTTTTACATTATGCACTTCTCAGGCCTTTGACTAGCTACAAAAAAGTAGCCTATACCATCTATATCATTTCAGCACAGCAGTATTTAATGATTGGAAAAAAATGTTTCATATTTAATTATAAAGGTTTGGAGCATAAGGGTGTATCTGAACCAAGGGAGCTAACCCTCTATTATATGTTTTTATATTGATTTGTTTTCAGGTTCTGTTTACATCATCTAAAGCTGCCAAGTCATGTGTTGATAAACTCAATCAAACATCAAAGATGGGGAATATCATGACAGTTATCCTGGATACCATGGGTATGTTAATTTTTAAAGAAAAACAAATCTTTTTTGATTGAACCTTTTGGAATTGAATTCCCTGTATACTGTGAAATGTCCCAATTTAAGTAAGCACAAAAATTGCAGGAGTGTTCTAAGTAAATAGCGGAAATAAATAAGATCCTTGTATTTGATTATGTCCCGATTGTACTCTCACCACATCAGTTATTGTGACTTGAGAGAATAGTGGCCGAATTGTTTAACATGTGCATTTTAGGTCATAAGGTATGTCGTTGCTTTTGATTCTACGCTTTTACTGGACAAGGAGTAGGATTGTCTTTCCAACCTCAAGGTAAATTGATTATGATTAATTTTTGTTTTTTATTGTTGTAGGTAAAGAAAGGCAGGTAATGATTGAAACATTAATTGGTGATCGCAAACTAGGTGATGAGGACAAGAAAAGGGAAGCTTACGATCCAGGTGATAATGAATTTGACTTTGGACATCGAAAACCCAAGACAGACGTTTATCCAACTCCTCAGTCTGAAACAAGTTTCTCAAGTCATTCTGATCTTGGATATATCACGGCTACCCCCTCACTAATACCCAATACAGAACCCGCTTTCAATGTGGGATATGGTTACGACACTCCATCGGATAATCTCAATCATCAAAACGTGGCACAGAGTTATGGTTATAGTGCTGAACCTTACAATCAACCATACACGGAGGATTTCAGTCAGCCGAAATATGCAACAGAGGAAAATAATTCCTTTGATAACCCAGCAAAAAATGAACAAAGTTATAACTCGAGAGATTATGATCGCGGGAATAATAAAGGCAGATATGATCGTAATGGCCGTAATAGAGGGGATAGTGATCGCAGTCACCACAAAGGGGACGGGGATCGAAGTCATCGTAGAAGCCATTATGAGCGAGATAGAGAATGGGATAAAAGTCGGTATCGAGATAAAGACAGTCGTTACCGTGATGGTGACAGATACAATCGAAATAGTGAAAGATACAATCGAGATAATCATAGTGATCGTGATAGGTTTGGTAGAGACAGAGATCGTGACAAATCAAGGCATAAAGAAAAGAAACCAGATCCTCCTCCTAGGCCTAAAACACCAGAGGAGGAAGTTCCAAGATTTTTAAGTTTAGAATCACGTATTCAGTCACTGTTGAATACAGGAAGTGCTGATGATAGTAGTGCTAAAAAACCTGTGGATGTGCCAGAACCGGTACATACCAACAATTCAGAAAATTGGTCTCGATCGAAATCAAACTATAGTGATAAGAGTAGTGATAGAAACTCACAGTATTCTGGAGGTCATGATAAGCATAGTCATTCAGATTGGTCTCATAATTCATCCACTAATCATTCATCGTGGGACTCGAGACACAGAGACCGAGGGGGGCGTGGTGATAGAAAATCACATCATTCTCATCTAATGAAGGATTCAAAAAGACGATCTGAGAGCCCCAAACACTCTCATAGTAACACTCCTTTACAAGATGAAAATAGTCGTGGAAGTATGGAATCAGATGATCGGATGAGTTTAGCATCCATCAGCAGTGGAGAACAAAAGTTGCACATGAATCCGCAGCAGTCAACCCCATTCATACCCCCCACCCCTGTTGCATTTACCCCGCAAACCCCTTCATACGGACATATGACTCCAGCCTCATTTAATCAGATCCCACAAAGTCCTTTCATTCCATCTACTCCATCTCCCTTCACTCAATTATCTGGCAGTTCTCCTTTCATGCCTCCTACGCCCTCATCCTTCCCCCCTTCCACTCCTACTTCGTTCTCACAAGCCACGTCTGATGCTTATAATCAGAACACGCCATTTAATCAGGCTACAACCTCTTCTTCGTTCAACGAATCATCTTTTAATCAGGAGTCTGTAAGCGTGGCCGGTGGATGGCCACTGGGATTTAATATGAACTTTGTAGATAGCAATGCTTATAATAGAAACTATATGAACCAGTATCATGATAATATGACAAACGGTAATATGGTTAACTCCACTGATCGCTTGGCCATGAACGATCGCATGTTTATGTCAGTTCTCAATGGTTTTGTGAAAGAATTAAAACAAGTGATGCAGAAAGATTTGTGTAAAAAGATGGTTGTTAGTTCAGCGTTTAAGTGTTATGAAAAATGGTGGGATGATGAAGAAGGCCGTAGTAAGGTAGGAATATACAGGAATGTGGTAAGAATATATGGGAATGTGGTAGGAATATATGGGAATGTGGTACATTGTAGGAATATACGGAATGCAGTAGGAATATTCAGGATTACAGTAGGAATATACAGGATTACAATGATTTGTTAGGTTACATGTATTGGCATGGACAGATTAAAATTAAAGGCACAACAAGCCTGATCATTCATATAGTCAAAAATATGCACTATTTTAATCTAAGTAAGCTAGTTGAGTATAAAATACCTAAATGTAGAAAGGTTTGCCATGTCATTAATATGGTCAAAAATATGCACTATTAAAATAAGTAAACATAATTGATTATAAAAAGACCTTTATGTACATGTAGACAGATTTGGCATACATGTAAGAAATAGAATGTACAATTATTCGTACTATAGTTTGTTTGACCAAGACACTACAATCAGGTTCATTTTTAGACCAAAAATGTTTGTACTTTTGATTGTGTATGGTATTAAACTCTGTCTAATCTGTATTCTGGCATATTGGGGCTTTAAAGCATAACTTCAGCAATTGTTATTTGTTGATGTTTTATTCATTATCTAATATATTAAAATAGTTATTATCAATTTTTATAAGTCAGTTCTGCTTCTTGCTGTGGCATCAGGGAATATGATAAGGCAAAATAATTGATTAGCAATTATTGCATTTTTTTTTTTTTTTTTTTAAAGTGCTAATCAATTTTGTTTCTCTTGATTGAATAGCAAATAAGTAACTTTTCACTACCGTATGTTGAATTGAATGATCTATAAAGGCCATAATATTTACCAATATATACAACTAAAAAGTTGTTTATTTTTATACTTGGTTGAAATGTCATCTCCGCTTTTTCTTGTGAAGTTAAATTGTCAAATTTATTGTGTATGATGTTTCGTATGTACTCTTTTAAGCCAAATAGACCCAGACAATAATTACCCACGTTTCTCTTATAATTTCAGACAGCAAAATTACCTACAACCACAGATAAAACTACAGAAAAAACGGGTGTCAGCAAACCTATTTCTAAAGACGCCGGTCTCAGTTCAACATTAGCATCATTATTTGAAGCTAGACACCCATGGGGTAGAGATGGTGGATTAGAAGCAGGATTAGGTTTTGGCCGAGGTTTTGGTATGGGTGGTTTATTGGGTATTAGAGGTGGAATGCCAAAACTCCCCTCATTTAAGGTAATTAAAATTCATAGCATTTATTAAAAGAAATTTCCGGTGACGATTGTAAATTTGAAAATTTGAAGCAAGGTAATTAGGCTATATGTATATTGTCATAAACACACTTTTATTTGAATTGCAGATAAGCAATTTGATTGGTCGCTGCTTCGGGACACGACAATTCCCATTCTAATTGAATGAAAGTAATTTAACTTGGTGTATAGATTTATTACGTCAATATCTTGACTAAGTTTTATCTATTTATTTGGGATTGACATCAGTCGTTAAAAAAGTTGTCGAGCATAAATCAAACATGGTGACTATTACAACCTGTAGATAAGTTCTACATCACCTATAATTGTTTAAATATATTTATTGTAGAAAAAGTTCCGTCCACCGTCACCACCACCAGTAGAAGATGAAGATTCTAAAACTAACATGTCAGCAGCTACAGTTGAACATGATTCAGGTAGAAAAATATTTCGTAGCAATAGGAAAATATTTGGTAGCAACGAAAAAATTTGGCCTCAACGAAAATATTTGGTAGCATAGAAAACATTTGGTTTGCATAGAAAGTATTTGGTTTGCATAGAAAATATTTGGTTTGCATAGAAAATAAATCAATAAACAATGAAACATACATGTAGCACAAATTGTAGTATATAAGGCTCCGGGCTAGTTAAGACTGATTAATGTAGGGTGTCGCTTACCTGTCGTCATTTGCTATTTCTCCCCCGACAATACTATAATTAATTTTTCACGGTTTAATCCACGCTAATAACATGTATATAGTCAGATTGCTTATTTAACATTTGATTAAGAAAAATCTAAATATCAATGGTAGATTATCTCCCAGCTTGTATTCTTCTGGATTGAAAAGAGGCCCATCAAAAAATTTAAGCACAGATTATAGGAGGCTCTGGCTTGTTTCGACTATTCATCATATTTTTTTTAAAAAATGAAGGAAATTGAACAATTTTTGGACCGATGTTCTTTTTAGAGATCAGCTCTCACAATATTGTACTTTGCAGAGGGTTAAAAATCTCTCATTTGGCTATCAGAAACTTTAATATTTTGCCTAACAGAATATCACTAATGGAAAAAAAACTCGATGTCCACGATGTTTTAAATTGACTCCATTTACAGTGTTCACTTTTTTTAAAACAATTATCTTTATAGTGAAATTCTCTAAAACAATTAGGTTCTTTGATAGAAAAGTTTTCCACTTCATAGCAGAATTTGCCTCTTTATCAAAATCATGATAAATAAAAATCTGCTTTATCACTTTGGTTTATTTTATTGTCTTTTTAAAATTAGATCAAGAAGATTCTGATCGTAAATCAAGAATAAAACGTCCCATAGTTAGTGAGAGTGAAGATGAATCAGAAGAAGAAAAAACACAATCAGGAGGTAAGATAAAATATTATCAGCAGATGGTCAAATTTCTGTGAACTGATTAGGACCATCAAACAATCCTTGGTTTCTTCTGTTTGCCATTAGCCATTTAGCACCAAAAAGTAGGGTGTTAACCGTGTAGTTCTTGGTACATGTAAATATTGACTACAAACCAGTTCCTTGAAAAATTAGAGAATATATCCCGGTATATCCCTGAAATGTATTTCTCTCGTTATAGATGAAGACGAAGATGAGTCTAGTGATGAAAGTAGTGAAGAAGAGGAATCAGAGGAAGAATCATCTGAAGCTGATAGTGATGAAGAAGATGATGATGATGACGAAGATGTAGAGGAGGAAGATGAAGATATGAAAGCTGATGCTAAAGATGGAACTTCTGATAAGTAAGTTTTCATCATTTACTCCTGTTTCAGTATAGAACAAAATCTTATAATTATTGTGAGATTTTCTCTAGTAATTGTATTTGGGTGACCAAATTGTCTAATGTGTTTGCTTTAGACCAGAAGGTCTTTCATTGAGTAGAGTGGCTTGGTTTGATTCCCAGCTTGTATGTGACAAGGAGTAGTGTCGGTCAAAAGTAATGGTTATTCTGCTGGTCCACAAATGATGTATGGCTGAAATATCTTATCAAGACAACCCCATTCATTTTATATGTGTTTTTTTCTAGGGAAGAGATTGATGTTGATGTAGAGAAAGTAACTGAAGATAAGGAGGATGAGGAATCTTCTTCATCTTCAAGTGATGAAGAAGAAGAAAGTAAAGAGGAGAGGTAATTGTTTGTCTTTAAAGAAAAAGTTTCTTTTTAGTTTCAAAGTTTTCTAGAGAGGTTGTGTGTCAGAGAGCTCTAAAACATTGTGTTACAGATCTTCACTCAAATTTGGCAAAGTAGTCACAACTTTGTTAATCTTCACTGAAACAGTTGGCTTCCATTTAAGTTTGCATAGTTTGCAAACAATATTTTTAATCTGGCAGATACACACGATAATGAACTGTATAGATATATGCATAAATCAGGTCTCATTTGCATGAAATTACAAAAAAAAAAAATAACTTGGATCGTCATTGGAAGTATTAAATTATAGGTCTGTCCATCAGAAATTTTTAAAAACGAACCCTCTTGTATTATTTCAGTGAATTGGATGACTCTAAATCAGAAGTCTCAAAGAAACCATTATCTCCGATCCGGGAGGAAGGTGAAGAAGACAAAACAAAATCCAAAATTGAAACAGTTGTAGAAAAGGAAAAAGTAAAGGAGGCAGAGAAAGAAGACGAAGAATCCATGGATGTTGATGTTTCTACTGTTGAGTCAGAAGAGGAATCTATGACCACTGATTCGGCAATCTCTCCTAAAAAGCCTGTTCAGGAATCCAAGACACTTTCAGCATCAACAACTACTGCAACTTCCAGTTCAACTTCCTCCTCATCATCCACAGAGTCCAGTGCATCTCCTGTTAAAAGCTCAACACCACAAAAGGTACCAAAAAAACGAGGACCAAAACCAAAGACACCACCTAAAGCACCAGAACAAATCAAGCCTCCAGAGTTATCTCCAGTACCTGTGGAAGCAACTCCAGAGGTTACCCTCGCAGATATTGAGAAGAAGCCGTATGTTAATCCAGCTATTGCAGAACATGATTACTTTGCGGCTCCTCCTCAGTCTGGATTTGAGTCAGATGCAACAGAATCCGCAGATGAGGAAAGTAGTGGAATGTCGAGAGAAATTTGGATGGATCATAGTTACTGCTTACCTCCAGCTAAATATGATTTTGAGGTCAAAGGGGAAGAAATACAGCTTGATAGTGATACGTCCGCTTGGGCGACAAGTTTTAGTGCTAAAACGGACAATAGTGAATCTGATCTCTCTGATGCTATATTGCAAAAGAAACCTAAAAAACCACCAGCACCGAAAGGCAAGAAGGCAGAAAAATTGAAAGACATTACGAACAAATTAAAAGGCAGTCGTGAGTTAGCGAGTATCTTACCTCCTCCTACGCCGAAACCAAAACCGACTTACACAGCCAGAAGTTTACAAGAAGAACGGCAAATATTTTTTGAGATATTTAGTAAGGGTATCGATGAAGAAGATATTCGGTACATGAAGCGCACATACGATGATCTCATGCAATCAGATGATCCAGTGTTTTATTGGTTAAGTTCTATATTATGGGTGGATCATCCGCACACCAATATACCTGATCCCACTCCACCTAGAAAGAAGAGAAAGCTTGATGAACCGCCACAAGTTAAAACACATAGAACAGGTATACTGAAAATATATTTACAGACGGGTGGGTGGCCGAATAGTCAAACATGTGCGCTGTCGGTCATTGTGTTAAGTGACATGATTTCGATCCCACACTTGTGACAAGGAGTAAGGGAACCTGCCTAACCTCATGCACAAGTAAATTATTGAAATAAAATTGTACCACATGTTAGTTCCAAAATAACCATGCTTGTATTGAGTGGATGTTAAACCCCATTTCTTTCTAAATCATATTTAGCTACAATCTTTTTTTGAAAAATCTTAACTGATTAGTAAAACAAGCTTCTTATTTACCATCTGATACCACTTCTATTTGAGCTAACAAATTTTGTTGTACTTTTGCTTAACTCAATTTCCTCCATTGGATTTTTATACTTTTATCCGGCTATAATTCTTAAAATGGTCTACAATTCAGAGTTTTTTGAGAATTTTATTTGGAACTGTTAGGAATTTTCAAAGGCGTTCAGTGATGATTTTTTTTGCAGAGTTTCAGGCCCTGTCGCCAAAACCTTATAAATTCCCTCTACCAAGTCAGGATTTATGAGATATGGTTTTAAAAACTTGCTTAGCAAGTCCTAAGAGTAAGTAGGAATCCTATTACAATGGGTTTTTGCATGGTATTATAGATTAATAGAACATGTATATTTGTGATTATTACAGGTTGTTGTAGAACTGAAGGGTATTATAAATTAACAGAACAAGAAAAAGCACCATATCTGTGGAATGCCAGGAATGTTTCGAAAGTTTCTGTCTCTAAAGCTGTAAGTATTAACTGTATTTTGTCATTGGGTGGCACAAATAACTCTGGTCTCTCATGGGGAAATTAACCATAATTAACAATAATTTTCATCTGGTGTTTAATTAAAGAATTATCTATGAAAGTCATGTATCACCCCTCCCAACCCAACTAGACAGTGTCTAGTCATTTGGCCGGGACAAAAAAAAAAAAAATATGGTCCTGTGTACATGCATGTAAAAGAACCCTTGACAAAATGTCCCTCAGAGCATACTATATGGCATACAGTCTTCATTAGCCCTCTCGATTTCTCTCTTTATAATTACCACTCTTGAATTTGTCTTGAACTTTTATTAAGTACAATATTTGTATCCATGCATGATTTACTCTAGTATTGGACAGAAATTTTCAATTCTAGTCTGATCACATTTGTTTATATCTCCACTTTATTTTTACAGCAAGCCACTGCCAAAAAGAATGTTCAAACACAGAGGGATGCTAGAAGTGAAAACCGTAGACTCCAATCTTCATTTGCAGCAATTACTGAAATGGGTGATCTGCTTAAATTCAACCAACTTAAGGTATGATTTACTCACCTTGTCTGTCTTTTATACAGTCTAGCTGATTTTCCGACGTGGTTTCCCCTTGTCAGTGGTGCAGAACGGAGGGCCTGACAAGGACAGCTGTCTAGTCCTTCGGATGAAACGAAAACCGAGGTCCCGTGTATACATTAGAATGTACGTAAAAGATCCCATGGCAGTTGGAATTCGATATGGGAGTAGGCGATAGTGCCGCTGCCCGGGTAAAATTTCCCTCATAGCACACTGTATGGCGTATGCCCGTCTTCATTAGCCGAGTATAGGAGCAGAACCCCATTTCATTTCATTTCATTTTTATACAGTCTAGCTAAATCTGCAAATGTAAAGAACTGCTGTCTACTGCAGTTTGTCGTGCCATGGTTCCTTTTGTCTGTTGGGGGTTGGGTGGTCAAATGCTTTAATGCATGACTCAGAATAGGGTCGCTGGTCCAACCTTGCTAGTTATTTCTGTGTCCTCCAGTTTCCTCCAACTGCTAATGACTCCTACGTACTAGTGAATTATTGAAATAAAGTTGATTCATATGCTAGTCCAAAAATGACGGTAATTTGTGACATTAAATCCCATTTATCTCTCTTCCTTTTGTCCATTCTTTGTTGGCCCACATTGACCATTCAACCATGTGCACAGATTTGGGGCTAGACGGAATTAAAATGATGTTTTAGGGGAAGAAAAGATTATTTATTGTCTATGTGTCTTTTATTTTTCCAGTTCCGTAAGAAACAGTTACGTTTTGCAAAGAGTCCTATTCACGACTGGGGTCTGTTCGCTCTAGAACCTATAGCAGCAGATGAGATGGTGATAGAATACGTCGGTCAGAATATTCGTCATTCATTGGCTAATTTACGGGAGAAGAAGTATGAAGAGGATGGTATCGGTAGCAGTTATTTGTTCCGTGTGGATCATGATACTATAATAGATGCCACACGAGTAGGAAATCTGGCACGATTTATTAACCATTGCTGTAGCGTAAGTATATCCTGTACTAATAAAGGGAGTGTAGTGGCTTTAAATCATTTGACTCAAATGACATTGTTTCGATATCAGACTCACAGGCCTCACGTGAGTCTAATGGGGCCCATGAATATCAAAGTTCAATATTGAAATGGGCAATTATGCATGAATTTTTTATTGTTCCTTTGAAGCTTATATAAGTATGTACAAAAGTTTTCACTTTATTGCAATCTGCTAGTGAATCATCTAGATCTGACTAGTGTTGGAAAGGAGATAGGGGGGACAAAAAAAGGTCTCGCCCAAGGGCATTTTTTCCTCTCAAGGGCCCTGAGGCTCGTATCTGACAAGGAGTAGAGTCGCCTGTCTAACCTGGTGTGTTTTCTCTATGCCTTCCTGTATTTTCCCGACTGCTAAAGACCACCTATGTACTCCTTGTGTTTTGGGAAAAGAAATACTGCTGTCCGGGCAAAATTCTCCTGTTTCCTTCCTCTCTTAAGACACATCCCTAGCAATAAAAATTACCATGTTTTAGTCTCGAAATGACTAAAATATACTTATTATACCCCATTCTGTGCCATTTGATAAAGCTAATCCTAGAGACTAGTGTAATTAATATAAAATAATGGTTTTCTATTTCAGCCGAACTGTTATGCAAAAATTATTACCATGGACTCCCACAAGAAAATTGTAATTTATTCAAAACGAGACATTGATGTGAATGAAGAAATAACCTATGATTATAAATTCCCCCTCGAAGACGAAAAAATTCCTTGTTTGTGTGGTGCTCAGGGCTGCCGTGGAACCTTGAATTAAGTTTGATATTCGAATAATTTAATTCAGATAAAAAGATGTAGTTTTGTTTTCTTTAAGAGTTTTAAAATTAGTGGTCATGCTGTTCAAAATTTTTTAGCCATTTTCAGGAAGGATTTTCGGTAAATCTTGTTATTTTTGCATTATCTGTTTATGTTTGTACGCTTGAGAAATAATGAATTGATTGAATTCAAATTGCTTCTAATTTTGTCATATTTGTTATTTTTGTGAATTTATGTTAATGAACTTGATTACAAAGATATAATTAATTAAGGTATTTCAAGGTGCATTATGTAAGAGCTAAATCTTATTATTTTAGGTCTTTTTTCAATCTTTAAATGTTATAGAAATTGAGCAATCTGATTAAAACACAGATCCTATTTCATTTTGTTTTTTATAGTTCAAAATTTCGTTTTTACTTGTCTTTACAACACTAGGATCTGGAAGAGTTGTTATTTAACATGCGTTATAGTTGATGTGAGGAATTAGCCAATGAAACGTTGTGTTACGGCGAGTTTTTGGTGTGCTCTGCACAGAACTGTGGGTAAACCCCTAGAAACGTCAACGCTGATTGATTAATCAATGTCTGATGTCATAGGGTCGTATGACCCCTGACGCAACCTCCAAGTACAACCAGTCAGATCTTTATATAGTGTAGGCCATCGAAAGTGTAAAAAACGAAACGAAATATAGATCTGTATTTTAATCAGATAAATAAATTGGGTAGATTAGACCATCACAGCCATTTAAGAGTTTAACGATAAAACAGATATCGTGAAGTACCTTTACAACGATTATAAACAATCTATGCTACATTTTGTCCAACAATCATAACTTCACATAGAATAAAGTAATTTGACTGAAATTTTCAATATACAGTATTCATTTATCATTATCTATATTTGAACTACTTCAGTGAGAACGGCCAGCTCTTTATCTAATTCTTACATAATGCATCTTTAAAAATCAATAATTACAAAGTCAATAATTAGATAAATAGATTCACCATTATTTCAAAACAATTCAATGTTTTGGTTTAGAATACACTTTTGTGTTGTAATAAATTATAAATCGTACAATAATTTATAGGAAAAAAAATGTCTAATGTCTTCAGTGAACATTTTGTATCGTTATATAGTATTTATTTATATTATTAGTTAAGGACTTCTTGAAATTATAACCAATACCTTAAAGAATGGAAAAAAAAAAAATTCTTTCATAGGACCACACTTATTTGATTTTCTGTTCTTTAGGAACACATTTTAAGAAAAATCTTATTACTTCAGGAAAAAACTAAAAAGTAATGTGTTCGAATATACGTTGCCATATAGTGTGCAATAACAGTTCAGTCTACACTCAATCTGCCTCAATAATATTAAATCAGGCTTTTTGTGAATTGATGTATATTTAACTTTTAGACTTAAGTAATTACATATTTTTCATCAGAGAACAAAATAATGTATTGAAGTTAAGCCACTTATATTTGCACTTCTCTGGCAATATTTAATTTTTCAAAGCTTAATCTATGGTAAAATGTAACCAAATTGCTTATTTAGCATTTTATTAATTTACTCAATTATCATCAACAGTAGATTATCTCATGGCTTTGTTTCTGTCAGATTAAAAAAGAAGCCCATCAAACACATTTAGATGGTGTTGGCTTATTTATATTATTGTCTGCAGGGTATGCTGAATTAAGGAAATTTAATACAGAAATGAATTGTACAATTTTTGGACTAATACTTCTTTTAAAGATTTAATTTTCACAAAATAGTTTGTAAGAAATTCAAAATCCCGAAGACACAGATCACCGGCTGTAATGTTACATGAATCAAGTCAAACTTGATGGATTTCAGTAGTAATCTTGTTCTAGCAGGTTAAAATAATTATTAATTTTACAGAAATGTAGGCAATAAATTTTGAATGCCCGATCTGTATCGGTGTCATTTATCCTGAAATAATTTAACAGTGGTTATAACATTCTACTGTTATTTTGTATGATGTTATTTTCCACAACATAAGTATCCCAATAGTTACATAATTGTGTTAAATTGTGTGCCATTATATTTAGTTAATTGCTTGTGCAAGGTTATTTATGTTAAAATATCATTTTATTCTCCATCTTATCCTTTCATCCGGCTTGTTGAATTCCTCAACTGAATTGTGTTTGGTCTCTTGACTAAATATATCTATGTAGAAAAAAAAAATTAAATCATAAGTGTGTATATTTTTACAAAGTTGTACATAATTTGTTATTGATAATCATTTTGTCATTGTTTTGCATTATGTAAATATAAAGAACGGTATACTCCATTTTCTACTTGTTCAATAGTAAGTCATGTGTAAAGTGTAAATAAAATAACTATAAATTAAACCTGGTTTTCGTCCAATTGAATCATCGAGTACAGAGCCATCATTTCGCAATTAACTGTAATTTATACTGAGGGCTGACACCTTTAATATATCATTGCCCACCAGATTCGACCATCCATTTTTCGAGCAATGTATTTCTGTTTTGAGACCATATATCACAGAAATATAATTGTAAAATGAAATCGCTCGCAGTTTGTTTTGAATACTATAATACTTATGTGGAGCTTTGTGGAAAACTTGTTTTAGTTAAATGAAAATTCTGGTGACAAAGAAAATTTTCAGTAAATAGCCTCAGCCCCTCACCTCCCAACTGAGATTTGCCCCCTACACCTATGATTGCCATAGCAGTGACTTAGGCACTTCTATTTCTAATGATTTTTTGCTGCATATGTGATTGTTTTGTAATGCAGTTCTACTTCATATCACATCTGGCATACACACAAAGACTAAATAAACTCATTCAATTCCATTAAATGGAAGCGGAATAAATATTTTGCAAAATTCTCGAAGTATACTTAGTGTTTTCGACTAAAATCCTGGATGTAGGATTTAAAATGATGGTCAACTAGCTTAGTGTCTGTTCCCAAGCAGAGTTAACTGTAGATCGGTTGCCTAAGTTTAGTATGAGGTAGAATGTGCCAGAATTTCAGAGTGGAAAATTTGCACACTATCAATCAGATATGAGAGTGGCCAAGTGTCTATAGGTATGCACAACATTTATTGGCTTCGCTCACTCATGACTACCTTATTAGAGTCTTGTCATTCTGACAGATAACTCCTGTTGAGACATGATCCTGTGATCTGGATAGCCATGAATGTGGGATACATGGCCAAGTGCCAATAGGTGTGCCCAAGTTTAACTGGCTTCATTCACCCACTATATCTTGACATGTGTTGGGGTCATCTGCCTTACCACACTGGTTTCTTCCAGTTCGTTGATATTTATCCAAATTAAGCAAGGCAGCTTGCACAAAGAAGTTAACAGCGAATATTTCAAATTTCAAAAAACTTAATTCCACTTTCACTCTTCGATTGGATGCCCGTGGACATCCCCCCATCCCACCCTCTGTTCTTCTCTTGGTATTGGGAAGACATGAAACCCCATCTCTCTTTTTTGAATAAAGCATCTGACAGGAAGTTATTATATTAGTGAAATTCCATAGTAAAGTGACAAACTAGAGTTAAGAGTTCCCTTGTCTTTGATCCTGAATGGTAGTCCAAGGTAACACTAAGTACCGGTACTATTAACTTTAAGGAGTTGATATTTAGTCTTAAATTAACATTCAAAGTCAGCTTAAGTGAGAAAGTGGGGGTTAAAAATTTTTTTTTTTCGTCTGGACCTCTTTGATGTTGCAGTGCCGTAATTTGATTTCAGGATTATATACTGTTCCTGCCGATTCGTGCGAGGTTATATTATATTTCACACCACCTTCGCATTTGAGATTGCGATATTATGGTATAGATTTTAGCAAAAATGAGACGTATTTGCTTCTGAGAGAAGTGAGAATAAACATGAAAATGGCCAGTAGATATTGGTGATTACCATGATTTAAATTTTAATGAATTTCAACTATATCGTCTTTTAAACGATACATCTTAGGAAGGACTTGCATTGAATTTAAAAATTAGGGAGTTTTGGAAGTTGCAGGTATTCCATAATTTAAGTCTGTTGACTGTCGTGAAGTTTTACACCTAGCCAAGTATACTTAAAATACAGCTTTTAAATATCAGTTCAAGTTACTCATTTAGCTAAGTAGGTAAATTAAGTAATTTCACTTTAATAAAACCTTTGAATACGGGAATTGGTGGGTTAGTCGTGGAGGCGCGTGTTCGGAAATGTTTTAGAAGAGGGCCACCAACTCACAAAAGGTACACATGTTTGGTCATTGCCCCATCAGAAATCACCGGAAAACGTCATTTTCTCACTCTCCTTTTCTTTAAAGTTTGAATAAATATTTCGTCATATTTCCGTTTAGTTACTTTTATTTTTGACACATGTGAATGAAAACGGTTAACTTGAATTTTTGTTTGTGCGCTTGAAGTCGGTGGTTGGTGCATTCCAACTTGACTACTAAGCTATGCTTTAGATTTGTATTTTAATTATATGGCCATATTAAACAGACTTTTCACTACTGCAGTGTATCCATGTAGGTTGCACGGTGTAAAGAGGAATCACAAGTAAATGAACCGTTGGAAATCAAAGAACAGGATAAATGCAAAATGATCCAAGTATAGTGTTAGCGAGGCCGAAGCCCTCATTCTATTCATTATTGATTTATCTCCCCTTCCCAAATACAGTGTCATATCATTAGTCTATTTTTCTGTAAAAGAAAGTATAATTCGCTATAATTAATTGTAACTCCATTGATATGCAAATGTGTATAAAAGGGCCTACACTTAATACCCTTTCTCAATGATTTTAATCCGAGCGCGCATTCTTGATATTGATCTAAAACGTTGACACTGGTTAATACTATACGTCACTGTAGGCCAAAACTGTGTAGACAGGATCTCACCTGAGCTAAAAATACCATGACCTACTTTAATGGCAGGTAGAAAAAGAATGCAGTCGTCTATGTCATAGAGGACATTTTATATAACTATATCTTTTTTCCATTAAAGCTGCATCCCTATTATATTGTATCGGTGCAGTTATTACGACCTAGGAGCTATAATAATAGGTGAATTAAAGTAAGTAGACGAATATTCAAGATGGATGCCCTACAAGAACTATCGGAGGATTTTCTAACGTGTAGTATCTGTTTGAACATGTACACAGATCCAAAGCAACTTTCTTGTTTACATTCCTTCTGTAGAGACTGTTTATCTGACCATATAAAAGCATGTGATAAAGGGGGTGTCGTGGCTTTTCCTTGTCCAATGTGCCGCAAAAACATCTCTCCTCCAAGCCACGAGTTTTCGGATCCAGCAGACGACTTTCCAGACAATTTCTATATCGCAAGTCTAGTGAGCTCTGTGGCCAGGAAGGGTGGCGGCGGTTACCCGGAATGCAGCGTTAAAGAAAGCAGGGACGACGACAGCTGTCAAAATCACCCGTCGGTTACTGCAGACGAATATTGTATGTCTCAGAAAATAACGGTATGCTCTGTCTGTCGTCCGAGCCATTCCTCCTGTGAAGAAGATCACGTTTCTCTCCAAGCTGCCAAAACCAAAGTAGCATCATTGATAATTGTGCTAACTGCTAAAACAGACACTACCCACAGTGTTTCTAAAGGGCTTCAAGACAAATTGGAAGCAAAACCTCTAAATTTACGCCACAGAAAAGACGAACTTCAGATGGAAATATCAGAGCATTTTTCTGCAATTAGGAATAAATTTGTCAAACATCTTATAGATCGGGAAAAGGACGTCACGACAAAACTTCAAAATATGGTAAAAGAAGAAGAAAAGAAGACGGAAGAAGCAACAGAAGAGTGCAAGAACATAACTCAATCTTGTGAAAAGAAACTGGAGCAATTGGAGAAGCTTTCTGTCAAGGGAACCTTTATGTCACTCGAATATTTGAATACCTTGGAAATCTTGTTAGAAAAATTGAATGAAGATGCGGTCAAAATTGAGTCGAAAACCGACGTCAATAACATTAAATATGTCCCAGACTTAGAAATAGATGACATTTTGAAAAATGTGAAAATAGGAGATGTAGTCGATGGCAGTGACCATGCGCTGGAGAAAACTGAAAAATCACCCAAACTACCGGTATCCACTGTAACGGCGAGTTCGGCCATTCCTTCAGCCCCTCTGCTCGAGCAGTCCTACGAGAGTCTTAATGCCGCAGCAGCCTATCGGCCCTCGTGGCCCCAAACCACTTTGTCGCAACAACCACTTACATACCAGTATCGTGAACCCCGAAGTTATGCTTATGCGCCTCAAGCACCACAAGCTTACGTTTCCCCACCGCCACCATCACCTTATTATACTGTACCTGCACAATACGGGAATCAATCATTTAACCGTTACCAACCGCGAACTAACGTTGCCCAGGGACCACAGAGACCAGCGCAGACCCGTCCATTTAAAAGGTACGTTAACCCGAGTCAAAACCCCGATAGATTTTTCTTGGATCGTGCAAGAGACCGACAGGAAATGGACGAACTTAAAAGAACAGCAACTTTATCATGCCGATTGCCAAATGATTCTAGAGCTTGTAAAATCGTTGGTTTAACTGCTATTAAAGAGGACACATTTGTGGTAGTAGATCGCTTTAATCAAAACATTAAACTCGTTCGATTAAACGGACAGGGAATGAAATATATTCAGTTTGGAAGCAATATGGAACCGTGGGACGCAACTCGGGTGCTATCTTTTGAACGTGAAGAAGTTGCAGTAACGTGTCCTGGTGCCAGAACGATTATTGTTGTCTCGGTCGTAAGCAGCTCTAAAAATAAACGCCTTCATCTCGACTTAAAACTGGGTTCAGAAATATCAACAACTGTAGGATATTCATCTCTGGGGTGCATTAATGACAAAACACTTGTTTGTGGAGTTTGCAATCCCTATGGACCTCCAGAGATTCACGTAATATCCATGAATGGAAGAATTCTCCGAGTTCACAAAAGCGTTGTTACCTATCCTCGGAGCATCGACACATCCCCCGGGAAGATCATTGCTGTGTCTGACTGGACAGTTAAAGAGGTTGTGCTAATGACAGATGAGGGGGAGGTGGTAAGCAGATACAGGGGGCAGGGTAAATGGGATTTAAAAGAACCTATGGGATTGACCTATTACAAAGATGACTGTTTCATTGTCGTAGATCGAAAAACGGGGTTCATTCATCGTATAACGGAAGATGGTGTTCAGGAACGTGTGGGAAGAACTATTGATAATGCCCACATGGTGACATGTGTTTTTACTAGCTCTACTTTCAGTCAAGATGGTCTGGCTGTAGTAGTTGCAAGTGATAATGGATGTATTGCTGTGTATGAAGGATGCTGAAAAATGTGTAACGAATAGGACCATTACACTCACGATTTAGGTATACACAACATGGAGGCGGTTATTGTAAAATGCCCATCTGCCTTATGGGTAATTTAGATACACGCATACTTAATCGAATCTCATCCACTAACATAGAACTTGATTAATCTATTTGGAAGTGGTGGACAAGGAGGGCTTTTTACAACAACCCACATGGACGTTTCATGGCGTATTACAAAACAGTGCCAAGATATTATAGTGTTCGGCAAACAATCTTCCTGTTAAATCCTAATTTTAAAATATGCCTATTTTTTTTACAAAAATTTCAACTCATGAACTTCTCCATGTTGGTAGCATACAACGACACACAGCTGAAAATCCTAACATATATTTTTACAACGTGTAGCCTTTGGATAAAAAATCAATTGTGTGATGCTAAGATTGTGTAAATTTTATTGACAAGACTATCGTCCATGGACAATTTAAAAATTTAAATTGTAAGGGTCATTTTCTCTCTCCGTAAGGATTTATTTCTTAATATCAGCTATTTAAACATACATTATGCAAGAGCTAAATCTGCCTATTGCAGGTCTTTCTTTAGGCCTGGGATGTTATTTAAATTATTAATTAGACATTAATTAACTTATCCAGACCATAATCAACTCTCGATGTCATCGCTAGCCTGTGATGTTTATTGGATTAGGTTCTGATTTGCTATTTGACTTCCATTTATGATTTAATCATGAATGGATAACCGAGACTATGTTTTTTATTGTACCGACTTTAGTAATGATGATCGAGGCTAGGCCAAAAATTCAATCGCTAAAATCTTGATTCAGAGTGGATCAATTTGACTGAAATTTTCAGCAAATTCCCCTTAAATTATCTAGTTTTTAACTATTATAGTGGGAACTGCCAGCTCTTTATCTAATCTCCCATAATATATCTTTAAGTCGTTACAAAATATTTAATTGATAAGTACTAACAAAATAAGTCATTGTTATATGACTTCGCTACCGTATAAAGATAAAATAACGAAACAAGGCATTTTTAATATACCCAAGGAGTATGCACAGTCTTATGACACTCGGCAAACCTCAGCAGATTCCAGTACTTACAGCTAGATGTAGAGTAACGGAATCTGCCGAGGTTTGCCGAGTGAGTCTTATGATAATCATTTTAATTATTTTAACATGCTTGAGAGTATATTATTACATAATGTATACTTATATCACCTGTAAATATCCCTCTTTATCAAAGTCATTGTTATGTATTGCTTTATAATTATAATATATAATATATTATCTATTGCTTTGTTTGCATTGAAAGTTTTTATTGTACATCATTACATATCCTTGTTATTTGTTTTTGTATCGGTCCGGGTTTAGATATAATCGACCATGGAAGTTTTACAGTGAGGTAATTTTGTAAATACATAAAGATTTTATTTTCTTAACCTTAGAGAATCTCTAGTTAGTATTTAGTTGATCAATCGAGAACCCCAGAGCAACCCCTGATGGCAGTTAACAATGGCCTTTTGAATATACACTCATGGTCACTTTAATAGACGGCTTTCGTGGAATATTTTTCGAAATGACCTAGGTTATGGTGGACGTTAAGCACCATTCTCTCTCTCCCTCCATTTTAAAAGATGAACTACTATCAATGTTGCAGTCCTTGAATATATATTTTATGATGTGACATTAGAGAATAAAACTAGTTAATTCTGTGTGGAAACAATTAACCTTCTCCCGAAAAGTTCCAAAAGTCAAAGCTAAATAATGGCGGGCATTTGTTTTCCAAGGTTTATATACAAATACATGTACATGTTCATGTAAATATGTAATATTTGGTTTGAGAAGCTGATTTTTGCCTCTATCGATCACCGACAAGGGCTTTTGCGAAAAGCGCTCAGAATAGTGAAAAAAATGCCAGCCAAAATTCTACATACATCCAAATTTTGACATACCAGTTTTTGGTCACCTTTTTCAGTACTTTGTGTGCTACTGATAAACAAACAACCACCTTGTTGGTTCTTTTTACTTGCCGATATTTAGTTATACTCCTAAAGCACTTACCTAATAACACCCAATAACCACCCAATAACTCCAAACGGGTAATTCGACGCGCCCATATATATAGGCCTATAGAGTTTGTTGAAATTGTATGCTGTCCTCAAAGGACGTTTTAATGCAGTAAAATGCTATTCTATTCTGTTCTATATTAGAACGGTTGATTCGGAAAAGTAGTAAACTCCATTTAATTTCTTTTGGCTTGTTTTACTACCCTGTATATTGAACATTCTGTATGGCTTTATGAAGTTTAAATTATTTAAACGAACATTTGCATAACTATAATTATACTGACTATGCCTGACGTATAATGTGGAAAAATACTTGATCCTGGTGTGTTAGTTTTAAAGAAAAGGAAAATCGAAAGTTCGTGATAAAAATCATGAGTTAATATTGATTTACTAATAACAGAACACAACTATTGCATTAATGAAGTCTTTGATGTTATAAAACTATTCAGAATATCAGTATGTTAATGATCTTCGCCACTTTTTTTTCCATCGGCAAACTGCAGTGTCATCAAGATAAATCACATTGTGCATATTCTTTATTTTAAGACTTCTGATCCTCCTTTGCATTTATCGAACAATATTTAAATTATTTTCAAGGCTTAATTCACGCTAAAGTATACTCAAATTAATAATTTAAAGATACATTTTGTAAGACTCAGATAAAGAGCTATCCATTCTTGCTATAATAGTTCGAAAACAAAATCTATACGGTAGATATTCTCCGAGTTAACACTTAATCGAAATAAAAAGAGATCCATCAAACTTGTTTACCCGACTGCACTTATAGGTGGCGCTGGTCTCTTTGTATCGTCATTCTGAACCTTGAGAAGTTTTCAATTCATCATATCTTTGTAAGTACTGAACGGAATCTGAACCATTTTAGGACTGATATTAATGTTAAAAAAACTGACCCCCCAAAATATGGATAGTGTAAATTTGGACCAAAACGGTCTTACTAATCACCGACAAGAGTGTTTTCCTTTTCTCAATTCACATATCCATAATTTTGACCATTTTTTTATGAATGGTCAAAATTATGGATAAATGAAATTGAGAAAAGGAAAACACCATATATAATAGGTATGCTTATTCATAAAAAAATTGTCAAAATTATGGAAAAATGAAAATGAGACAAGGCTATTTTATGTATCCTTCCTTGTCGGTCACTTTTTGCAAAAAACTTCGGGTGATATTGATCCCCCAAAAAAACAACCCCACGGCGACAATACATTTACAACCAGTGATATAATTAATACACAACACTATGTTTAAAAGTATGTATTTATAAAGGCCAATATATATATATATGCAATCCATGTACATGTATATGGCCGAAATAAATCATAAAACACAACACATTGTTTAAAAGTGTGTATTTATGAAGGCCAATTTAATATACATACGAATCCATGTAGGCTATAATATACAGTATCAACTTATGTACCCTTTTAAGTAACATAAACATATTATTTCAAATAGGTTATTTTGACACAAACAGAAAAATTAAAGACTTGATTTCAGGGTTAATATATATAATATAGGTTGTATTAAAATAAAATGAAATGAAATGGGGACACTGGGATCTAACCTCTTACTGAAATGCTCCGATTGGGATAATGAAGACGAGAAAAGCCTACACCATAGTGTGCCATGAGGGAAATTTTGCCCGGACAACGGCGCTACGGCATTTATATCGAATTCCAACTGTTAAGGGATCTTTTACGTGCACGCCAATGTGTACACTACGGCCTTCTCTTATATCGAATGCCAACCGCAGAGGGATCTTTTGCTTGCACGGGATCACGTTTTTTTGTCCTATCTAAACGACTATATATACGTTGTCCTTTGTCAGGCCCTCTGCAGCCGTCCATCACTACCACTAATTATAGGAACCGAAAGACGAATAAAGTATTTTTGAAATGTTTTAACTTGACACGAAAATGCATCATTATTATTGGATACAAAACAATATCTGGATTAAAAAATTGTATTAATATTTTTCTAAAATAAACTAGCTGCATGTGGCCATGGGTAAAATATAGTGTTCATGTTTTTGGTAATAATCCCATTATTCTAAATTTAGCCTAATTTAGGCCTATTTCATTAAATGTCACAACGATTTTCTGATCCAAAAATGGTAATAATATTATTAGCCCAGTATACATTGTTGCGTGCTGTCTGTCTGAGCACGCGACACGTCTATCTTAATTCTTACCATGGGTCATAGTTCGTCCTTTATCAAGCGCCGTAGCGACACTACTGAATATTCATAAGAAAACAACATGGCGTCGACGGTGGTAGTAGTGGTACTACTCCACTTCATTTTTGAGCAATGTTTACTAACACGGGGATCAATTCACTGGGTTGTAACAGAAGATGGGAGGGTACAATCACAGGTAACTCTTGAAATAATATTTAAATAATATGATTAGTGATGTGTTGATTAATAATTAGCTAAAGGCTGGTAGTGACCGTATCCCGTTCCGTAGCGTAGGTCTGTTATTATGAACTTGTGTGATCCTCCCACTCAATCTACTGTTACCTATGTTTCATCATGCTTTATTTACATAGACGGTCATTTATTAACATTTAAATGCAAATAATTATTTAACAAGTTATTATAACCTTAGGATAAATGTTCTATCGGTAGTCATAATAAAATGGGTATGCACGTTTTTTCATTTTGATTTACCTGTCAAAGTACTCAAAGCAACGGTAATTGTTTAATGACATTCTCATGCATTCCATTGGCAATAATTTGATCTGATGTAATGTATCTGTAGCATTGTGTATCACTCAACGCACAGCTGAATGTTGCTGCAAACTTGCAATGTACCCTGTAATAAAAACTGTTGCGTTTTTTTTAAAGGTTTCTTCAGCAACGTGTCGCAACTTTTGCCCATGCGTTTTAACCATGCACAAGGTAGGGTAATGTCATTCACAAATTTGAAGACATTCACAAAATCTTGTCTTCCAACAATGATTCATGCTCATTCCTGACAATATTTATTTCGATGTATTAATTTTGAGCATCCCATTTCAAGCAAGTATTTAATTTCACTCATAGAAATCCAAATGCAGTGTGGAATTGAGCACAAAGTTTTTGTATCCTTTCAACCATTGTTAGTTTAAAGGAGCGAAATCGCTAACATTTGTGACCTAAAAATTGACAAAAGTGGGTCACAACGCATATAATACTGTAATATGAAAGAATATAAACTGATTTACATTCAATCGTTTCTGTTTTTACTCTAATTTCAAATCAGTTATGTTCGGCGAAATAAGCCAGCAGTCTCAAGCGAGTGCAAATTTCTAGCGTATGGTTATTCCAGTCTACATACGCCGTTTGATTTGGTGCAATTTGTCTAGCCTCGTCCCTTGAATCTCTTGATACAACTGGGGCCGAAGCGCATTATGGTACACGATTCGTGTACCAATGGTAAAATGTTTATTTTGTTTTAAATATTGGATATCAAAAGCCCATCTTTTTCCGGTTAGATCACAACATGAATGTTGATTTAATTTGACAAATAAATCATGTTTTCAATGTTGAAGATTTTGGATGATATTGAGTTAGAGACTTAGCTACTTTAAGTACTGGTAATAAACTTACTTTTATTTAAAAATAATGAATAGAGGCCACTTGTATCTAAAACAGACTGTACATCTAAAGAATCATTCTGTTAATTTAACTGGGAAATGTGACAAAAATTTAACTTATAAGTTTAAAGTAGCCAAGTCTCGAACTCATTATCGTCCAAAGTCTTTGACAATAAAACCCTGAATTATTTGTCAATTTATAATATCAAATCAACATTGATATTATGATCTTACCGGGAAAAGATGGGCTTCTGATATCCAATATTTAAGACAAAATAAACATTTACCACTGGTACATGAATCGTGTACCATAATGCGTTTCAGCATCATTCGTAACAACAAGGGACTTGAAGAACATGCCTAGACATATTCCACAAGTCATGTCAAACAGTGACGTCATATTCATATCTGGAGAGCATGCTCAATAAATACTATCGGTGTAGACTGGAATAACCAGATGCCAGAGATGGCCATTCGATTGAGACTTCTGGCGTATTTTACCAAACATAACTGATTAGAAATTACCATAAAAATAGAAACGATTGAATGTAAATCAGTTTATATACATTCATATTACATTATTATATGCGTTGCTACCCATTTGTGTCAATTTCTAGGTCCCAATTATTAGCGATTTAGCTCCTTTAATCTTAATAGACCAGGCTAATGTTAAATTAGAATTAATAAGATTATGTTAGATATTATTCAAAATAATTTCTTATTCATATTTCCGTAGGAGTCATGTAAAAGAAACCTTGATAGTTGGAATTTGAATTAAGATTAGGTCGTAGCGCCACTTTTCGGGCAAAATCTCCCTCATCATAGCACACTACCACATGGCTATGCATGTCTTCACTCTTCATTAGCCGAGTTGGAGCAGAAAAAGAGGATGTTAAACCCCCTTTCATTTCATTCACCATAATATATATATCAAGACTCAAAAGAATCAATTTCAGTTTCCCAGATTGACGATGCGAGTTCATTGCCATAGTTATGATTAATTATTGATTCAGGTAAGAAGATACAATCAGAATACATCATGCCATGATACACCTGGATAATTGACATTTGAGAATTTAAAAAAAAAATTGTAATTGTTTTTCTTATTGTCATGACAATCTGATTTTCCTCATTGTATGAAAGTTGATAAAAATGTACAGTATATAATGCCTGTATGACAGTGTATTTGTAGTGCTACTATTGATTGTTGTTGAAAAAGGTTCACTGAGAAATTTGAGCTGAGGTCTTTTGTCGCAGATAACAATGTTAGCTCTTGCACACTTACGGTAGACTTGCTGCCTCCTCAAGCATATCTTAAAATGTATAATTTATTGCTCAAATTCTTATGGAAGTGTCTACTTTCAATGTATCATTATTTTTTCTGTGTTCATTGAAATATATTTTGTGGAGAGAAAGAAATTGGATTTTAACATATATGCACTCAACACTAACTAGATCATTTTGGGACTTTCAGTGTAGGGTATATTTGTAATTGAGTACCGTAATTCACTTGCACATAGGCCTATGTCTCTTAAATATGCATTTTATAAAGGCTAAATCTGCCTAGTGCAGATCTTTGTTTTGGACTCAAATGTTACATAAATTATAAATGAGACATTTATTCACATTGACAAGCCCATAATCAAATCTCCAGACCATTGGATGGTCTTGATTTTGAATGGATTGAAACGCAAAGCCATTTAATGATTTAATTATAAAATAGATAATTGAGACTGTGTTTGTTATCGTAACAGCAGTAGCAATGAAAATCAAGACTTGTGTTGTTTTTTTCAAACATTCACAACTTTGTCCAGATTAAAGCAATTTGATTGAAATATTCAATGTATTTCTTTTTCATTATCTATTTTTGAACTATTATATCAATAACTGTCAGCTCTATATATCTAAATCTTACATAGAGCATCTTTAAGAAATGTTCAGTAGTTGACAATTTAGTCAAGTTTAAACAGACAAACACTTATTTCTAATTACTCAATTGAAATGAAAGCCTGTCGAAACAGCACAGCAGATTAACTCCAAATCATAACAGTCCTTCTTCTTTAAGCATTGCAACCACATGTGGTCTAATGTGTGCACTGTAAATCATTACCCTATGCAAATCAGGGGTTTGGTCCCAGGTTGATCCATGATCTGTCTAACCTCATGAGGTCCCCCACCCCCTTCTTCTAAAGACCCTGAATTAAAATAGAAATATACATGTACTCTGTTAGTCCCAAGTGGATGATAAACCCCATTTAGACGCTCTCAGGTTGCAATAACTCAATACTGTGTAATTGTAATACCCATCAATTATATATGTTATACAGTTGTAATGATGAGGCATACAATTAATGACAGACTAGACAAATGTTTATAAGTACAATGGTCATTGATGATAACATTATAACGTGATAGGAAATGATATATACCACTACATGCACACTGTTTCCTATATATATATATATTATACACACATGTACAAATACTATGTATGTATGTTAACCCCATTTCATTCATATTTGATTTTTTTTTACTAAAGTAACAATATTCACTTTTAAAAAATAATGGGAAATGATAAAAAGACACTTTTCTGTTTTTATTAACTGTAGTGTGAATTGAAACTTAAAAAATTTTCACAAATGCTTTTCTGGCATGATGCAGGATAGCAACTATCCACAATAAAATGTGCAATTTTAAAATCTGTTCAAGATATTCAACAGTTTAACTCTAACCATTTTGTTGTTTGCAATATAATGGTGGAAAAAATTCTGCTATGTACAATGTGGCCAAAAGATCTACCGGACCGGTTACTAATATTTCAAATGCGTAAGCGTTTTGAATATTGTGGCAATGATTGAGTGATTTTCTGTCAAGTGAAATTTTTACGACTTTCTCTTTGACAATTAAAATCTATGAATAGTTATAATCATCTCATGAAGCATGAAATAAATGTCATCAAATCTGTCATCAAATCTGTCCTGAAACTTTCAGAAAACACGAAATAGGTCATTTGAAATTTATCTGTCTGCATTATGATAATATTCATGATCATGATAACAACAACCTGATATCATTTGCAATAGTATTAAAGGATGTTTGCAGGAATATATATATTACATACTACACTGTAACCCGGGTATCATTTAATCTTGTGTATTTAGCACTGATTTCATTCACATTCGTTTAAAACTTCGTAAAAATCATTTAAATCACCCAAAATCATCTAAAAAAGGATTAAAGGATGTTTTCAGGAATATAGATATGACATATAATATATTGTAACCCGGGTATCATTTAATCTTGTGTATTTAGCACTAATTTCTTTCACATTCGTTTAACATCAAATCTTTGTTTAAAAAATCATTTAAAATCACCCAAAACCATCTAATTTGAACTTGTGTCCAGTTTAAAGCTGACTGATTAATTTTGATAATGAGTGTCCAATTTACAAGTATTTAATTTCCTGACCACTGTTCAAAAATTAATCATTTATACTATAAATCAATAATGAATTGGGTTGTTTATTTTTGATATTAAATGAATGCGAAAAAAATTAGTGCTAAATACTCAAGATTACCGGTAAATGATATCCGGGTTACACTGTTACAGTGATAGTAGTTACTCGCTCTTAAATTTCTCTTCAACATCTATAAAGCAGTAGAATACAAATGTCAAATGTAAATATTCTATGTCATTCAGTCAAACAAGATGTGGTGGATGCCATCAAGTGTACTTAAAATTAAAACTAAATTCAAATCTCTATTTTAATTGCACTGGGTGTGTTGATTTTACTTAAAATAAACAGACATCTTTTTAATATTTTAAAATGAAAATTTAATCGTATAGTAAGTATTAATCTTGTTCCATCATTGGCATCACTGATTAAATTAAGGTGTCAGATCAACCCAGCTCGAAACTTTACTTGTAACGAAAACATAATTTGTATAAAGTTATTAATATTTTTTTAAAGGAGCTAAATCGCTATTCTTTGGCACCTAGAAATGAACACAAATGGGTTGCAGCGCATATAATAATGTAATATGAATGTATATCAGAAATTTCTAATCAGTTATGTTTGGCGAAATATGAGAAGAGTCCGTATTGAATGGCAGTCTTTGGCGTCTGGTTATTCCAGTATACATGGTTGTATTCTCCTACATATACATGGGATATGTTTAACCTCGTTTATCAAAAAGCTTCATACACATGGCGATACATGTGCCAATTTTAAAATTTTCATTTTGTCTTATTATAGAGCGTATTGCTCTATTTTTTGGAACCTTGAAATAGACAAGAATGGTTCTAAAAGCACATATTATTAGAAGTATGTTATGCAAGAGCTAAATCTGTCTATTGTAGGTCTTTCTTTAGGCCTGAAATCTTATCTAAATTATTAATTATACATTAATTAACCTATCCAGACCATAATCAACCCTAGATGGCATCGCTAGCCTGCGATCTTTAGTGGATTATGAGCCGATTTACTGCATAATTTTCCTTCACGATTTAACGATTAAATGGATAATCGAGACTATGCTGTTTATCGTACTGACTTTAGTAATGATGATCGAGGCCAGGCGGAAATTTCAATTGCTTAGTTCTTGGTTCATAGTGGATCAATTTGAATGAAATTTGCAGCAAATTGCCTTTACATTATCTGGTTTTTAACTATTATAGTGAAAACTGCCAACTCGTTATCGAATCTCCCATAATGTATCTTTAATGTAATATGAATGTATGTAAAGTGATTTATTTTCAATTTTTGAAAAAAATATTGTAATTTCTAATCAATTATGTTTGGTGAAATACTAGAACAGTTCAAATTGAACAGCAGTCGTTTACGTCTGTTAGGTGCATTCTACACATTTTTTAAATTATTATTTTGTCATTTGTGAATTAACCATTACCAATTACATCCACATTGTGTTGTAGGATATGTTTTTATTTGGTCATTACAAAATGGCATCCGATACCATAAGTCTGGTACACGACACATGTACTGATTATAAAATGTTAATTTTTTCTTAGATATTGGATATGAGGATCCTATAGTTTCATGGCAAAATAACAACATCAATATTCATTGAAATTGATCAATATTGAATTCTAATTCATGTTTTTAATTTCAAATATTATGGAAAATATTGAGTTAGAGACTTAGCTCCTTTAAATATTGTATCAGAAGCCCAATTTTTCACAGTAAGATCACAAAATCAATGTTGATTTAAATTGACCAATAAGTTGTGTTTGCAGTGTCGAAGACTGTGGATGAAATTGAGTTAAAGACTTGGCTTCTTTAAAACAAAACCCAACTCAAAACACTTTATTTTGAGCTATATCATAGAGGCTTTTAACTCCTTTAATAAAGCTTATATAATATTAAAACAATGTTTTGTTCACTTTTCAGGCTGATTCCGTTTTTAATTTACGACGACCGTATGATTTAGTAGCGTTTATGAAACAAGAAGATAGGGCTACAGTCTTAAATCATTTAAAGAAAGAATTATTAAATAGAAAAGGTGAAATAGATAAAAGTGAAGAAAGAGATACGGGTAAGTTGCTGTAACTGCAAGATTAGTACACTAGAAGCTCCACTGGAAAGTTCATGATTTGAATTAGAACATACAAAGCCCAGGTCTGTCTTATCAAGGGCTAACAAGGCCTGTGTGTCTAGTCATTCATATGGGACAATAAACTCTGATTCACCTATATACCGGTACATATTTGAGTGCACATAAAAGAACTCTTGAAATTTTGAATCTATGAATGAGTAGACAGAACACTGCTATCTCGTCAAAATTCTCCCATGCACATTTGTTATTACATGTATCTAACTGTATACAACCCCGTTCTCAAGAACATGTTTTAAACCAAGGCTATCAATTTGGTAATATCTGCCAGTCTTGACTGATTCGCACTAAAATTGTCTGGCTAGGTATTTCAAAGAATTTAACCTTTTAAAACAAATAAATACTGGTACAGTTCAATTTATAATAATATAGTCTTTGTGTGTAAACAAATGTAAACACTGATTCATAAATCGGGTAATGCTAAAAATTGTCATATTCTTTAAAACAAATATCTTGCTTATCCGAGAGTAACATATTAATTGGTTTACAAAATGTTGAAGTGAAAGCACTGTTTTAAATAGTGGCACATGCATTGCCTGACTCTCTGGTGAAATGAAGTAACTGCAGCAATGACTTGTCTTCTATCTCATTGATTGATTATTGTTTCCGATACACTTGGATCTGTTTGATCCAACATAATATGTAAATTATGTCTGATAACGATGTGACGATAGCAGGTGTTGCAGTCCAGGATTGGAAAAAAATTTTTTTTTATATCTAACAAAATGTCAGGCACTATTGAACTAGTACTTGATATTTTGAACTTTGTGCTGAGCATGTATTAGAAAATGATGAGCACCAGAGGAATTGTGCCTGACTATCTTTGAATTTGTGCCTGAAAATGTCTGTGACAGGTGCCCTATTCCCAGACTTACGGTTAATTAATTTTATGTTTTGACAAGTTAAGATTGATTGTGTTTGAATTTATTTTATATAACTTATATTATAAGGTGAAATATTGATATGTATATTTTTTTTTTTTTTTTTTTTTTTCAGCTGGTTTAGAGCAAAAATTTTATAAAACCGATTTTGACTGCATGCAAGCAGAGAAACCATTACCAGAATTTGATTTGTATATAAGCACTGTTTTACCACTAGAAAATAAAGGAATAAGGTAAGATCGTGACATTTGACCCATGGACCCGTTCATTTATCTGCAGCAACCATAAATTATGCGACAGGTGGTCTATATCATCAATTCAATTTTGATATTTTATCATTTACTGTCATACTTTAGCAGACGACACTTACTCCTGAAATGTCAGAGAAAGATGTTACAACAACAGGATATACTACTTGACGATTATAATGTAAATAGTTGCTGGTAGATTTTACCCATTTGATCGATATTAATATAGATATTGTAATTGTTGAACAATACATAAAAACAGTTGATACAGTAATACAACACAGCCATTGGTAATTTAAATCCTAGTAAACATCAACTGGATAATATCAAAGTGATTCAAGCTGTTACATAAAATATTAAAGGAGCTAAACCTCTAACTCAATATTTTCCATCATATTTAAAATTACAAACACGAATTAGAATTCAATATTTTTTTATTTCAAACAATATTGATGTTGTTTATTGTTATCTGACTGTGAAAATATAGGATCCTAATATCTGATATTTAAGACACAATGAATATTTTAAAATCAGTACATGAGTCATTTTCTCTGTGGTTACGGACACTATTTGTAATAAACAAAGAAAAACATATTCTACAAGACAATTAGTCTCGGTCACCCAGAAACTCCTAGTCTTCAATGTATGGAGGGTCTGGGTCTGGTGTCAACATTTGATGTCAATATTTGACAAAAAGTTCCATTCCCATGGACAACCAGGAGGTTGTTTTTTTATGTGGTTGATTATCCAGTAAATTTTGCCAAGTCAAGTAAGAGTTTCGCTCGTTCCCGAAATAAATCTCACAATTCATGCATTATTATAATCAACATGAATTGTGTGAAAGTAATTAGTAAAGGCTCATTCACAAAGGACAATATAATAATAAAAAAAAATGTGTAGAATGGACTAAGCAGGCATAAACAACTGCCATTCAATTTGTACAATTCACATATTTCACCATCACCAAACATACTTTTCTTTAAGACCCATTTCGGTCTATTTTAAGGTTCCAAAGAATAGAGCAATTATATACACCCTTTAAAATAAATTTCAAAATTCCTCCTGTTTTGGCGCTCTTTCCCTTTAATCAGAATGTTAAAGTATGGTAGTGATGTTATTGATTTATAAAACAAATCAAGGGCACTCTCTGCACTGGGGGAATAAAGACATACTATATTGTTTTATAGCCATCTACAGACATGCAATCTGATTAAAACACAGATCCTATTTCGTTTCGTTTTTTATAGTTCAAAATTTCGTTTTACTTGTCTTACTACACTAGGATCTTGAATAGTTGTTATCATTGATGGGCTCTGGATGATGTGAGGGATAAGCCAATGAAACAGTCTGTTAAGGCGACTTCTTGGCTGGCCATGCACAGAACTGTGGGTAAACCACTAGAAACGCCAACGCTGATTGATTAATCAATGTCTGACGTCATAGGGTCAAAAGCCGCTCATGCGACCCCTGAGAAAACCTTCAAGTACAACTTGTCAGATCTTCATGTAGTGTAGGCCATCGAAAGTATAAAAAAATGAAATGAAATATAGATCTGTATTTTAATCAGATTGGCAGACATGTGGAATATAACGATCAATTAGTTTTCCATTACTTATTACCTTTTAACTATCCCATTACCCATTGCATGAAATAAAATAAAATGAGTCCTTATTTTCTGAACTCATTACACATTCATTACTTCCAACCGTTCAATGAATACTTTTTAGTACACATTACCATAATGCTAGACTTGATAGATAACAATAGGGAAGTATTTTATTTCAAAATTCCGGAAATAAAATTTGCCAGTCCTTCCTTCCTATGTCTTCTACTTGAATAAATTTGATGATGTTTATTGTTGTTTTTATATTCGTTGAAAAATCAGTTCAAGTATTTAACATAAATTCTTTCCTTTGTGACTATTTTATTTATTTTCTATGTCATTATTATTTTATTAGACACTTCTTGCAGCACAACTGCCACAAATATATTAAATATTATTATTTTTATTACACACTTCTTTGCATCTGTGACATAATAAGCTCATGTTATGAAACAAAACATATTACATTTATTTAATAAAACAGGATAACAAAGAACATATTTGATAAAAAGATAAAATAAAATTCAGCAGATGTTGCAATTATTCAGCAGATGATATTTTATGTACCATGTAATTAAAATAGATCTCTATTAAAATAAGTCTAGATAATTCATCTATTAAGATAGGTCTAAGTAATCCATCTATTAACATAGCTCTAGATAATCCATCTATTAAAATAGCTCTATAGCTCTAGATAATCCATCTATTAAAATGATTACTAAGTTTAGTTTTAAATGTTATTTGTGGAAGTCATGGCTTCAATCCCATGCCTGTCCAACCTCCAGTTTCCCCCCATAGCTAAAAATCCCTACAAGAAAGTGATTTATTGAAATAAATTTGAACCATATGTTAGTCCTTAAATGATCTTAAAGTGGATGTTAAACATATTTTTTGCATACTTTGTAGACCAGAAGATTTTATAGATTTACATGCTTCACCGAGTGATGAACCAATTCCACCAGATTGTACACAAGTCACTGATCTAGATTTTAGTGCACATAGCTTTGAACACTTGGAGGTAAATATTTTAATCTTTTAATTGTATATAATAAGAGAAGACATGAAACTGGTTGATGCTTTTAACAAGAGAAATGAAGAACTATTCTGATGATGGGTTTCCGTGACAACACTAGTGTTTGAGTTTATAACTTTGATTATGAGTTCCACTGATTACACTGGTGCTTGACTATAACTTTGATGATGGACCTCACTAGTGTTTGACTAGAACTCTGATGATGGGGGGGATGGCCGAATGGTTAGCACGTGCATGCTGTATCATACGGCCTGTCATTGAGTCAACTGGCATGGTTTCGAATCCCCGGTTGTATGTGACAAGGAGTAGGGTCGCCTGTCCAACCTCGTGGGTTTTCTACGGGTCCTCCGGTTTCCTCCCACTGCTAAAGACTCCTACACGCAAGCGAATTATTGAAATAAAATTAAAAACCATATGTTAGTCCCGAAATGACCTAGTTTGTGTCGAGTGGACGTTAAACCCCATCTCTCTCTCTCTCTGATGATGGGTTCCACTGACTACACTAGTGCTTGCCCAGAACTCTGATGATGGGTTCCACTGACCTCACTAGTGTTTGACTAGAACTCTGATGATGGGTTCCACTGAATACACTATGTTTTATTGTTAACAGGGAGTTAAAGATAGACATAATCTAACAGGAACTCCTGAGTGGGGATTAAAAAGTGCCATCACCCATCAAGATAATGTTGATGATTATGGACATTTGGTCTACGAAGCATTTAAAAGTGTAAGTATAACTATAAGAATTCTAAAACCACTTCATTTTATTGAATAAAACTGTTTAATTCTGAGTGCAAAGACGTAAAAATTGTTATCCTAATTCCATGCAATCACCTGAAGCTCTGTGTGCGGCGCGCCAACAACCAAGGTTATTGTGTAGGTAATGATTTATTTAAAGACTTGATGCTTCATTTACATTTTTGCTAAAATATCAAATTTCTTACGGCTTGATACACGCTAAATATGTACTCGTATTGATTATTTAAGACATGTTATATAAAAATAAAATCAAAATACCAGTGCTCGATAATTTCTCGGCTGGGATTGAAGCAGATTTAGACTATTGATTTGGACAATTAGCAGTAATCAATTGTTAAATCGAATACCAACCCTGTCTTAATTTGCCACAGATGATTCAAAGATAGCAACTAATCTTGTGTGATTAGGACACTGAACTAAAATACCCTGGGTTCAAGGAAAATCAGTCTAGTTATTTGGATGGTATAAAAAAAAACAAGGTCCTATGTACAAACAGATATAATCATAATCTTTATTCAATATAGAAGGTCATTGACCCATAGTATCCGATGCAAGATAATTGTACACAATGTTGCTACATGTGCATATAAAATATATAAACAATTTCTATCAAAATCAACCATGGAGGAGTCCGTATAGTTTGCCTTAATAATAAGGCCTGTTTTATAAATATAAAGATGGACATAGAACTCGAGTTGATAGTGCATAAAAGATCCTTTAGCAAATCAAATTCAAAAAAGAGTTCAATCAAATGCCTCTGATTTCCAGCCCTTCCACCATAGCTTTCCACAGTACTAAACCATATTCATTATTTTTACACTGATGTTTTTTTTTTATAGAATAAAACATCATGGGTATTATACAATATGGCAGCATTTTACTGGAGAATAAAGGGTGATCCCTATCAAGCTGTAGAATGTGTTAGAAGAGCTCTACATTATTCCCCAAGGTAATGATTGTACTCTCAGATTTCAGTAAAATGTGCAAAGATCAACATCTAGATAAAAGGACATTTGACAGTCGGAATTCGATGTTGTCCAGACAAAATTTTCCTAATAGAACTCTGTATGAAGGAAGTTGAACCCCATTTCTTTCATTCATTCATTCAGTAAAGGGTAATTCGACCTTACCTCGGATATCAACTGGACCATTTCTCAGGAGATCGGTATATTGATCAAAACTAGAAGAAAACAATTTTTGAGGCCCGTGCATGACTTTGATTGGCATTAGATTGGTCTAAATCAAATTTTTTTGTTTATTTGTTGTTTTTTTTTATTATCAAAAATTATTACCTACAACCTTTGTCTAAATATTTGATAAAATAAACTAAACAACAATATGTGTTAAACATTTACAAACATAATAAAATAAATTTGTGATGGACAGAGCTACTGCAGATATAGACTAACGGTTGGTGGGAATTAGCATGGTTCCCAACAGCTTTTATGGTCAAGCCATTGTCTTTATATTTATAATATAAATAACCTGCTATTTGGCTTAACTCAGGTTTTACTAGAATTTCGCTTGCTTGTTGATTGCTATGAATATACAATATAATTCTAAATTTATTATTTTTTTCTTCAAGATTAATCCCCTTTTGAGATTAATCTTGTTAAGATTTATTAAATAACAAGATTAATCTTGTTTAAATTATTCATAGTCAATATTAAATCCAGTAAATAATCATATTTTGTCACAAAAAACATCTATAAAAGGACTAAACATTTATGTTATAATCTTTATATGTATCTAATGAAGGTCGATTAAAGACCGAAACGTCATCAATAAATCCTGTCTTATCAACACAGCTTCTGTTCTTCTTGGGTTAGGGGATCCATCACTTACTTGTTATGAAAAAAAACATGTTTTTGTACTTGAGCACAGAACTTGACATATCATTGTACATTGGCCATTAATACATGTACATCATCTAAAAATATAGTCTATTAGTCAGATAATAATAATGGTTACTTTTCTCTACTTTCAATTTCAGGTTTCATAAAGATGTAGCCTTGATTAGTTTGGGTAATATATTACACAGAGCTCGTTATTCTAATGAAGCAGCTGTTGTTGTTCATTCAGCACTTGAGATATCAAAAGAGCTCAATGTCAACCATTTTACTTTAGGAAATGTTTATGCGGTAAGGTTACTACCTCGCTCTTTGATTTAAGTTTAATATTAAACATTCATTTGGGTTCATCTGATATAGGGGGGGGGGACGAATGGGAGAATGTTTGTGCTTTAGATCATAAGGTGTGTCAATGATTCAATTGGTGTTTAAGTTTGGTAGACTCACCTGTCCACTCACCTGTCCAGCCTCATCGGTTTCCTCCTGAAATGACTTAGTTTCTGTGAAGTGGGTGTTAAACCCAATTTTTCTGTCTCCTCCGAGTTCACAAAGCATTCTCAGACTTAAGTTAAGAATTTACTCAATAGTTAAGAATTTACACAAAAGTTAAGAATTTACTCAAAAGTTAAGAATTTACTCAAAATTGTTCGCCCTATTTTAACTAAAATAAAGCCCGTTATAAAACTTTTGTTATTTTAATGTATTAGATACATCAATAAGAAACTATGTGCAAAGTTTTCTGTTTCTGGATCAAAGATATTTGTCATCAACAGTGACTGAAAGTTTAGTAAATTCTTAGTTGAAGTCTGAGAATGCTTTGTGAACTGAGGGCCTGGTGTGTTATTTTGATCAGTAATGCATCAATCTTCTTAATACAGTTAATTATTACACGACTTAATACAGTTAGTCCTACAGTTAATTATTCATTAATTCAGAGAAGTTGTACTGAACGGTAAAAAAAGAAGAGTTTATGTCATACAGGAAATGAATCATTTATTAAAGGATGTAGTCATTTTTTATAAAACTGTGTTTGTTTAAATAGAATGCTAGTTGAAGTGCATCCAATTCTGGGTCATAAGGGTTATTTGCATTAATTTCACGTCTTAAAAGTTTTTTGTTTTTTTAAAACCATGTTTTTATTCAGTAAATATCTGAATGACTTACCACATGCATTACATTTCAAGGTTTTACATTTATCTCGATCTCATCATCTGTCTGTAGTATTTATAGATATTTACTGATTCTTGTGTTATTTATAGCTCATATTTATTTATCTTTCTGTATTCTACGCTCAATACAAACAACTTTATTTAAAGATGTATTATGTAAGATATAGATAAAGAGTTGACAGTTCTGGCTGTAATAGATAATGAAAAAGGAATATATTAAAATATCAGTCAAATTACTTCATTATGAGTGAAGCTATGAATGTTTGAAGAATAGTGTAGCCATGTGAAAAAATCTGTAATTAAAGTTTATATAACATTTGAGGCCAAAAGAAAGATCTGCAATAGGCAAATTTAGCTTTTACATAATATATGTTTATATATTTCAAAATTAAGGAAATGAATTGATGGTTGTTATATCAGTCAGTTTATGATTATCCAATATCCTCTTTCAGGGTTGTGTACTTGATAATTGAGCCATCGTTATATTTCTGGTATATTTCCGGTTTCTAATTCAACCCTTAATATTTAGTAGACTTACTTCCCTTTACCTTGAATAGGGCTTAACAGACTTTAACATCCTACTTTACTACACAAACCAGGCTAATGGGAAATACAAATGTGTGGTAGTTAAGGGGGCAGGCTATGCGAAAATTGTTGTTTTGAAATGTTAAAGCTATTGCATTGAAAATAATACAAGTAGTTAGAAAATGTAATAAACAAGGGAAAATTAACATTAAAAAATAGTTGTTGCCAGGGTAACTCATTTTTTTGGAAAAAATTACGAAAAACGTAGGTACGCTATATCTCTGTAACTAATTAAGATATCTTCGCCAAATTTGCAGGGTTTTAAAACTAATATCTACTACAGAATCAGACAGAAAGTAATTATGATTAATATTACAAAAGTTATCAAAATATTTCTCCAAAGACAAAATATTGTAGTGAGGCAAATGTTTTAAACATCATTTTCCAAGAAACTATAAAAATTTGGGGTTATTATTAAAAATAAGCAGTCCGAAAATGAGACATTTATCTTTATTATTATCAGAGATATGGTGTTCCTACGTTTTTCATACTTTTTCCCCAAAAATGTGTTACCCTGGCAACAACTTTTTTTTCTTTTTTTTTAATGTTAGTTTTCCCTTGTTTATTACATTTCCTAACTACTTGTGACATTTTCAATTCAATAGCTTTAGAATTTCAGAATTTTTTTTTCGGGTAGCCTCATCCCTTAATAGGAATGTTTATATTTTTAATTTTTTGAAAATAAAAACAGGTCATGCGCACCTTTTTAAGTGACACAGCAGAATCTGAGAACCAGAATATATTTTTTTAAATATGAGCTAAGGCAAGATAGGATATAATATTTTGCCATATACTAACAATGTTAATAATATGTTTGTATAGGTACTGGGAGAATATAATAAATCAGTTATCTGTTTTGAGAACACTCTAAAAATTCAACCCGACTTCGAGGCAGCTGCTAAGAGGAAATATGCTGTGATGTGCCATTCGAAACTAGAGAGTGCTCTTGAAGCTCAACACAAGTAAGTCACAATTGATGATTTAATTATTATTAATCTTCTTATTTGAGATAATCTTGTGCTTACATGTACAATTTGGACAAATTTACTTTCTGAGGTAAAAATCTAGAACTTCGCTCAACTGAAAGTAAAAGGAAATGATCAAAATGCCAGTCTCATTAGAATTAATAGAATTCGAATATATTTTGTTTCAGTTATTTTTTCTGTTGTTTGTTTACCTTATATTACCGACAGATGGCCTACCTGTGTTGCTATTGCAAGCCAGTGCTAATGAAATTAGTCACTTTTCTCTGGTTTGAATCGATATATCACATCAACTTGCTATTTCAGTCATTATTGAAAATTCTGCAAAAGATCTTATTTCTCTGTTCCCCCTTGTTTTTTTTAAAAGAAGACGCAAACAAAAACCCATATGGCAAAACTGTGGACAAGATGCACAATATACACAGACATTGCAAACCATAAACAGCAGACGTATATATCGGGTCATGTGAATGGATACAAAGCCATGTACTACGAGGAATTGGCACATTGAAGAAAACGGTACTATTCATTTTTGAGAAATAAGCCAAGTCTGGATGCAGGTTGTCTCTGGAATAATGTAACTAGTCAATGTATTATAAAACTTTTTCATATCCTGGATCGATCTTGTATTTCCAGATCTTTACAGAGAACTTTGAAAGATTTAAAGGATTATCAGAAGAAACATGATCTATGGCAACAACAGAACGAAAAATTATTGACAGAACAAGTGACAACAGAAGCTAAAATTGCTCAAAGTATTGCTTTGGAATTGAGTAAAGCAAAAAAATCTACACAAGATATAGGTATAAAAGTATTTTTTTGTTATTTATATTATTCTGATATTGTAATATATATTAAAAAGGACTCCCAGACAATTTACCTGGCTGCATTCCCTTGTCAAGTCATGTCTTGTGCTTTAGAGTGACAGGGGATCACAATAATCGAATAGTAAGAGCACAGGACTCTCAATTAGAAAGGTCCATGGTTTGAATCCCGCCTTTAGCTGAGAATTAAAGTAGTAAGATTAGAGTCTATTTGTCTGACAAGGAAACCGTTGTCTAGTTCTTTAAAGTCCACCCATCTAGAGACTGGAGTGCTCATAAATTCCACCTGTCTAGAGTCAGGAGTGCTCATAAATTCCCTTCGTCGGAGACTGGAGTGTTACATAAAGTCCACCTGTCTAAAGACTAGAGTGTAACGTAAAGTCCACCCGTCTAAAGATTGGAGTACTCATAAATTCCACCCGTCCAGAAACTGGAGTGAACTTAAGGTTCATGTATCTCGATACTGGAGTGCTTGTACAGTTCACCTGACTAGATACTGGAGTGCTTAAAGTCCATCTGACTAGACACTGGAGTGCACATAAAGTCCATCTGTCTAGATACTGGAGTGCATGTAAAAGAACAAGTGTAAAGTTCACCCGTCTAGATACTGGGTAAAGTTCACCCGTCTAGATACTGGGTAAAGTTCACCCGTCTAGATACTGGGTAAAGTTCACCCGTCTAGATACTGGAGTGCTTGTAAAGTTCACCAGTCCAGATACTGGAGTGTGCGTAAAGTCCATCTGTCTAGAAACTGGATTTCTCATAAAGTTCACCCATCTAGATACTGAAGTGCTTAAAGTTCATCTGTTTAGAGACCAAAGTGTAGGTAAAGTAATCTGTCAAAATACTGGAGTGCATGTAAAGAACATGTGTTAAGAACCGTACATTAGCTTCCTTTTACGGATCAAGAAAGATAATCTAGTGAGTATAAATATATTATTGTATATTATACAGGTGAATATTGTCATATGGTAGATAGAGATGGTAAACAGGTATTACTATGTACCTGGAATAGAAAAGCACCATCACTGGAGATGTTGGATCAATTTGCTATGGATGAACAGAAGAAAGAGGTAATGTCTAGGAGTAGGCATATTGCACATATCTTACCTTAGCAATAATTAACTGCATGTTAGTCTCAAAATGTCTGAAGTATTGTGTGGATGAGATGTTAAACTCTATTCCAATTTATGGGAAAACCGTGGGTGCTGTCATGTCTCACTGTTAGCATTATAATATTTTAGAAGTTTTAGTTTTTTTTGCAAGAAAATATTGTTAGCTGTTTAAAGCTTTCAGGTGGACTTGTATTTCAGAAGTATAAGTCACTGGTTAGAAAATAAATGTGGGAGCAAAATGGTTTATATACAAAATTACAACAACAAAAAGTTTGATTTGGTTATTTGACCTCTCCTTTTAAGTGGTATCAGTGATTAGTGAGATTTAAATTTATTTTTATATGCAATTTTCAGAGACTATCTATGCAATGGATACACTTTAATGTTTTATGTCTTTTTGATCAGGTTGAGAGAGCCAATCAAACATCCAAGAAATATGAGAAAAAGACTATAGATTTTAATTTCTATTTCTATTTGATTAGGTTGAAAGAGCCCATCAAACATCCAAGAAATATGAGAAAAAGACTATAGATTATAATTTGCCAGTTAGAGCACCACTGTATGTTAAAGAAAGACGACCTGTTCCTAGGGTAATATCGTTAATTATGTTTTACTACTTTATATATAGAAAACGGCTTCTAATTTATTTGGACAACGATTCAAAGAGTATTCTCTCAACGTTATTAAGCTGATAAAGTAATTTAAATTGAAATATCACCTAAATAAATGAACACTTTGAAAATGTCGGCCAAAGGAATTGACTCTTTGAAACTTTTCCCAAATAAATTAACTCTTCGAAACGCCGCCCAAATAAATTAGTAGCTGTTTTCCATCAATTTTTTGCCCTATCCGGTTACTAAATGTCTCTAAAAGATTACTATATTTATATTAGTAAAGACCTTCTAGTAGTGGGGTTCTAGTGGGCAAGTAATGTGCTGCAGATTTGAGGTTTGTTTAAGAGTTATGAATGTACAACTACAACCATATCTCCAACTTATTCATCTGAGCTTTGTTTGATCTGTACATAGTACAACTACAAACACATCTCCAACTTGAAAGTTTTTAATTTTTTAATGTATCTTTCTACAGTATGGCGATACAGATTCTGGTGCTGATGATTGGCCTAGTAAAGAAGAATGTGATACATTTGTACAGAAAGTACCTGATCCACGAAATCTGTCTACTGTTTATCTCTCACCAGAAAATAAAGGATTCGAGTAAGTTAAAGTTGTTTGTTTTTCCTTTTCCCCCTCTAATGTTCAAGTTTATAATTGCTAAAGCCTTTTCATGTCCAATTACTAATAAGGACATTCAACTCGGAAATAGTATCAGAGAATTTATTACATATAGAGATGTAAACTATAATAATGCCAGAAACCTTGAAGAAATTATCAACTATTTATGTACATCATAGAGAAAAGTTTACTTATATGACATATATGTAAATAATTATGTAAATTTGTAATTTAAGTATTGTATCGTGTACTATGAGTACGAAATAAAGCATTATTATTATTATTATAATTCTATATCCATTGATTGGAGAACATATTCATATTACTGGAGCATGTCATATTATGTCCAGACAGCAGTATTTCTGCCTACTTTGCACCAAATTCCAACGTGTCTTTTACTAGCCGACCAACGAGTACAGGCAGCCATGGTGGCTCAGCGAGTAAGACGTTAGCTCTCTCACCTAGAGGTCTCGTGTACACATTGATGTGGACGTAAAATATCCCTTGGCAGTTCTGTTGGAATTCGATATAAAAGTAGGCTTATTGTCGCTATTCGGGCAAAATTTCCCTCATAGCACACTGTATGACGTATGCCCATCTTCATTAGCTCAGTCAGAGCAGAACAGTAGGACGTTAAACCCCATTTCATTTCCAACAAGTACATGTGTGAATTTTATCAAATTCCAACTATCTTGGGTTATTTTAAGTAAGTGCCAACAAGTTCACGTATGGATCTTGCCTTTTCGTCCTTCCCTCGAGTTTTCGTTGAAGGGCTAGATGCTTAGTCCCGTACAGGGTTAAATTTTGTTTCTGCTATTCATTGGGAAACCATTATGAACTGTATGAAATTGTTTACTATGTATCTGCTTTATCTTTTTCAGGGTAAAAGCTTTGTTAACTGAAGCTCAAAACCTGAAAGCAAATGGAGAACATCCGTTACCATGGTACCCTCCGATCTGTGTAACGTTGTTGACTATCAATGAATATGATGAGAAAACGTACGATAACGTTAAATCTGTCAGCATGGCTGAACGTACCAGAGTGCCATTAAAAATGTCAGATCCGTCCATGAGAAAGGTAAAATAGAAGTTTATCATATCAATTCAAATATAACCATAGTCAGTGCAGGAGGACTGCCCTACACACCAGCAAAACTGATAAGACAAACGAGCGTTCGAGACAAACTGCACAGACTTTGCAAGAAATAAAGAACACATATCAAATCAAGTGATTGGATCTGGGGGCCAGCTTTAAGTGTCCACTGTGCTCCACAGTCAAAATGAAAAACAAAGCAATGATTTACAAGAAAGACATCATTGAAATAATGTGACCGGTCTTGACGGTGGTCGTCTGGTCGTCTGACTTTTCTCTGGTTCTTCATCCTGGTTTTAATTTTTTTGGGGGGGGGTTGGATGGCCGAATGGTTAGCATGTGCACTTTGTATCATAAGGTCTGTCATTGAGTCTAGTGACATGGTTTCGATGCCCTGGTTGTATGTGACAAGTTTCCTCTCACTGCTAAAGACCACTACGTGCAAGTGAATTATTGATTTAAAATTGAACCTTTTGTTAATCCCGGAATGACCTAGTTTGTGTTGAGTGGAGGTTAAACTCTATTTCTCTGTCTCTCTCTGGTTTTAATTGGTCTGTACATGTTGATAAGTAATGATGTAAGTAATGAGTGTTTATGTACATGTTGATAATGAGTGTTTATATATGTAGGTATTATTAAGCCATGTTAATGGAGGAACTGTAACAGAAGAAGAAGTAGGACAGAGAATATTATCAGCTATAAAACAGGTAAATGACATTCTATACAGGTGTTTAACAAGGTGAACCTTCAGGATTTTACAAGTCTGAGTCTCAGGGGAATGGAATTTAATAACTCCTCATCATGATATTAAATAACAAACTGTAAATTTTAGCCGTTATAATTTTATCTGTATCTCTGTTCGAAAATATTTTTGTCAATATATAACAGGACATTGAGAAATCGCGAAGTAATATGACTTTTTCAATTTCTGCAATTGTAACACTTTCATTGTCCTGGTCTAGGTTGGATATACAGAATATTCTTATCTAGACCTTTCACCAAAAGCTAGGGGAATCCACAGTGACTCAATGAGTATGGTTCTGACTCATTAACCAGGAGGCCTTGAGTTTGATTCAGGTGTGGGCAATGCAAGTTCCTCAGGTGTTTGCATGAAAGTGCCTCAGGATTAACCAGGCTTCCTCTTGTCAATAGTGCAGGATGGAGGACTAGGTTATGAATAAACTTCTAGTTTTTTGGATGGGCCAAAAATAAAATGAAATCAAAATAGGGTAAAATTTCCCCGTCTTCATTAACCTGGTTGCTGCAAAAAAGGAAGACATTAAACACCATTTCATTTCATTCCCTAGAGCTAGCATAATTCTGTTTCATTTTGTAAATATTATTTATTATTTATAGGAAGTTGGAGCTAGATGGGTGTTGTTTAATTTAGCTGGTTTATACTGGAGAGTTATTGGTAATAATTATCATGGTATTGAATGTATCAGACGATCTCTAGCTCTAGCACCAGATGAATATGCTGATGTACCGCTAAATAATCTCGCTAATATACTTTACAAGTGGGGAAGATTTGACGATGCCATATTGCTCATGAAGGATGCCCTGAAATTAAATGATGCAGAGGTATGGATATTATTGGTCCTGACATTTAGATATATTACTATTTTCTCACTGATTATTCCTCAATAAAATGTACACAAATTGAATATTTAATTAAGAAAATAAAATCAGAATATCAACGGTAGGTAATCTTACTGCCTGATTCAATTTTGATTAAAAGAGTCCTATGATAATGCGAGCTACGGTGGCTCAGTGAATAGGACGTTAGCTCGCTAACCTGAAGGTCCTGTGTTCGATCCCTGCATTGGCCGAGAATGTTCATCAGGATTTTCCAGTGTGGTTCAGTTCAACATATCTTTGTAAATACTGACCGGAGGTTAACCATTTTTGAACTGATATTCCAATAGGGACATAAGGAGTTTTGGATGATTCCATTAATTATGATTCTGAATTCATGTTTTTACCCCAGCTGTCTATAGGTGCACTTTTAGAAAAGTTAGCAGAAATTTACTGACTAATCTAATTTGATCATTCCAGGTGACAATAGAATATGAAGTACAAATCCAACTTCAGTCACAGACAACATATCTTCAAAAATATAAATATATAAATACTTACACATAAGTGTTCTTTATTGCTCGGAAATTGTTACAGATTTTCTAAACATGAAGAATGTATATATTTTGTGATTTCAGCCTGATACCAACTTCCTGTATGGTAATCTTCTGTGGGCTACCAAGAATTATACCGGTGCCGTTGCTCATTATCGTATTGTTCTAGACATAGTACCAGAACATCAAGAAGCTTTGTCGGCACTTCGAGCTCTACGATGTTACCAGAAATACCATGAAGCTGCTCAAAGTGTAGCCCCGGTAGAAACACTAGCTCAACCTGTTGGCAACAACTGTCAACAGAAAGGTCTTGCTGTTAACCCTCAAACAGAAAGTCGGGTCATCTGTAAAACTGTAAGTGAAAAAGTTCTCACTTTATAGGCAAAGTATACTAAACCAAAAGGAAAAAAAATATAGACTTTCAAAATATTTCAAAAGCCGCCTTGTGAAAAAGCATATTGGTATAAAAATATTAAAATCAATCCATCCTTATGTATGTCATGGTTAAATAAAATTCCCATTACTTTCTGTTAATTTCATGATGTCATTACTTTCTGTCTTAGAACATCGGCCAGCTAATGAAGAATAACTCATTTGAATCCATGAACATCAAGGCCATGATAGTCTTTATCCTATGATGTTAAATTTGATGATCTAGATCTCTATCTGAACAACACCTTTCAGGCCTTATTTTTTTTTAAATTGAAATAAGTAAATAGAGGCTAAAAGATAATTTTGGTCTAATTTATATTTTTTTCAACTGCCTTATTTTTTTTAAAATTGAAATAAGTAAAATGAGGCTAAAAGATAATTTTGGTCTAATTTATATTTATTTCAACTTGCATCTGCATATTAGAAATGAAATGAAATGAAATGGAGTTTAACGTCCTACTGTTCTGCTCCTAACCTGGGCTAATGAAGACGGGCATACGCCATACAGTGTGCTATGAGGGAAATTTTGCCCGGACAGCGGCACTACGGCCTACTCTTATATCGAATTCCAACTGCCAAGGGATCTTTTACGTGCACGCCAATGTGTACACAGGACCTCGGTTTTTCGTCCCATCCGAACGACTAGACAGCTTTCCTTGTCAGCCCCTCCGTCCTGCATCTGCATATTAGAGACAAAATACTTGTCATAAATTCAAAGTACATGTAATGGTGATTAAAATTATGGAACAAATGATCTAATTATCCTGGAAGAAAGAAATCTAATGTGCACTATGGAAAGAATTCTGAAAATGTGGTACCACAAAATTTTTAAATGATTTAAAATATTATGTAGAACAAATGTTTTAATTGTCCTTGAAGAAAGAAATCTAATGTAAAAAAATGCTGAAAATGCGGTACCACAAAATTTGTAAATGACTTAAATTGAACTTAAAGGCATATTTTGATTGGGTCAGTTAATTAATGGTCGTTTAAACCACTGTCTTTTTCTGTTATTAACAGGAGAATGGAGAAGAGAAGTGTATTATAGAGACAAGAACAAGAGGTAAAGCTGGTGATTGTAATGGCCATTGTACACAGACATGTACTATAACACCTATTAAACTAGAATCATGTAATGGTGGAGAACTTCCTATTGATACTAGTAGTAAGTTATATATATATATTCATTTATTATTATTAGGCCGAAAAAAAAATACCTGCGTTTATGGTTACCCAACTGACTCAAACGTTTTGAGCCCAAATAGCCGACCTGAAGCTTCCCCTCCCCCCATTTCCCCTAGGTTTTCTGCAGACACTAAAATTTCGATATTTATAACAGTCTGAATTGGCATTATTTTACAGAACCCAACCGACCCTATTTTTTGTGGCCAAGTAACTAGAACCGTAAACATGGGTATTTTTTTATTTGGCCTTGTACATGTATTACGCTATATTTGTTGTTCATTGAACATGGCTGTATTTATTGTTTATTCATGTCAATTAGCTCCTTCCACCAACACAACAAAGTGTATGTAAAAAATATTGATGCTATATTTTATGTTTTCAAAATTAATTATCATCATAAATTGCCATACTTGCCATCAGAAAGATGTTGTAAGGCTATAAAATACTGGTATTCTTGTCTCAAAATCCTATCCCATTACAGCCAAACTAATTCATTTTTTTAGTTCTTTGATAAATAAATAAATACCAGTAGTCTCATGAATGATTTTTTGATGATTTTTTTAATATTAAAAATTTGGATTTTAAAGCTTGGAAGAGAGCATCCAAAATCTAGGAAACAGAAGTTTTTAATAAACGTTTAAAAAAAAAAAATAAAAATTCACATTAACTTTTATTATTACAACTTTGTGTGCACTCTTGTTATGCTTTTGTGTCTGTTTTTTATTGTGCATTCTTCCTGTATTGTCTTTTAAAGAGGTATTATCACTCTGGAGATTTCCAATTTTTGGTAAACAAATGATAATCCATTCAATGTAATTTCACTATACAGTTATATTTGGCAAGTTTAAATTCAGTAGTACCCCAAATTTGTGACAGATTTGTCAAGGTATTGCTTAATTAAATATACAAGTTTTAACTTTCATTTATAATTCAGACAAATTTTTGAGTGCAAAGTTTAACGAACACTCTTGAAAAACATCTTACTCTATTTTTTTTAATTTTATATAATTAGTTGAGTCTAATGATAACCTGAAGATAGAATTATTCAGAATTATTTTCTCGATAAGAATGATAATGCCTCCTGAAGTGCTTCGTTGAGATAATAAAACATGTATTTGATGTAGGTACCATGTTATTTTCAGGACGTTTAGGACTTAGCTGTGTTATAACTCCCCATCCTGAGTGTGATATATTAACTGGTACTTATAGAATTTACGGGGACTGGAATTCATTCATTATATTTGTAAACTATTATATTGAAATCATCAAATAAGGCATGCAGGTTTTATAGGCAAGCACTAGAAACACTAATTCTAAACAATTTGTGTACTCAACTGTTAGACAGCATTTAGTAATAATTGAACAGTAAACAGAAAGTGAAATATGGTCAGAGCTACATTTCTGCAATTATTCATTTGTTCATAGTTTCATTGAAAATATTACAATGCCAATAAAACTCTTGTTATTAATACATTCATGAAAAGTACTACAAAAGTATTAGAACACTCTTTTTTTTCATTTTCATAGTATCCTACTTTTCCCAAAAAATAAAAAAAAGTCAGAAACTTATGAATCCTGAGTATGTCTGACAGTTCAGTCTGTGCATGGAGATAAAACGTCGTATATTTACGGTCATCTAAAAATTTATTAAATGTTACACAACATTTGAAAACTCTAAATTCTTAAATTGATTGGCTATCAAAATAGCGTTTGTTTACAGTAAGCAACATTATCAAGAGTTAAAACAATGGACATTATTCTAGAATATTGCAAATAGCGGACTATTAAAATTTATGAATTAATGTACTGATACATATTCAACAATGACTAGAGGTTGATTGATAACAATACATTATTTGACTTGCATAGAATCGTTGCCACGTTAATTGTAGCTGCAGTGGCTCAGTGAGTAAGACACTGGCTTGCTAACCATGTCTTGGGTTTGCTCCTTGTGTATGGTGTAATTCCTTCTTCATTGACCCAGGCGGTGCAGAAAAATAAGACGTTCAACTCCATTTCATTTCATGCCACTTGAATGATTTTGATATTTTAGTTGTTTTATATGATGAATACATCCTTATAGTTTTAGATTAGGCTATTGTAGAATTCTATGTGTTTTGGTTGAGGTTTATTTACACATAACTCATGCATGTTTAAAACTGATGTGGACAATTGTTATAACACTGTATCCAAGCCTAATAATAATAATAATATTATATCTTTTATTTAGCATCCTTGGTTCAAATCAAGGCAGGGGGTGGGTTGGCCAAATGGTTTCACACATGTATTTTTGATCATAAGGTTTGTCATTCCCACACTTGTACGTAACAAGGAGTAGGTTCGCCTGCTTAACCTCATGGGTTTTATCCTGGTCCTCCAGTTTACTCCAACTACTAAAGACCTAGTTTGTGTTGAGTGGACGGACATTAAACCCCCCTTGCTAGTCATTCAGATGGCGTGTTAAAGCAAGGTCCGATCATGTACACATTGGTGTGCACATAGAATACTGTCTTGCTTGAAATTCAAAGAAGATTCGGCAGAAATGCAGCACATGGCAAAGTTCTTAAATTGTAACATATTTAATGAAATAACCATATCTCAGTTTCAAAATGATGCTACAACATCGTTTTTTTAGGGTTAAATAGATAGTTTTAGTTGTTGACATTTAAAGTTTGCATTGGTTTACATTGATTTCACATAGCCATCATAAAGTTTACCCCCATCCAGAGGTCGTGGTGGATCAATTTCGAGTTGCGTAAAAATACTCAATATAGAAGCAAGTAAAGTCGTTTTGTGAACAACCCTATTTTAAGCGTCCTTATTTTATTGATATGTCTACTGTATTTAGTCTAATGACGACTGGAAGTTAACGGCATGTCTACGATTGACGGCACAGTCATTTCAATCTTTCACTTCGACAGGACGTAAAGATAAAACTACGCTATGAAAGCCAACATTTGATTGGCTGAATGTAAACAGTATGTCTTGTTCTAGCCAATCCCAAGTCTTGTATGAAATGCACTTTATTGCTTTCAATAGGATAGCTACGTATAGGCTTACTGCCATGAACTTATGAATGAAATAAGAGGATATATAAAAAAAACTATGGAGACTACGTACAGTAGAAGTGTGTAAATGCCGGATGAAGCACATAAATTGTACAAACTACGACATAGAATAATTTTATTATTCTCACGTCGGGGAAATTTTCTGCGTGTAAATTACGCAGCGTCCATCAATATTTGCGTTTATTTTGAAAAAAATGCGTGAAATACGCCGATTTTTACGTGACTGCGACCTCTGCCCCCATCAATCATGTAAATAACACACAATATTGACCCAATTCAATATTTTATTTTTACCCAAATCCTTTAAAGTTACAATTTCATATTTTTAAGTTATATTTTTAAAAATGTAATAAAATAAAGCCCTAAAATAGATGGTATCTATAAACAGCCCTTCCTACCTTGTTAAAGAATAATCCTATTAATCCTATAATTTACTATTGCCAGTTGAGAAATTGGCAAAAATATCATTTTCAACTTCAAATTCAAACGTTTGAAGATAGCTATTACATGGTGGGAAATAGGAAAACAAGTGTGAGAAAGATATAACCTATGATCGTATAATAGTGAGTTAACAACCTATTGAGCAAAAGACATAGAAATAATTATGTTTTGACTTTCTTAGAAAATATGAAATTCTAACTTTAAAGCACCCTTTAGTTTAAACAATATTTTATTCAATAAACTGAATTGGATTGAACAACAGGCAAAGACCTATAATATAAGTTCTCTCCAAAGCACCCTTTGACTACCGATAACCCTATTTCTATTTTCTTTTTTATGTTAATCACTATATAGGTTGATATTTGATTTTATCCTAACATTTTATTTTCTGTTAATTTGATAAATATCTGATTATTGGAAAGTTTATTGGACAGGGTTTATGATTTTTCAACAACTGAAAAATGATTATCTTTATAATTGTTTTATGTCGTCTACTACTAAATGACATTTGAATATTATATCAATCTGATCAGTCTGAGAAAGTTGCTCCGTTATCATCGGGTAACTGGTGGGGGCCACAGTGGATCGGTTAGTGTGATGCTGGATTACCAACCAGGATATCCCAGGTCCAATCCTAGTGTGGACAGAAAGTTCCTCAGTCAGGTAACTAGTGGAGTCACAGTAGATCAGTTAGTGTGATGCTGAATTACTAACCAGGATATCTCAGGTCCAATCCTAGTGTGGACAGAGAAAGTTACTAGTGGGGTCACAGTGGATCAGTTAGTGTGATGCTGAATTACTAACCAGGATATCCCAGGTCCAATCCTAGTGTGGACAGAGAAAGTTCCTCAGTCGTGTAAATAGTGGGGGTCACAGTGGATCAGTTAGTGTGATGCTGGATTACCAACCAGGATATTCTATGTCCAAATCTAATGTTGACTGAGAAAGTTCCCCAGTCATGTAAATAGTGGGGGTCACAGTGGATCAGCTAGTGTGATGCTGGATTACCAACCAGGATATCCTATGTCGAATCCTGACGTTCACTGAGAAAGTTCCTCAGGATATTTTATCGTTGGATTGTGTTAGTGGTGCAGGACCAGGCAAGGAAGTGGTTAGTCCTGTGCATACCATTGGAAGCATGTTAAGATCACCTGACAATTAAAAATTGAAATAAGAGTAGGACATAGAACACTGCTGAACATATGCCAGTCTTCATTAGCAATGTTGGCGCAGACTTAATAAGACAGAACCCCATTTTATTTCTGTAACTGTTAACAATTTGTTTTGAAGTTTTGAAATGATCTAGATTTCTCACCCGCCAGCCCCACCCCCTGCAATTCGTATTAACCTAAAACAATCTCATAATATAATTTTCAATGGACAAGAAGGATACAGAATAGCTATAATATGACAAATACGCACAGTGTATAAAATTATATATCGCTATGCTTTGGCTGAAAGCATGTTAATTAAGCATTTGATAACAAATTGAAATAAATAAAGAAGAATAGTTTTAGTTTATGATTAGCACGATATTTTAGTCTATAACATTTATTATTACCATAGATTTATACACCAAAAAGGTCATCAACACATCACAAATTAATAAATTTAGCATACAGATTTATATGCTAAAAAACAAAAGTATGTCAAGATAAACAAAGTCTTCATTATCCATTTTAAATTAAATTATTAAATGGCAATCATATTTTAATCCGTTCAAAATCACAACCATCCAATGGTCTAGATAATTGATTATGGGCTTGTCATTTGAATAAATGTCTTATTAATGATTTATATAACATTTGAGACCAAAAGAAAGACCTGCAATCAAAAGGCAGATTTAGCTTTTACATAATGTATTTATAAACACTTGCTATATTAAAGACATATATAGCTAACAGATTTATATTCACTGTTTGGTTTTGATTGAGTATTGGTGTATTGTGTTTCTATTGTATCAGTGCTATCTTGTCCAGTTTTCTTGTAATATATATTAATTATCTATCTACAGATCCTGTTCAATGTCATCAGAAGGGTACCAATAATCATTGTGGTGGTGATGGTGGAGAAGAATTACTTTGTAAGTTATCTCCCCTTCTATAGCCTTTATACTTTTAACAATAATAGGATAGTTGTTGAAAAGTCGTGTTTATATAATAAAACCAGTGATTGTTTCCCATAAAAATTGTGTTCTGTTTGTAAAAGCAAAGTCCAATAAAAGGATGTCTTCTCAAAGTCAAATATCTAATTTATTTGATAAAAGGATTTGTACTTCCATAACCCTTTACACAGGAATATATTGAACTGACTAGAACAAAGTTATGTTAATTATAGTTGATAAAAAGTTGCATATTTTTTGTATATATATTTATTTTCAGTTACAAGTGATTTTACAGCTAAATTAGATGAAGTTAGTGAACATTATGAGAAGAAAGGAATATGTAAAGGAGATGATTGTAATACTCTTAGAGTGCAGGTAATCATATCTATATTTCTATTTATACCTTCAGACAAGGTCAAGGTTTTATCATATGGTAGGCCTATAGTCCTATAGTGCAACACTACAAGTTTTATTCTGTAATTACATGCAAATATCATTGAATACAGCCTTGAATACAGCCTTGAATACAGCCATTGAACAACCTATGGTTGTATTCAATGGCTAGGACACGTACTACTTTTATCCAGAATGATGTCACTTTCAGAATTACGTCAAACTGTTATGCCGTCGCCACTAGGCAACCACAGTTTTTGTCAAAAAGAAAGAAAAAAGGGTGGAACCTATGATGAATATTAACATTATTGCTGCTGACTTTTTTTCTTTCTTTTTTTGTTGATAATCTGGATAGTACGGTGTATTTTGAGATTTGCATGTGCAGGGATACACTCTCTTGAACCATTGAATAACCCGAGCGGTATTCAATGGTCATTGAGTTCTATCTATTTATGAAACAAACTAAGGTTAAAGCTTTGTCATAGTGCAACACTGGACGTTTTATTAAACAAACTAAAAGAATAGGGTTGATTGATTCAATTTATTATCATAAAGTACTAGGCATCTGACAATTGATCATTTCACTGTTGTGGAATAGGGAACATGGGAGGTAACTATAAAGCCTTATTTGTGTATCACATGATCTCATGTTAAGCTTTGCAACAATCTATCTCTGCTTTAAGTCTGTATCATCAATCAGTTGGAAAGCGTGAAATAACTTATTAATTATATATTAATTTAATAAAACCATGTAATAGTTCATGGTAAGTTAGGGGAATATTACAGCAAAATAAACAATATATAAGTCAGTTTATTTTAAATTTTCCATTGAAATGTCTGAATAATCAAAGCCTTTCAAAAGGTTTTGCAGAATTTTCTGCATACAGGTTTTTATCAATCAGATTTAGCGCCTTAGAGACCGTCCCAAAATTTCAACATTTGAGTCCAAAAGAATAACCCATAGATAGATCTTGATTTTTTATCCAATACCGTCCCACCTGTAAGAAAATGTTGACATATTTCCAGTTATGATTCATTAAAGATGCATTATTCAAGAGCTAAATCTGCATATTGCAGGTTTTTATTTTGGCTTCAAATGTTATATAAATTATTATTTAGACATTTATTAACATGATTGGCAACCCTATAACCAACTCTCTAAACGTCAGATGAAAGATGTATACCAATTGAAATCCGGTCACCATTTAATGATTTTTTTTAAAAATGGAGAAGCGAGGCTGAGTCTCAATTAACAAGTACTGTTGCTATGGAAATAGAACTTCAAACAGTGTTACCTTGGCTCAGAATAAATTAATTGAATGAAATTTTCAATTTATTATAAATTTTCAATTTATTAATTTTGAATTATCTATTTTTGAACTGTGATTATAGCAAGAATGGTCAGCTCTTTATCTAAATCTTACATAATGGATCTTTAATAACCGACATCTAATTTATTATTTTCTATCCGCAATGATGTTCAACTCTGTTCTGCTGGTTATTCGTTTGGACACAAATGTTGAAATTTTGCTACGGTCCTTTACTGAAAGTGTCTTATAAAGATATTTCTTTAAATCAAGATAAATGTTATAAACAAATAAAAAAGTAAACAAACTGAAATGTTGCTATAATTTTAATTAAATTGATATACCATTACAAAGAAAATTCTATTGTAATTTTTTTAATTGTTTGAAAATAAAATTCAAAGAATTTAAAATTGTAAACTTGCCATCTTTCCAGTGTCTTTTACCAATGAAGACTCACTCAGGTCTAATAGCTCATGTGATAACTCCCCCCAAGCTCTTTGTCCGACCAGTGGCTCTGCACTCAACACAGTGCATGGTAGGCTCAGTATACAATTACCTATATTTCAATTAGTGATTTTGATGCCTCTTGTATTGTGGTTATTTATAATCTATGTTTAGCATGATGTTGTCTTAGATTGTATTTTATTGTATTTATTCATTGTTTAGTTTTTTTGTTCTTATTAAAGTTGTTGATCCTGTGCATTTTTCAGATAATATCAGATTTTTCGGATTAATTATTTAACATTTAATTAAGAAAATAAAATATGAGAGTGGCTATGAAGACCTGGTTATCCTGAGTGTCCATAGCCGATCTGGTTGATAAGAAGCCGCTCGTTCAACCTTGACACATAACCGAAGGTGAACAGGCCACAAAAGAGAGACACATACCAGTCGCCTCCTACTTCTGTTTACCAAGGCATAGTCCAAACCTTGACGCTCATATAAATAAACCATTTGATACTACATCGTACCTATATAATCGTAAACCCCTCGGGCGCCATGTTGAATTACACAATATTTAACGTTTTAAAACCTAACTGCTTTATGGAATCAACGACAAATCTAAACTTGGTCACTCCAACCATTTTTGTTTAAGAAAATAAAACCAAAATATTAAAGGTAGTATTGTTTGTAAAAATTTCAGTTAATTATATCTTTGTAAATACTGAACGGAACTGAACCAATTTTTACCATTTAATTGATATTCCTTTTGGATCTGTTTTGCCAACAACAATAATCTGTTAAACATACATTATGCAAGAGCTAAATCTTTCTTTAGGCCTGAAATGTTTTCTAAATTATTAATTAGACATTAATTAACTTATCCAGGCTATAATCAACTCTCGATGGCATCGGATTTCTTCGATATTAAATAGATTAGAACATTTTAGCCATATTTTGATTTAAGCTAAATATGGAGGAGCGAGACTTAGCTTTGAACAATCAGTACGGTGGTTGAAATTATTGCACACGTCTTGTTGAACTTTTAAAGGCTAATATCTTTGCTCGCAATAGAGTAATTTGAATGAAATTTTCAAATTATTCATTTTACATTATCTTTTTCCGAACTATTATAACAAGAATGGCTAGCTCTTTATCTAAATCTTACATAATGTATCTTTAATAATTGTCACAAAAAAATGTTCCTGGAAAACTTATAATAATCTAGTATTGACTTGATATTATTTATGGATTCATTTCAGATAGATATAAAAAGCAATAATTATTTTTAGAATAAGATAATTAATGGTAAAGATTGTTATCTTTTAGACTGGTTAAGCAATGATAACCAATCATATGAAATAGCCTTGAAAACTGAAACAGGTTTACGTGCATAAAGTTGTGGAAGTCATCTAAAGTCCTATGAACTGAAAATGATTGATAAATATGATGAAAAATTAGAGAATAAGAGTAGGAATTTGGCACTTGACTGTAAAATATTGAACACATGTTTCTATTGCAAATTTTTTGTTTATATTTTGACCTCTTGATGGAATTGTTAAAACTTGAGTTTATTTGAAACATGCAATATAGGACGAAATGCTTCATAATTTGTCATTTAGACCACAAAAATATGGGTAGCTTGGATGACTTTGCTGCTGGGGGCTGAGGAATTTGGTGGGGGGGGGGGGCTGTGGGGATGGGGGTAGGACTGTTATCTTAGTATTTGCTTATCTATGTTTTATGTATGTTGGTAGTTTGTTTGTTTTGTATTATAAATGTAGTGCTCACACCAATTCTCGAATGTTTGATTCCGAATGGAATTTTATCGGTTTATTTTTGTCTCATAAAATATTTGATAATATCATCTAATATTGAAAATGAAACTTTAGAAATAATAGAAAACATATTGATTAGAAAGATTCATATTTTCTATAAATCTGAAAATGCACCAGAACTAGTCCCAAAAAATATCATTTCAATGAGTCAACGTGATTTAAAATATTCAAATAGTAAAAATTTGTATTGCTGTGACCACTATATAAATGTACAAAATGTCCAACTAGTCAGAAATAATCATATTATATAGTAGTAATTCTAAAAAAATTTCATTTAATCTTTATACTTTGGGCACTGGACTCACAACTGTAATGTCTCAGAATCAGAAGAAACTCTTTGATATTTTAAGCCTGGTTTCCTATTGTGCAACTGAAAAGGAAAGTGTGTCTTCGTTCGTATGGATAGTCAATATGTAGTCTCTGTCTACGGCTCATGTACAAGTTGGTTGTTCACGTTTATTTGGAATTAAAAGAAAAGTAGAAAGAAATTCAGGTGCCCAGGCAAATCTTGGATTCTCGAAATTGCCAAATTGATGCAAAATTCCATATTAATTGTTGATCTCAGATAAATGTTTTTACGAGTAATCATTCTTTTATCCATTTCTATCAATTTGAACATTTCTTATGTAGTTGTGCATTCATATAAAACCTACTTGTTGATCTATAGTTATAAACGGAGTGTACTATATATATATACAAGACAGTAGCAAAAAAAACAAAGTTTTCCACAATTGGTTACCAGGCAACAAAAGTTGATATAATAGCTTTAGATTATGTGTTTTTCTTGAATTGAATTTTAATTGTAGTCCATGTTGAATTCAAAATCTTGTTTGTTTCACAAGCTAGAATGTATGTGACCCAGATTTACCTTTGTCATTGATGTATCAGTTTTCAGTTTAAAGGGATCTTTTCATCAATGCAGTAAATGGCTAAACGCCTGCCAGATTTGGGGTTATAAAGACATCAAGACCAGTGTACTTAAAGTAGCCAAGTCTTTAACTCAGTATCATCCACAGTCTTCGACTTATTGGTCAATTTAAATCAACATAGATGTTGTTATTTTGTTGGTATCCAATATTTAAGACACAATGAAAATTTTAAACTTGGCACACAAATCGCGTGCCAGAATGCTAGAGAGAGCCATTTGTAATGCGTGACTCGATGAGCGAGGTTAAACATATCTCACAAGGGAAAACTATCGGAAAAGACTGAAATAACCAGACACCAAAGACTTCCATTCAATTTGCACTCTTCACATATTTCGGTGAACATAACTGATTAGAAATTACAGTAAAAATTGAATTTAAATCAGTTTATATACATTAATATTACATTATTATATGCGTTGCAACCCATTAGTGACCATTTCTAGGTGCCAAAGAATAGCGATTTAGCTTCTTTAAACACAGGGCATAATTGTGTGGAATACAATTACGGTTTATTTATTGAGCAACGTTTATATTAAAAACACGTTTGGGTCAAATGGTTAGTTTCCGACCACATGTGAAATCATGTAAGTAATTGGAGTATGTAGTAGACTTGTGAACACATTAGTCATCCATGGTATTATCCACTGGATTGAGTCCAATCTTTCCCTGGCAAGATCAGAGATAAAGTGACTGATGGCTCAACTTGAAATTGCCGAACAAGATGGTTTTTAAAACCATATTTCATTTGTTCTTTTGATAGTGATACTAAACTTATAGAAGAGATTAAGGGACATGGGTTAAGAAATAATTTAAAGTTTGAATGGGCTCTTTATTGGCATTATAGTTTGAATATCAGTAATTTAACCAAACATATTAAAAGCCTCAACATTTCAGAATAAAGATTAGGACCATACCCAACAACCAAATATATTTAAAGCCCCAACATGTCAGAATACTGGTTAACTATAGTGTCTAGGACCATAGATACCCAAACATATTTAAAGCCCCAACATGTCTGAATAAAGATTAAATATAAAGTTTAATTAGAACCATACACAATTGGAAAGATGTTTTATTAAAATAAACAAAACATTTTGGTCCCAAAATTATTCCAATCAATGAATTCTAACTAGGGTTAACACACTGCCAATTTTATCTGTTTTTGACATATATATTGTTAATGGTTCTGTTACCTTTTTTGCACAAATCAGCTCATTCGTTCCCTAGGTTTTTTAAAATACTTATATTTGCTTATCTACATGGTAACAACCTTTACAATGGTATATATTTTTGAGTTTTGAGATATATGTAAACAATCTTTAAATGTTTGTCAATAATATGTAGAAAATTGTTAAAATATTGTTTTGGCAGTGTTTATTTATTAATTTGTTTGATGAATTGTTTATTATTATTATTAATATACTTACATTTATAACTGTGTATGACTTCCCCACCCCCAGTTCATTCATTGCATGAGCTATCCATGGCTTGAGTAGAGTTCTCTCCCATTCCTCATAATTATAATCAGTAGCATTCAACTACAACTCCCCCTTTAATTATTAAGCTTTATCACATAGAACTGTTGGCCTAATTATTAGTTCACTGGCTTTAGTTTAAAAGAAATGGATTAAAAAGAAATATGCTTTATTAGCTCATCTTTTACACAAACAATTAAATGTTAAATTAGATAACACACCTTATTTCTAAATACCTTCTTCATTGGTCATCTTCATCATTGTTAAAAATTAATAATGTTTGCCCTTTAAATAAGTTATCAATATCTTAAATTAAATGAAAAATATTTGTACTTTGTTGCGATTAGTTTATGAGGTTTGAAATATTTTCAAAATATATTTAAAATGTATTAATATTATTTGGTTCATTTATGCCCATAAGAGATATCAACTTCACTTTTATGACTTTGTTTGCTTATATTGTCTTTTTTTTTGTTTCTTACAGCCAGATCAGAAGAAACCCCACATAAAGCTAGAGTTTGTTGATGGCGTTCTTCATCAAAAGTTAATATTCGTACAGTCCGCAAGTGATATCCATGTGGAGGAAGGAGAATGCATAATATTCAGCGATGGGACGAAATCTCCCGGATGTAACCAAGACGAATATAGATCATATGTAAGTGTTACAGCTTGAATCTACCCCAGCTTTCGCTTGTATCTTATGAGATTCGCAGCAATGGGTGAAGGGACATACAGATTGCATACAAAATTGTGATTTTGATAGATTTCATGAACAATGGGAAAATAATAAGATGATTATTATAATAAAAAAAGAGAATAGCCTACTTAAAAAGTTTGATTTTTTTATTCTATTTAATAAATTAATGTCCTGTATATTTTATTTGTGCCAGATTTAACAGAACTCGTTAAATTTCAGCTCCTCATTTTTTAAAAGTAATTGATTAATTAATTAATGATATCTTAATTGTATTTTTTAATTCATACATTTTTACTGTTAAAAGCTAATATGCAGTAACACCTTTTATGAATACTAGTATAGATGTGTTTTTATAAATCAGCTTATATTTGCAAAGTTTTTTTAGAATTTTATATCTCTTCATTTTAGTACCAGTGTAGATTTGTTTATTTCATTGTTTTTAATTCTGTTTGTATAACTACTGGAGGTCAAAATTAAAATTTCCTTGATTTTGATTGTTTGAAAATAGTTGCAATACATAATGCTCGGTGCGAACTCGTTCGCTATTGTCAAAAAATGGGTTAATATTGCTATCCATATTTTGATATGAATTGCACACTTCTAAACTTTATATTAATGAAAACAAGTGTTTGGACACAATAATATCTGGTCTATGTTACAGTAAAACTCTGAATTAAATATGAAAGTAAAATAAAAATCTGTAGGTAAAGTGAAGTGGTATCAGATGTTTAAAGAAGAGTAACCAGGTACGCTGTCTATAAATATATCTAGTTCAAGACAAGAGACCATAGAAAAACCATCAGAATTATGAACAATGAAACTAAAAAAATTTTTAAGCTTTGTTTAGATTTATATAATGTAGTTTTTATTTTTCTTTAACGGTCAACATATAGATAATATGTTAGCCAGGAAATAATGGTGCTTATTTCACTTTCTTTGTTCAGAAATAAAATATGGAACATACATGTAATTAATTAACATTCCATAGTACAACAAGCAGTGTATTAAATTATAAACAGTTAGACACCCCCTCTCTGTCCGCCTCCCCCTCCCCCACCCCATCAACAAAGTCTGTTTCTCAGACACGACGAAAACCACTTAATATGGAGAATAGCGGTTCGGATTAAATCGATATAAAAGAAAAAATGTCTTTGTCCTATTTTAAAAACCCCCCAAAACAATGGAGACTTGACATATAGAAATTGTTTGTTTTTGAGGTTCTATACATGAATTATGTATTCATCAAATGATAGAACTTAAGATTTATGATCTTTATTCAAAATTATGATCTTTATTCAAAATTATGATCTTTATTTAAATTTATGATCTTTATTCAAATTTATGATTTTGTTGCAGCTTGTGATCTTTGTTAGAAACTTACAATCTTTTTTAAATCTATGATTATGTTGAAAGTTTTGATTGTAAATTAATATTTGATACAGATGTAAATCTAACGTCAAGATATCACACCGAGATTTGAACCCGGTTATGATTGTAACTTTTATAGCCAATTTTGAGACACTGCATTATAGCAAATGACTTTAATACTGTCAGTGGGACATGCTATGATGATACCCTTTGGTTTCTAGATTTTGCCCTGTGCTTTAGGAGGCATATAAATTGTTTTTGAACTCAATAAGTTTTTACTTAAATTTTTGTATCTTTTTCTTGCTTGTTTATGTATTAATGGAAATCTCTAATCAAGAATATAAAACAGTTTTTTTGTACACAGTTACAAATACAGCCACATTCTTCATGTTCAATATTCTGCACATAATCTATGGATCAAGATCTGAACATTGACTATACTCAGTGGAGTGAAACCAAAAGTCTTTCCATATCTATACGGTATGGTAAAACAGTCTGATTAATATGGTAATACACATTGCACAGTTTGGTTTATATACGATGTTGTACTACATTGATATTCTCACATATTTGCTTTGAAGACAGTGTTCGGTTTACATCTTCTTTATGGTTGATCAAATTGTTTGTATTGGTATACACAGAGCTTTATGTTGCGGTGAATTATTGGAATTTTAAATTAAAACCCAAGAGTGGATCTGATATTAGCCTTATATAAGTGCAACTAATTGATATAAATAGAACTGTCAATGGCAGAAAAAGGCTGTAAAAGAAAGTAGGTGAGATTACAATGTAGTGTTAAAATCAGGAAACTATAACCAGAACAAGATTGTAAATCTAAATTTTATACAATTAGGATAAAAAAAGCCAAATACTGTAACAAGATTTCATTGGTGAAGCCTATCTACGTAAATTTTCTATTAAATTCCGTCAATTTCGCTTAGATTTTTCCATTATTGTTGATCATGTGCAGAACATATAAGACACAAAGAATGTGGCCCTTCAATAAAATCATTTAAAATATACGGTAATAATTTGTTAATGACATATCATTTGTTTGTTGTCTCTCTTTTAAAAATAATGTCTTATTTTATCTTTTTCCTATGACAGACTCAGTGTTAAACTGTGATATACTGTTATTATTAAACCATTAAAGGCTTGTTTCCTAAAAATATGGAAAAAATAAAATCAATTTATTTATGTCATAAAACTTGATTGTTACTTATCATTTTTAACCGATTCAGTCATTTACTTGAATATTTGGCCATTTATTTATGGTATTGTAAATTTATCTAGCTGAAGAGTACGTTTGCTATTGGTCGATGATGCCAAATTTGTCCGTTTTTCTGACAACTGATTTGGATTGTCTTTGAGTTAGAGATTAATCAGTCTACTTAAAAAGCCAGATTTTGGAATGTTGCTTTCTTTCTTAGTGGATAATACAGTAATTGGGCTTATTATTTATTATATTATTCTATTTAAACCAGCAGATCTCCTGCTTATTCTTTGTCTCTTGGTCAGTGCCAATAAAATAGGAGTGCCTGAAACACTGCACTAGTAATAATGAAAAAAAAAATACATGAGAAATAATAGCTGATGATAAGTCAAGGTTGTCCATCAGAATCTATTTCTTTGATCAGGGGCTTGTTTCACGAAATTTTAACTAAGATAAAATCCAAATTTTAGTAATTTGATTGGATAATATTCTAAAGATTGATTTTAGCGCTTAGCCAATCAAAATTGAAGTATCTACTAAAGTTTAGTTTTTATCTTTAGTTAAGATTTCGAGAAACAGGGCCCTGCTGTATTCAAATAAAGGAGAAGCAAAGAATCCCCATTCTATTTCTTGAACAGTTTCAATATCAGGTCAAAAACTTAATCAGATATATTTTGAACATATATGTACTCCTTAGAATAAGATTTAAAATAGCACAAATTTGAAATTCAAAACAATTAAAAAACCCAGGATGTTTAAAGATACCATGATGTAGACTAAGTCTGGTCCAAAAATGATTAAAATTGACCATTACTAATACAGCTTTAGAATTGTCAGTGAGAGACTGAAGGATATCTCATTTCTATACATGAACAGCAAACTCACTAGGGTTTATATAACTTAGTCTAAATTACAAAACTAAAGAACATTTTTCAGCCCTTATGTTTGTTCAATTTTAATAAGGGAAATGTTACTAAATATAACTACCCGGTATGCATCTATTTAAAGACCCTTAATGACTTGAAATTCGTATGTGATATATGCATTTATCTTTAAGACAAAAGGACAAAATATTTAGTATTGAAGTTGGTGTACTTCATAACATTCATTTTAAGAAAAAAGCTATTGAAAATTACTATAGCAAGCAAAGCATAGCAAATTTCAGGCATTCTGTTAGTTTTTGGCCTATGATATTTGAGGAATTAAAAATAAGGTCATTTTTGAAGGCAGATATGCTGGAAACTCGAAATTGGTAGAATTCATTTTTTTTTAATAACTAAAATAAGGGACCTGTGACATGCATCTCATTTTGAGCTGGTCATAAATGGTTATGGGCCTTTAAGCGTTTTGTGACATCCTAATTTAAACTTCTGTGAATAGGGTCTCATATGTTGCCTAGAGGTTTTAGGGAATTCATACTAGAAATAAAAAAGAGGACACCAGCAGTAGTGTTAAACATGCATTATATTGAAAGAAGGAAGTAAATGTTCCTGCAATGATTCTTCACAGAACTAAGAAACAAAGAAAAGACAGATGAGTTTTCCAGCAAGGGTACAGTTAAAACATGGTATATATGCTTCTAGTCTGTCTGTTGTATCTTATCATAGAGACTCTTGTTTTACATATTTGTTAAATCAAGCATGTTATTTTTTTTTATATTTATGTATGTATATATGTATGTAATTGTAGATGTATGTTAACTTAGAAGTCTAATCTTCACAGTGTCAAGACATTTCTGAGGAATGAAATGAAATGGGGTTTAACGTCCTACTGTTCTGCTCTAACTGGGCTAATGCAGACACGCATTATATACGCCATACAATGTGCAATGAGGAAGATTTGTCTGGACAGCTTCGTAAGATATCTTGTTTAATATCACTCTGAGAGAATTTTTATGTGACTTAGCAAAACAAATTTTTGGGCCCCCCTTCCCACACCTGTGCAAGGACTACGAAAAAATAGGGTTTCTACTAACTTTACTCGCTGCATAGACAGAGGAGAGCATCGGCAATGTACCGGCTTCACACCATATAAATCACATATGTCAATTGTTTTAATATAGTTATTAAAGTTATGTGGATAGTCTGTTATCAACAGACACACTGACTAATCACACCAATAGCAGTGCACATTAAAATCAATGTCTCTTAACAACAACACCATTCACTTGCTAACCCCTTTTCAGAATTTTTTATATACTTAATATAACCAATCTGATTAAATTTAGACCTTTATTCCAGTCCAGTTGCTTGAAAACTACATGAAAATCTTAACTACTTTTTAACAGTTCTCTGTTCTCTATAAAGTCTATACAAAGGCACCGTGATTAGTTAAAATTATTCTTGGCCAGAAAAAGGTTTTACTGATCAGGTCTATTGAAAACTGCTTTAAGACTGTCCTGAAGTGTAATTGGAAATGACATAAAAATACAAAAATGAAAACAAATACAAAAACTGACATATCTTTCATAACACCTTGGTGCTCATTCTGCATTCTGGTGCTCATTCTGCATATTTTATTAAATAAAAGCAGAATAAATACTTAACAAAATTCTCGAAGTATACTTAGGACTTAAAATGTCGACCATCTAGCTTAGTGTCTGTTTTCAGGTGGAGCTAACTGTAAACAGACAGGCTAAGTTTAGTATGCTTGATGCTGTGAAGATGAGAAAATGTACCTGTTAAAGCTCACATTGTTCTTTTTAAATGTATTTAGTAAACTTCTTTATTAGTTAATTACTAATTTGATTATTTATCACTAACTTTAGCTTATCCTGTTAGTGTGTGTAGACTCTTAGAAATTAAAATGTGGGGAAAATACCTATTGAATTTTGTGAAACTGTTCTTCATTATAAAATTCTGAAAGGGGTAGTCAATCTTTTAAACCTTTGAGTGCTGAAGGGTAAATTTGTCAATACTTTCCTGAAAAATTTATCTTTTGTCAATACTTTCCTGCAAAAATTTGTATTATGTCATTACTTGCCTGAAAAATTTGTATTATTTTTTAAAAAAGCATATTTTTTAGGCAGTGTATTAAAGGCTGACTAACAATTTAAATTTAGATATATGTTGTAGAGACAGTAGCTTGTCATAACTGTTGTGTATGTGAATATTTTATTGCTTAGGGACAGTTGTGAAATTTCGACACATGCATCCACTCGAATAACCCGCAGATAGATCTCGAATCACCCACCCACCTGCCCACCCACAGAGTATGAAAATGTTGACATATTTCCACCCATGATTCAACATTTGATTTATCATATGCTATGGTCGTTGTCGTTCCATTCACTGTCCCAGTTCTGCGGTTTATTCATTAAAACACAATTGTTGAAATTGTGCGATGGTCCCTTAGTTATTATATGCATATAATATATCTAATTAAAATTGGTGAAAAATTAAGAATCAGATTTTAATTGGATCATACATACCATTAGATAGTATACAGAGTTATATTTGTTGTATTAGAGGTGTGCTGTGAAATCTGGTTAAATCATGATGTCTGCAGTGAAAGCTGAATAAATATGATATTGATAATCTGCAGTGAAATCTGGTTAAAACATGATTTTTGCAGTGGAATCTGGTTAATTCATGAGACCTGCAGTGGAAACTCTTTAAATCATGAGATCTGCAGTGAAAGCTGGTTAAACATTGATATCTGTTGTGAAATCTTGTTAAATCATGAGATCTGCAGTGAAATCTGGTGACATCATGAGATCTGCTCTGCAATCTAATATCAACAACCTGGTTAAACTGAGAGATATGTTGTATTTAACCATTTTATGTTTAATGTTTAACCAGGTTTTAGATTTATATTTTTGCATGGCTGTATTGATGCATGTCAATATCACCTAGCTTTTATTTTTGTTCAGATTTGGGGTATTCAGTGTATGATGACTGAATAATTGCCCATGTGCTCACAAATGCCAGTGAAAATCATTGTTCCATTAAATGCACATTTGACAATAAAACAGAGCTTGCTTAAAGTTACAATTTCATATTTTTAAGTTTTATTTTTAAAATGTATTAAAATAAAGCCCTAAAATAGATGGTATCTATAAACAGTCCTACCTTGTTAAAGAATAATCCTATTAATCCTATAATTCACTATTGCCAGTTGAGAAATTGGCAAAAATATCATTTTCAACTTCAAATTCGAACGTTTGAAGATAGCTATTCCATGGTGGGGAATAGGAAAACAAGGGAGGTAATTGTGTTATTATTTCCGGTGTGAAGATTTTTAAGTGTGAGAAGGATAACCTATGATCGTATAATAGTGAGTTGACAACCTATTGAGCAAAAGTCATAGACATAAATATGTTTTGACTTTCTTAAAAAATATGAAATTGTAAAGATGTGGTTTTGATGCCACAGATTCCACAACAGTTCATGTTTCCTATACAGAGTTAGTTAGTAGATACTCTAATTCAGTTGCCAATAGGGTTACATCCATTAAAGAGGATAATTGTATGGATTGGTTGTAGTGTGTAAACGTCACTTTAAAATGTCAAAGGGATATAATTCTGAGAGTAATAGACAGATGTCATGTGCACGACTGTACACTATCTTCGCTGACTTAGAGGAATATGGCATTTCATATTCTAAACACTATTTAACTGACAAAATATAAGAACAAGAACTCTACACATATATATTATTACTTATTAGGGCTGTTTAATTTGGATAAAGCCGATGCTATTTCAGACTCCATTTATTATCCTCTGATGACAAAAAATAAAATATCTTGATAATCAAAGCCTTTCATAAGATTTCAAGGAATTTTGTATATCACAGGTTTTAATTGGTAGGTTGATCTGGAGTCAACCAATCAAAACCTTAATACTACTGAATGCACCTTATAAAGAAATATCGTCACAACAAGATGAAGTGGAATGAAAAAAAATGAAAAATTAAGTCAAATAGAACATTGGAATCCATTGCAAACTGCAATAATATGAAATAAAATGAAATGGGGTTTAATTTCCTACTTTTCTGCTAATGAAGACAGGCATATGCCATACAGTATGATATAATGAAAATTTTCCTTTTAGAGGTTCAACTTCCACAATATTGTAGTTTGCAATGGATTAAAAATCACTTGAATTAATAACATAGTTGTTGTCACATTTCATGTTTAATTGTTTTATTCTTTTTTCTTTCCATTTTTATTTTTTTGTTTTTATTAATACAAAATTTGCATTATGTTTTTTTTGTATTGTGATTTTTATTGTTGTTAAAAATACACTTAAGCATGGAATTTGTATAAATATTAATAGAATATTAACACTTCTTTTAACCCCATAGATTATATACATTGACATGCATGTGTATTGTGACATCAAATAGGCTTTGATATTTATGAAACAAACTTATCAAGAAGTTAATTATCTTTATAATAAAAGCCCACTCATGTTGAAGTTAATTATCTTTATAATAATAGCCCACTCATGTTGAATCATAATGTCTAGATTAATACACTGGGGCTTGCTTAACTGTAAAACCAAGGTTAGGGTCTGCTGACTAATGTGGTTAATAACGAATAGATAATGATGACAGTAACTAGAATCATTCAAGGTCCTCACGGACAATTAAAGATTGATCGACATCATTAAGACTACCATATTTTTCAATATGTCCCTTCCATCATGGAAAATGGCAATGTCTTCAGTAAATCGGTCAAATTTGTTTATTTTATGAATGAAAGTGTAGCATTTGTCGTGTTTCTATCTGTTGAAATTGACAGGTGCTAGAACTGATTCTGACTGTGATGTCATCAGCACAATCTAAGCCTAGACAGAAGGCACCTGTCACAGATATAGTCAGACACAAATTATCACACCGTGTTTTATGGGCTATACTATATACACTGGAAAACTGTCGGACTAAATAGGTAACCCGGAGAAGGGCTATACTATAAACCGGAAACTAACCCTAACCCTTACCCTAACCAGGCTCCGGGTTATCTATTTAGGGTATTTTCGGGTATTTAGTGTTTTTTCGGGTATTTAGTGGTTTTCTGGTATTCAGTATAAAATGGTATTTTCCGGGTTGTTTTCCGGTTGTTTTCCAGTGTTTTTCGGTGTTTTCTGGTATATAGTATTGCCGTGTTTTATAATATATACTTTGTGTGATAATTTGTACTTGACAGGTGTGTTAAGTCCAGGCTTGTATATAAATGTTGTGTGATAATTTGTTCTGGACAAAGTCTGTGACAGTGTCCTTATGTCCAGACTTACTTTAATTTAGTGTTGCATTTTAGCAACTGTCATCGTTATCTACATTTATATATTTATTGTTAATGGGAGCTATACTCACCCCTGCTTTATTCTTATTTTCTAAAAACAATTATATGTTTGATATTGTAATATTGTATTTTTTTATTTTATTTATTCAGAGTGAAGAACTGGCCACAAGTAATATTAACATAGAGTTACGTTATTTTGATGGTGAAGGAGAGACAGATGGGCGGGTAACTCACTGTACCTTAACAACAAGTAAACAACCCTCTCAACAACCACAACAACCAGAGGTACAAGTAGCTGAAGATCAAATCGATACACAAGATATATCTAGTAGTAAGTAAACCTTGACCTTTCTAGACACGACTGTCAAGGCTGTGAGTGGCCGTGAGTTTAGAGTCACCTCAATTTCTTGCATCATAATTTTATTGACTGCCACGGGTCTCTCTTTGTTAACCTGCCTCCTGGGCCCCAACTTCAAAATTTTGCATTGTACGCCTATCAATATTTAGGTGGTTCCTTTTGAAATTCTGTAAGTTATTATCCCTACATATAAAAAGATGTGCCTTTCCTGTGTTGAGACTGTTTCATTCACTATTTAAGTGTTAAGAAATGAATTTTATTTAGATATTTTAGATGTTTAGTCAGTGGCGGCTCCAAATCTGGTCTGCCCCCTGTTTGCCCCCCCAATGAAAAAAAGTATTTGTGATACATTTCGGTAATCAACACCTTCGGCGAATAAATCCCACATCCCCACTCAGTCATAAACTTGCATGTTGTAGAGCATTTCCGACAGTCTATTTTCCAAAATTTCTTGGGGAGGTCCCAAATGAACTCGCTACTTTGGCGCTCACAAGGGGAATTCATTGAGGTTCGCAAGTCTGTTTGTTTGACATTTTGTTCTCTGGTCGGATAAACTAGTGATTATGCAACAGACGGTATCTGGTCCGATCTATTTATCTCGAAGATCGGTGCCTGACTGAATACTGCCAGACAGCATTTCCGGCAGTCTATTTTTCAAAATTTTCTGGGGGAGGTCCCCCATACCCTCCATAAGGACTCCCTACTTTGACGCTCGTGAGTGGGCTTCGTCGAGATTCGCAAGTCCGTTCGTTTGACACTTTACCTCAATGATCAGTGCCTAAAATACTGCATTTCCGGCAACCTGTTTTTCAAAATTTTCTGGAGGAGGCTCCCCTACCCCTAGTTGAAGCTCGTGCCTTTGCCCCCTTAACCTTGGGCCTGCCCCAGATTTGCCCCTCCAATCACCGACAGCTGGCGCCGCCACTGTGTTTTGTGTTGTAACCCTCCAAAATACCTTTATTTTATATAAAATTGGTTGATTGCTGGTACATTTTAGGTATAACATTATGGCCGATGTTTAAACGTAAGGTATTAGATGAAAAAGATTTACGCTGTGAAGAATCAACCTTTATAGATTTTTCTCTCTTTCAAAGTACTCATTTAGCTTTTGAAGCCAAACAAATCAAGTAAGCCATCATTATTAATATTTGTCTACTCTCTTAAACAACAGGCTATAGATCGGACTAAACTCTTGTCTATACTTGTCCCACAAAATAATGTACTATTGCTGTAAATATAATTTAGCTTTGGTCGATTTTCTTCCTTTACTTGGGGGTGGCCAATTGGCCTAAAGAGTGGGGCTTTCAATCCCATGCTTGTACGCCCATTTAACACAAACTGGGTCATTTTGGGACTAACACAATCTGATTAAAACACAGATCCTATTTCGTTTTGTTTTTTTATAGTTCAAAATTTCATTTTACTTGTCTTTACTACACTAGGATCTGGAAGAGTTGTTATATTACCAGCATTTTGGTTTGAAGTGAGGGATTAGCCAATGAAACGGTCTGTTACATTAATCAATGTCGGACATCATAGGGTCAAAAGCCGTTCGCATGACCTCTGATGCTACCTTCCAGTAAAACTTGTCAGATCTTCATGTAGTGTAGGCCATCGAAAGTATAAAAAAATGAAACAAAATATAGATCTGTATTTTAATCAAATTGGGACTAACAAGTAACAATACTTCTCTTACATAAGGGTCCGGAAAAAGCCCATGAAATTTAGCAGATAACCCTACTCTATAAGCTTTGGATTGAAATCATGCCAATGGACTCATCTGTTATCTGCACTGGCAGTACTGTAACAGAACTGCAACAGAACATAATTATCTGTAACTTGAATGGAGTTTCGTCCATTAGTAAAATACCAAACTCTAATGGATCTTACCCACCCACATTGTTTTTGAACTGTTATACTATGTATATGTTGATAAATTTCTGTATATAGGAATATATGGTTACTGTATATTATTAGATGTTTCTGTATACATCAGTATACAAGAGTTTATCATTATGTATTTCAGTATAAAAGAGTTTATCATTATGTATTTCAGTATACAAGATTATTTTATTGTGTATTTCAGTATACATGAGTATAATACATGTATTATTATGTATTTCGGTATCAGTATACATGAGTATATGATTATATTTTTCAGTATACATGAGTATATGGATTATAATACAGTATTTAAACATAATTTAGATGAACCTGAGTGTTCAAAAGATGATATTATACCTCAGTTGGCTAGAGATCATTTAGTTAATATTAATAATCAAATACAATATAAAGCAGAGACTGGACTTCAAGAGGTAAGCTGCATATTTTTATGTTCGTCTCAGGAATGAGAACTTGAGTCCCGCGATTCAGGATCCAGTCCTTCTAAAATCCCATCAAAGACCTGACTTGTGACTCCACTTGAAATGTTTATAGAGACTTGGGCAGTTGTGATAGCTCTTGATTTGAAAGATCTAAGGACATAACTCTAATTTGCCTTAATCATGATGAATTGCCGACTCATTTGATGAACTGGCGACTTGAACAGGCCATGGACTTTGTGAAGCCTTGGGACTCGACTTGGACTTAAGGTGCAGTGACTTGGGACTTCTTCCTACATCTGGCTTATGTAAGACATATCTTCTTTTGAAGTAAATTAGGTACTGTAAATCTATTATACATTTTGACAGAAACTGAGATATTTCTAATGAACAGTAAAAATAGAATTCTGGATTTGATCAAAGAGGTCCTTCCCTAAACACCCTCCATTGGTTATGTGCATTGCCTGATTATTGTAGTGATTGTTTCTATTTACAGGTTTTACAGAGTTTGAGTGGTGAGATTGAACCAGTACAAGTTGTAGCTAACAGAATAGCATTAGCTTTACAAAGGGTACAAACTTTAGTTTCTGAAACAAACTGTATCCCTTATAGTAATTGAAATTATCTGTCAAAATAAATGTATCAGATGCTGATTAAAATTGATGTAAATGTATTGGTATTAATTGATCTGAGAAAGTTCAACGGGACAACTGTCTAGTCATTCGGATGGGACGAAAAACTAAGGTCCCGTGTACACATTGGCATGCACGTAAAAGATCCCTTGGCACTTGGAATTTGATATAGTAATAGGCAGTAGTGCCGCTGTCCAAGCAAAATTTCCCTCATATTACACTGCATGGCATATGACCGTCTTCATTAGCCCAGTCGGAGCAGAACAGTAGGATGATAAACCCCATTTCATTTATTGATTGATCCTAAAATATAATCAAATTCAAAATCAATAAATACAAAATATTTCAAATCTTGGAACATGTAAATATAAGACAAATATTTCATCAGGATTTTTCAAGCCTGGACTTTCATCTGTTAGGATGACATGCACTTAACAGAACTCTTGACATAGATTGTAATCGAAAAAGAATTGGCAGGTATGACTCTGCCTGGGCCAATTTCTCTGATCTTGCATTGCACATGAAAAATTAGTATATGTCAGAGGTTGGAACTCAAGTCGCATCAATGACTCGACTTGCGACTCAATGTAAAATATCTATTGCGACTTGAGACTAGACTCGGCAGTCGTGATGACTCTCGGCTTGAAAGAGCTTAGGACTTAAGTCTCGGTGAGAGGGGATAACTCTAACTTACCTTATTCTCCATGAATTGCTGACACATTTGATGAACTAGCAACTGGAACTCAGTACTAAAGTCAGCGACTTGGGACACGACTTGTTCCCACCTCTGACATGTTTTTCTCATAATGACCAAATTATTGTGTTGATGAGACAGTAAACCCTATTCCTTTTCATTCCAATAATAAATGATTTGTGTATTTATCAACATTATGTTTACACAACTAATATATATGTCTACCATGATGAATATTTCTGTGTTTATTTATTTATAGAATAAGACATCATGGGTGGCTGCATCTGCTGCAGGATTGTACTGGAGAGTTGAAGGTGATATTGAGAAAGCTTTTGATTGTTATAGATTGGCGTTGTCACATGTTCCTAGACAGTATTCAGTAAGTTTATACCAACATTGGTTTGCTCTCGGTGTTGTCCGAGAAAGTTTATTGGGATTTTCCAGTGTGGTTTCCCCTTGTCAGTGATGCAGATGGAGGGCCTGACAAAGACAGCTGTCTAGTCGATTGGATGGGACGGAAAACTGAGGTCCCATGTAAATATTGCTGTGCCATAAAAGATCCCTTGGCAGTTGGAATTTGATATAAGAGTAGGCTGTAGTGCGTATGGCGTATGCCCTTCTTCATTAGCCCAGTCGGAGCAGAACATTAGGACATTAATCCCCATTTCATTTCATTTCTTTTATACCAACATTACATTATAGTCTCTTTTTGTAACCTCCGAAAAGTATGGTGACAGTGAGACTGGTCCAAGCAAGAGGGCTTAAAATAAGATATTATTTCTCTTTAACATCTATATTTTTACTATATATATTTGGTGCTACATAAATTTTTATCAGGAACTATTCCGCTGGTACCAAATTACAGTTTGAGATATTGGAAAACAGGAATAAAATGTTTTAGTACAGATTTGTAATAGTTGGTAGACGTAAATGCCACTGTTTGGACAAAATTCACCTAACATACCCTAGACCATAGCCATAAAACCCTAAATACTTATCTGGAAATGATTGAACTTAACAGAGTAATGTCTTGACAATCGAAAAGACTCCATTAGCGATGTTAATGTTAAACCCCATTAGATTTCATTTCATTTCATTCCTTTCCTTTCCTTTTCTTTGACATTGACATCGTAAATGTAATTAATATAAAATTTAAATAAATTACATAACATGTATATGTTATTTACAGGACTTAGTGTTAATTGGTTATGCTAATATATTGCTACAAGGGAGATATTTTAATAATGCCATCGTGATAGTGGATTTGGCTCTAGAAGTACAGCCATCTTTACCTATATTATATTTTACACTTGGCAATATATACGCTGCATTGGTATGTACTTTACTGTCACACTTTCTACCCGGTTTCCTTCCTGACAAGGACAGCTGTCTAGTCCTTTGGATGAGACGAAAAACCAAGGTCCCGTGTATACATTGGAATGCACGTAAAAGATCCCTTGGCAGTTGGAATTCGATATAAGAGTAGGCAATAGTGCCGCTGCCCCGGCAAAATTTTCCTCATAGCACACTGTATGGGGTATGCCCGTCTTCCTTAGCCCAGTATAGGAGCAGAACAGTAGGATGTTAAACCCCATTTCATTTCATTTACTTCCTTACTGTTATCTGTGTATAACCTGTAATTATGATAGCTCTAGCTCACTCATCACGAGGGCCAGGTTTCGCTCCCAGTTTTGGACTAGAAATTTGCAGCATCTTTTCCTCTTGCAAGGGCTTGCCATGGTCAGCGTCTAGTTGTTCAGAAGAGATGAAAAACCGAGGTCCTGTGGACGCGTAAAAGAATATTTGACAGTTTGAATTCGCAATACGAGTAAGCCATAAGGCCACTGTCTGGGCAAAATTTCCCTCATAGTCAACAGTATGACATACACCCGTCTTCATTAGCCCAGTTGGTGCAGAAAAGTAGTATGTTAAACCCCATTTAATTTCTATAATTGTGATACCTTTGGACAACTTCACAAAGGATATATTTTGCTGTGATCTAGTAATATTACTAGATTTTTCACTTGGATTTAACCCATTACTTTCCCTCTGGCCAGACTTGTAAGCTAACAGAAACCTGTTTACAACTGGTTAGACCGTAATATAGTGTATTATTAAACATGAATTATTGTTCTATTTTCAGAACCAATGGGAAACGGCTGTATCATTTTACGAGGCTACTCGATACTATCAAGAGAATTTTGCACCAGCTCTGGACAGACTCCGAGCCATTTATTGCCAAAATTTAATTAAATGATATACAAATTTGTTGAATTTTTATTGATGTTTTATTATTAATGGCTTAGCTTGAAATTAAGATGATGTCTAAATACTAGATACGTCAAAATCCATTTTAACTTATCTTCGGTTTTTATACATTTGCCATCTTGTCAAAATCCATTTGAACTTTCTTAGGTTTTTATACGTTTGCCATAATAGTTTTTCTTGCCAAATTAGACTGATTATTGCATTTTATATGTTGATATGCTGTGTTATATCTGTATGTAGCCAAGTGGACAATTTTTCCTTTTAACCCAGACCAAAGATTATATTGCTTCTTAAAATCTGTTATATTTAGGGCACAGAGTAATTTCCAAATCATAGAAAATATTGATTTTAGATATAGATTTTAATGTGTTTAATTTATAAATAATTGTTTTAAAAATAATATTTACTGTTTAAAGATTCATATGTAATGTTAAATATTTTTGTTATCTTATTATAATTAAAACTGTTGAAATCTTTTTTTATTATTAGATATTTTTATTTGATTGAGGTTATCACCTGTACACACCAAGGATGATTGGCAATCTATCAACAAAACAGCCAGCACAAACAACACCGATTTCTGGTTGCTGGTGTCTCATGAGACAATCTCACGCAGTGGCTTAGTGAGTAAGACGTTGGCTCGCTAACCTGGAGGTCCTGTGTTTGATTCCAGTGTTGGCCGAGAAAGTTCGTGATTTTCTTGTGTTCTCACTTGTCAGTGGTGTAGGATGGAGGGCATGGCAAAAGTAGACCATGACCCTAAACCAATCAAAAGACATACAACATACAGATAATGCCATGTGCAGCAGAGACACTCAAAAGTCAAATGCTGATGTGGTGCCTTTTGCTTTTTTGGGGTGGGTGTAGATTCCGGAGAAGAATCTCTTTGCGAAACTACATACAAGAACATACCACTGAAGTGATGCCGTATGCCATTTTAAAAATATTAAATATTTTTATTCCCATGGATACAATTGGATTTAGTCTCAAAAACTATTAAAAATTATGGAAAACTCTTAACACACAACAAAGGTGTGACCATGCTCCATCTTCTGATGGTTTGTGTTAAACTGCCATTTGCTTAGAAGCAGTGACAACTTCTAAGGCTTGTGCAATAAATAAGGTATTCATTACTGTTGTGTTTTTTTCAGTATGTTGTGCTGCTGTTAAAGATTTGTTCATCTATTCTATACTAATATTTGTGACTGTCGTTTGTCTGTTTGTCTGTTCGGGGTTGGCGGCTACACTAGGTCTGCCCCGAGTCTGAAATTTGGGGTATAGGGGTAGCTCGGACCGGGGAGTAACATAGGCCAGGTGGCGTTAGTCTACCACTTCCGGTTTTGGGGTTATGACCTCCGAGCGAAGCCGGGCATTCTTCTAGTTATACATATAACAAGATGCGTTTCTGTTTATATTTTATCAAACTCACTTTATTATTTAATTTTATCTACAAGTATGGTAATAAGTCAGTAATTCTTTTAAAACATACACTGTACAATATAATAATGGATTTAAAGCATGCTACATTTAAACTAATGGAATGTCCCTTTAAAAAAAACATTCCTTGATATATCTACTCTGAAATTAAATGTTCTCAGGGATACTTTCACTTTATTAAGCTTGAGAATTGAGACATAATATGATAATTATCAATATGGTGAAAATTATTTCTAATTTTGTCCTATCCTTTGTAATAAATGACTCTACTATAATATTCAAGTGTTTACCAATTCAGCCACATTTCAACCTTTTTTTCTCAAAATCACTTTGTTGATGGGTTTGGAAATTTTGTTAAGCCATTCAACTGAAATGCACTGTAGTTCAGACTAGCAAATATTTCCAAAACACTTGATCTCTGATATGGACTTAGTTAGCAAGATATGTGGCCTAATTAGAAATAGTTTTCTTCATGCCAAATGTTAACTAACAACTAAATATTGTTACATGCATCAAATAAATCAGATATGCAAAAGCAAAAAATATTTTAAAGCTCTAAGTATAAACAAATAGTTTATAAAATCAATTAACAAAAATGTAGTACATGGATGATACCAGATCATTCTTCACTGTAGAGATTTATAAAATAAATGACAAAAAAAAAAGGTGCTTTTAAATTACCTGTAGTCAGCTGCCAGAGCTAGATACAGTCGAAAGAAAGAAATAAGACACTTTACAAACTCATGAAAAAGATTTATCTTCAATTTGAAGCACAAAGCATACTATAATATTTCTTCTAACTTTCTGAAAATTATATTTCCACCACTGGAAGACTAGTGTACAATTCATGGAAAAGAGAAATGCTGCTTGTGGCAAAAATCCATATAGTTAATCTTCTAATAAAACACAGCACGAAAACTATTTCCAGAAACATTAACAAAGATCTATTTCTAATATAAAATCTTAATATAAAATTAAATTTGAAACTTGTCAAATAAAAAGATCAATTTTTCTCAGGTCAGTTTACCCTATATCATTCACAATGCTTCATTAGAAATTTACCATCTTAAGCTCCAATCACGTAATTTCTGCAGTTAGCAGTATAAGTAAGTATTGATGGGTGTCGTACACATTCAGGGTAGGCTTACTCTTTTTAGAACACTTGATACCATTTTTCAATTGAGGAATTCATCTGACTAATAAATTTTTGTTACTTTGATTTGGTCCTCATTTTTACATCAATTTATTAATTTACAATTGTGGATTAAGTTATATTGAAAAATATATGGATTGTTTACTTTATATCGAAAAACCATTACAACCAACTACACAACAACATTTAAAAACAATATTAAGACAGAGAAATCTACAAAGTATGGACAAAGTTTCTCGTAAGTTGGCTGATCAATTTTGCTCAACACTCAGAAGAAATCCCACAGATATTTATATCTTATTATCTAGTATTAAAACAGTTTCAAGAATGAACAACCTGAAGAACAGATCACTTCACCTTTACTTAATACGCTGGCAGTGCTTTTACAAAAGGAACTGCTCGTCACCGTAATAAACAAATCCTCACCAAGTGCCATAATAGCTATTCTCCATAATCTGTGTGAAAACACAATGAGAAATGCATTGGATCAAAGAACATTACAGCAAGGGCAGCTTGTTTGTTTATTTACATTGACCGACATTTCCCTTCAGTAGATATTAAAATACAAACAAATGGTAACAGCCAGGGATCTCCTTAAATATTCCCAAAAGAAGTAAATATCAATGTTGATGTGCAGGACTCTACAGTCAGACAAATTTGGCTCAGAATTCTACTTTTGTAATGTACAGCTGAAGGATTTAACTAACGGCCACAGGCACGACAAGGTTTATAATCTTAAATGCTTTGGTTACAACCCCCACATTTGCCAGACACAGAAAGATGCATTTGAAAGAGAGATCATTAATGAACATGTGAAGTGGTGGCATAGCAAAGCAACTAAATATTGTGGAAGTTGTTGGAATTCGAGTGAAGACAAATGTGAGATGATAAATACAACTTGGGTATTTGCCTCAATACTTACATTGTTATTATTCTTCAAACATTATTATAGGTGTTGTTAAATTTACAGGGTTCTTACTTCATTAATTTTTCAGTCAGAATTTAAATTAATTATGCAAGTCTTTTTTATTAATGTTATATTTCTTCAGTTAGGACTACATATTTTGAGAACCCTGTATTATACTATCACACCTGATTTCTAAAACAACTAACAATTATATAAACATGAGTATTTAAAGAAAGAAATTATGGCTGAAAAAATTTAAAAAATCAAAACATTGAGAAGATTAACAAGTAATCCTGATCCGAATATTGACATAACAAATTTAAATCCTTCTGGCTGACCAACTAGACCTCGAATATACAGAAGTCCATTTCCTAGTGTTGATTTAATTTTCAATTCTTTAGATGATTTGTCCTGAAAAAATCAAAGAACCATCATTAAAAAACTTCCGCTTAAAGATACATTATGGGAGATTAGATAAAGAGCTGGCAGTTCTCACTATAATAGTAAAAAACTAGATAATGTAAAGGAATATGCTGAAAATTTCAGTCAAATTGCTCCACTCTGAACCAAGCTAGCAGCGATTGAATATTAGGCATAGCCTTGATCATCATTACTAAAACATAGTCTTGATTATCCATTTTTGGATTTAATCATCAATGAGCATTGAGCAGTAGATCGGATTCAAATCCAGTGAAAATCAGACACATAAGATGTCATTGAGTGTTGATTAAGGTCTTTTTATGTTAATAAATGTCTAATTAATAGTTTATATAACATTTCAGGCCTAAAGAAAGACCTGCAATTGGCAAATTTAGCTCTTGCATAATGTATGTTGAATATTTTGAAACCAATATTTAATCATATACATGCCCCATCACTGATTAGAGTAACACATCATATAAAGGCAATTCAACACTTTATTTTGACGTAAATCAAAGAGGTTTAGTACCTTAATGTTGACTTGTATACACTCCATTTTTACTGTCAGACTATAGTAAATCAAAGAGATTTAGCTCTTTTATGATGACTTATAATAATGTACATTAAATTTGACTGTTGGACTATAGTAAATCAACTCAAACTTACTCCAATTATTCTTTCATGTTGTAAATATTTTAACATGGTTGGTTCATCTTTAGATAGAACAGATATATATTCAGTCATCTTTTTCCTACTCCACCAATTTCTTTTAGAAAATCTGACAAAAATAAAATAAACACAATATAATCAACACTACCATTTATTTTACGGGTTAATAAAAGATGATTTTACATAGATTATTCCCAATCAGTCTAATTATTAATATTTCCTTTAGTTTCTATTATTACTTTCTAACATCTTACATGTTCTGAAATATCTTAGATTAAAGTAGCTAAGTGTCTAACTAAATATCATCCAAAGTCTTCGACATTCAAAGCATGAATTATTTGTCAATTTAAATCAACATTGATGTTGTGATCTTACCGGGGAAAGATGGGCTTCTGATATCCAATATTTAAGACAAAATAAACATTTTAGAATTGGTACACGAATCGTGTTCCATAATGCATTTCAGTGCCATTTGTAACAAGGGACTCGAAGAACAAGGCTAGACAAATTCCACAAGTCATGTCAAACGGTGGCCTTATATTCTTATCTGGACAGCATGCGCAATAAGTACTATCAGTGTAGACTGGAATAACCAGACCCTAGAGATTGCCATATGATTGAAATTTTTGGCATATTTCGCCGAACATAACTGATTAGAAATTACAATAAAAACAGAAACGATTGAATGTAAATCAGTTATATACATTACACTTTCATATTACATTATTATATGCGTTGTGACACATTTGTGTCTATTTCTAGGTTCCAAATATTAGCGAGTTAGCTCCTTTAATCTGTGAAGTTACATACATGGCACATCTGACTAAAGTCGGATGAATAATATTACATAAAAAGTAATGGATGGTCAACCCAGATACACAGCAAGGATAATATTTGACCAACCCAGATATATAGAATAAACTAATGAATATACTTACAACTTATTTTTGGTATCACTGCTGGTAAAATAATAATGATACATGGTGGCCCGGATATATTTTGGAGGGTTAACGGGAAAGGGATTTTTGTGCATCAGTTCAAGTACTTCTTTCTGATTGGTTAAAAGACGATATATGAGATTAACAAACCAAGGATTATTCTGGTAACTACCTAAAGCTGCGAACCACATCTGCCAGTCTAAACGTGGTTGATGAGGAGCTGAAATAGATAATATGAATTTATTTATATAACTCAACATCTCACTATCCAAAATATGTGATCACCCTTCTAATAATATGTACATTTATCCTGCGCACAGTTCCATGCTAGTTCCAAGACGCTACAAAGTCTAAGCGTCATAATATGTTTTTTTTCAAGGTGCTACAAAGTCTCAGTATCATAATAGACTGTATGAGTTTTCAAATTACTTTAGAAAATTTCCGACAGTAGAAGGTGGAGGAGAAAGCAGGTTTAACAGATATTATCAGGTAAGTCATTCTGTCTATGAAAGTTAAGTCATTCTCTCTATAAAAGATAAGTCATTCTCCCTATAAAAGATAAGTCATTCTCTCTATAAAAGATAAGTCATACTCCCTATAGAAGTTAAGCCATTCTCTCTATATTAAAAGATAAGTCATTCTGTCTATGAAAGGTATGTCATTCTCTCTTTATTAAAAGATACGTCTTTCTCCCTATAAAAGATAAGTCATTCTCTCTATAAAAGATAAGTCATTCTCCCTATAGAAGTTAAGCCATTCTCTCTCTATAAAAGATAAGTCATTCTCCCTATAAAAGATAAGTCATTCTCTCTATAAAAGATAAGTCATACTCCCTATAGAAGTTAAGCCATTCTCTCTATATTAAAAGATAAGTCATTCTGTCTATGAAAGGTATGTCATTCTCTCTTTATTAAAAGATACGTCTTTCTCCCTATAAAAGATAAGTCATTCTCTCTATAAAAGATAAGTCATTCTCCCTATAGAAGTTAAGCCATTCTCTCTATATTAAAAGATAAGTCATTCTGTCTATGAAAGGTATGTCATTCTCTCTTTATTAAAAGATACGTCTTTCTCCCTATAAAAGTTAAGTCATTCTCCCTATAAAAGATAAGCCATTCTTCTAGTAACAAGTAAGTCATTCTGTCTTTCTCCCTGCATAGCAACAGTAACAAATAAGTCATTCTGTCTGTAGATGGTTTAAAATGTGATTTATTTCTACTCACCTACAAAAGGAAGAGGTGCTGACACATTTCCTGGTTTATAAAGAAAGTGGTATTCTTTCCAATCTTTATCTAAATCATTACTACCCTCTATAATAACTTCTGGTCGACCTTTGACCCCTGTCATTCTATATAACAACATAAACAATACATGAAATATTTACTGTACAATACAAGTAATAAAATATAAACATTTTTGACAGGCTTTAGAAACATATCTACACGAAACATTTATTGAAAAGCACATATATGTAGTTTTAACCACTTTCGTCCAACTCCGTGTACATGATTTAATAGTACTTTTGTTGTTTATTGTTTAAAATGTCCATGGGTTTGTCATATTGGTTTCTGTTGTTTCTATGTGTTATTTGGTTCTCCTACACTATCTATCACAGAACCTACCATCATCTAATTACTTCCCCTGAATCATTAATTTACGTTACAATAAATTTACATTGTACTTTCCTACAGTTGCCCAATTACAAATATTACTTATCACTATCCCACTATACCAGATTACAGCCTGATAGACTGGAATAAGATAAAGTGTCTTATGCCAGGACACAAGCCTTTGATACTCAGCCAGGGTGGGGATCATTTGGTCATTGAACTAGCACCATAGGGCACTTTGGTCCAAGCATGTGCCCCAATGGCTAATGGCTGGAGTGTCCGGCTGGTATTTGATATAAAATCATTAGGATTACAAAACCATTTAAGATTATGTAAGATATAGATGAATAGCTGACAGTTCTTGCTGTAATAGTTTAAACATAGATAATGATAAAGGAATATATTAAAATATCAGTCAAATTACATCATTCTGAGCTAAGTTATGAATGTTTGAAGAATAGCTTAGTCTCAATGTTCATTGCTACTGTTGTTATGATAATAAACAAAGTCTTGATTATCCATGTTAAATTAAATTATAAAATGGGAATCAAGTTTCAATCCATTCAAAATCACAACCATCCAATGGTCTAGATAGTTTATGTGAATAAATGTCATGTGAATAAATGTCTATTTAATAATTTATATAACATTCGAGGCCAAAAGAAAGACCTACAATAGGCAGATTTGGCTCTTAAACATAATGTATCGTTAATGTCATGTACTCTTACAATGATCGATCTACCGCAGCACAGATAAGTCTAAACTGTATGTTTATATTTATAATATTTAACAAAATATTTTATTCTCTTAGGATAAAAATCAAAATGTTAATATTAATATCACTAAGTACATGGCTAGCATGTGTCATTTATAAGTTACATATATATAACATAGGTACTCAAATTTAACTCAAACACACAGACAAGCATTATTAGTGTATTTCTATTGGCCGTAAGCAAATTGTCAAGCCAAATATACACACAAAATATACTTTAATTAGTTTCTAATCTAAAAAAAATATATTAACAAAAAATAAGAGCTCAGGAAAAATCCAAAAAATAAACCACACATACATGTATATTGCTTGAGTTTATAAAAAATAGAATAAATATAATAGTTCATTCAAGATGCAATCTTCCATACTTAGTTGGTACTGACTGAAATATGCCTGTAGTATACACAAGGGCTTCACTTTAACATGGATGTTGGACCCTCACGACTATACATTCATGTTTTACATTGATACCCTTATACATTATACACAAGGACCTCCCTATAACACTGTTAAAATTTATGCTGACACCCACCTTGTAGGAAACTTGCCTTATAAGAAACAGCATTATAGTGAGGTCTTAGTGTATTTCCCCCCCCCCCACCCTCCCTCACCAAATAAATAAAATAATCCATAAATATCAAGGAGGAATTGACTAAGAAGAAGTAAAAAAAGACTATATCTTTAACGAAAACAAAAATATAGAATAGCTTACACTCTGAAGAGACCATAGGAATCAGTAATTCTAAAAGTATCAAGTTTTTTATGCCATGTATGGACTGATGGCCATAATAAACTGTGTGTTTTACCATCTAATCGGCTATGGGGAACCTGGAAATATACCATACAACCTATAGAACCACACAACACACACATCACAAGCCTAGTAGACAACTTGTTTTGATAAAGAGAACAGTCTATTTTGTCATCTTCCAATTTAAGACAAATAGGGGCCACTTGAGATAGTTTTTGTCTACAATCTAATAAAGTCCAGATATTATTTTTGTTCTATTTATTCAGATGTCAAAAACATGTTTAACAAAAGTGACAATAACATCATTGTATATTTGACTCTGATTAGACACCCAATCAAATGTCTGAATAATTAAAACCTCCCAAAAGATTCTGTGGAGTTTTCTGAATCACAGGTTTTGATTGGTAGGTAAATCTGGAGTTGACCAATTACAATCAATACTTTACAGAATAGTTTTCTTTTTAAAAGGCCAATAAATTGGAAGAAGGACACTTCTCTTTTTAAAAGTATCAAAACAAACTGACTTGACTGTTCCCTCTGAATACCAAAGCAGACAAGAACAAGGTCATGACCTCATGTTATCACTCAGTGCCGAATATCTAAACAGCAAAAATTCAAACAATTTAAGGTGTTGCATTCAACTCAGCTTTCCAACTCATTCATTGAAGAATATATTATTTATCCATAAGAATATTATCCGTTGAGATAAACCTGAGTAATAACATACAGGCCTGGGCCCTTATTCACGAAAACTTAAACTAAGTTACAATCAAAATTTTAAGAAATACTGCAATTCGATTGGCTGACCAGGGAAATCAATTTGCATATATCCAATTTGCATATTGGTCAGCCAATCGAATTGCAGTATTTCTTAAAATTTCAATTGTATCTTAGTTTAAGTTTTCGTGAATAAGGGCCCTGATCTTATGTTATGTATGTTAACAAGCGATCAACGATCAAAAGGAAATGGTTGTCACAAAATGTATTTTGGACACTGGAACCAAATCCACAATAATACTGGTAGTGGTTAAAATTAATATTTTAAATAATTGCTCACACATCTAGAATGGTATACCTGTATTATATCATATGTATGTAAGCAAGGGTTAATACAAAAAACATGCAAAAACATAAATTGGAATCCAGCCACCAAAGCTACACAGAAAACATTTAATAACATCTCCATAACTCCATTATCAAAAATAGCCCATCATCAATGATAAACATCAATTTAAATGATCTGATTTTACTAGGCCAAAGCAAATAAATATTTTATTCTTTGGGGTCTGGATAAATGAACAATTCTTTAGTCTAAAATTCAAAATGTATTAGTCTGGAATTAAAATTCTTGGAGAAAGCTAAAGTACTTCTTGTTTTTAAACTATTTTTTTCCCAGGAAATAAGAAGCAAAATTTTAACAGATGTTCATGAAGAGCAAAAGTTTAAACCGCTGTGGCCTTACTGGCTACTTTTTTTTCCATCATTTATTGCTTCAATCTATGGATATCCCTAAAATGATGAAAAATTTCAACCAATTTCATCCATGATAGGTATTTTTTAATAAATACATTTAGAATAAGAACCAATAATCATGCAAGACATATATGAATGTATAACTAAATATAAAAGCATGCATAATTAAAAACTATTATTTAAAATAAACAGGTGACTGAAACGAGAATATAAAAATATACCTTCGAAATAAGCCATATGATGATGTTATATGGTACCTGTGTGTTATAGCATGATAGTCCAATAAAGATGGCCATAGTGCTTTCTGGGAAGGTTTGTGCACCACTGAATGTGGTACCTACATGTATAAATAAGGCAATATTTTAATAATAAAAGACTTTCCAACACACCCACAGCATACATGCCAAATTCCACGTGCATGAATATCCATCATTTGCAGATCATTGAGATTATTAATTATATGGTTTAAAAGGGAAACTAATTATAATGTTTCAATCTATGCCTTATATACAGTAGTATAGCTAGGCTTTGTGCTGCCCCGAGTGATCTCCCTTCCCTTGATGAAATAACAACACAATTTTAATGTCAGGTATGTCTAACTCTAAGTTGGGTTTTTTATGGGAAAAATAATTGTGTCCGACGTATAGTATCTTTCTACTGTCCCAACATACAATTATTTTCCAATGTTGTAGACCAAAAGTGCAGCCGCCAAACAATGCAGTGTGGGGCAGACTAGCCCCATCCCCACGCCCCCTTCCTAGCTACGCTACTGCTTACTGTATGCAGAAAAGATCTGTAGTTATAATCCTCTGCCAACAATCTGCATATGATCACTAGATATTGTACAGTACTGGGTGTATTATGTAAGCAGGGAGCATACTATAACTATACAGGGATTAATATACTATTAGTGGTATCTATACTGCTACAAGATAACATAATTGAAAAATATTTCAATTTTAACATTATATTCTACAAGCAAATTCCTAAAAGTAAATTCAACTAATTTGGTGTGATAAAGCTTTTCTCTACTGTTTGCTAACAGCATGTTGTTTTGTTTTCGTTTAGCAATAATAAGTCAATATATGTGTCAATGGAGATCTATAAAGCAAGACTTAGTAAAGTTTTATTATTGCATTCACTGTAGTTAGTAGATTGTTAATATACTATTCAAAAAAAGTAGGGGATATTTGATTTTTAAGTGTTATTAAAGTCACCTAATGAAACTGATGAAGAAACAAATGACAAAATGAAATGAAGTTCACATTCATCGATTTATTCCAAATGATCGTTAGACTAAGTAAGGCACAGACTGACCATTATAAGGGTAAAATGATACCCGGGGTCAAACAGCAAAGTTACCACAGCATCACAACCAAGTCAGTAACGGGTAAATCCTCCTCTGTTTGCCAAACAAGCATTGATCCGACGTGGCATACTCCTAATGAGACGTCTAAGGTCATTTTGGTCCAGATTGTCCCATTCCTGTTGCAACGCAGCAGCAAGTTCTTGGACATTGGCAGGACGTTGTTGACGTTGACGTAACCTCTGTCCAAGCATGTCCCAGACATGCTCGATGGGGGAGAGGTGCTGGCCAAGGTAATGTGGTGATGTTCTGTTGTTGGAGGTAACCTGTAACGATCCTGGCCCTGTGACATCTTGCGTTGTCATCCTGGAAGATGAAACGGCGGCCATGACGTTGTGCGAACAGCACAACATGGACTGCCAAGATGTTGTCCCGGTAGTACTGGCCTGTAACACGCCCTGCAACAACATGTAAAGCCGTTCTTCCAGCAACAGTGATGCCTCCCCACACCATAACAGAACCACCCCCAAATCGATCATGTCTGATGACGTTAACGTCTTGGAAGCGCTCGTTTCGACGACGCCACACCCTCCTACGTCTGTCCAAAAAATCAACAGTGAACCTTGACTCATCTGAAAACATCACATTGCTCCAGCGTCGATTATCCCCGTGTTGACGATCCCTACACCAACGACGTCTTGCCTGAATGTGATGATCTCTCAAACAAGGGATCACGCGAGGACGTCGGGCGCGAAGGTGACCCCTATGCAGTCGATTCCGAATCGTCTGGCCACTCACTCTCACACCAGTGTCTGTTTGAAGACGAGCGCTGATCTGATTTGCTGTGATGACACGATTTCTCAAGGCCAAGGTACGGATAAATCGATCCTGGGCTTGAGTTGTCGCCCTTGGTCGACCTGAGCGTGGTCTGTCCTGTACAGATTGTGTATCACGGTATCTGGACCATAGCCTGCTTATGACAGACTGAGAAACATTCATCGTCCGCGCCACAACCGCCTGTGTTGTGCCGATCTGTAGCATGCCAAGTGCACGTAACCTTTCATTTTGGGTAAGCCGACGCATATCAAAATTTGTTTTCTGGTCACTAAAACAATTAAACTGATGTTTCCACCCTGGAATTCAATGCCACAATGACTAACATTCAAAGTCAGAGTCGTGCAAATCTTGGGTTGGACCCCCATGATGATCCCAAGCATCACCTGCATTCCATGCGGTAGCTATTGGTGCGTTTGGGCGTCACATGTAACTGGAAATGTTTCTTCTGTTAGGTTCTATAGTGACTTTTTTCGTAGTCATTTGCATATTTTAGTATTATGCCCCCAAAATCAAATATCCCCTACTTTTTTTGAATAGTATATGTGCTGTGCTTGTAGTAGAATAAAATACAAAATGACATATTTTTAAGGAGATAAATTAGAATTACAGAACAGTAGAAATAACATTGAAGACCAACGAAACCTCCAAAATAATATGTGACAATATGTGCGATCTGCAAGTCATTGTTGTATAATGTGAACAGAAAAGTGAAAATGGGATGAAAATACATCTTATTTTTCATTTGCATTACAGGTTAAATCGTAACTTCCATCTTAAAAAATTGATACTTTTACCCTACTCAAAATAGTCTGTTAATTGCCAAACAGCCTTCCCATATTTCTCTCAAGAAGCGACTAGATCCGTGCAGTTCGAACTCTTCTGGCATAACTGAATATGTGCATTCGCCCTATATATATATCGATTATTGTATAAAGATGTTCGACAGGAAAATTGCTGTTTGAATTATAATTGTTCAACAATAACTTGTGACTTCTGATTCATGGTGCGGATGACATATGATTTACGTATAATACACATGCCTGTTAGAATATTACACAAGACACATCTAGCTGTGTTTTACTTTCACTAAATACACATTAGTTTAAAAGCAGGGTTTGGTTAACTAGACTAACATTAATAATATTACATATACAAACAATATAACATACAAATATAACTATACTAAACAATTACAAGAATTGGTTTGGTAGGGTTGAAAAACTATAGCTGCATCTGACGTGTGAGTAATATATAAGCTTTATGGTTCAAAAGCTAAGTTGTGAGATAATGTGAGTGACAGATATTTCATTGCTCTAGTTTATAGAAATAACCAACACTCTATGGTACCAAATTATACATTAACTCACAGTTTCTAATTCAACATGACACCATGTGGTAACAGATTTAGCCTACTGGCACTAACGGATGTGCTATTTCTCTCCCCAGCATGATAAAGTTGGAAATCATACTAAGGGTAGTCATTAATGGCGCGGTCAGGGCCAAATTTCCCTCATAGCACACTGCATAGCATATGCTAGCCTGCATTTGCATGGCTGGTTCAGAAAAATAATATGTTAAACACAGTTTCTTTTTCTTTTCTTCCTTCCCCAGATATATTTTAATTCTAATGACATCAGAACTTGTTCCATCCTTTTTAATAAAACAGTTGAGCCTATTTCATGTTAGTATGTTTATACTTACTAAACTCAGTGTAAACATGCCCACTGCTAAACTAGCAAATATAACTGCTTGTAAAACTGACCAAAATTTCATTAACATCTTCTTCTCATATACTAAACAACTGAAATAATAAAAATATTTACGCATGATAAACACAATGTAGGAAGGTTACTTTTATACAACTACCCCAAAACTATTAATATATTGTTTTAACCAGGTCCCATATCCTTAATGCACGTCTAAACCAGAAGAAATAAACAGAAATTGTTGAAATGTGATAGGTTACTCCTTTTTACTAATTTAAATAATGCACATAAATAGGGCCATAAGTCCCAAAGGTATTAAAGGAAATTGTTAAAATGCTATAGACTTCTCCATTTTAGAATTTTAAATAACAGTAATGCACATAAAATGCATATAGGCCGGGTGATATTTTTTGTGTTCACAGGGTTCTACAAAGTGATACAAGGGCCATAACTCTATAAGAAGTTCTTGAAATTAAATAAGATTCTTCATCTCTAAATGTAGTTTGTAGAGTGTCCAGTAATTGTGAACAGATGGGTGCAACAACAATATAAAACCACATTTCCATCTGGCTGAATAAATAACCTAAGACTATGCCAATTCAAGTACCATCATCATGGAACTTGGCATGGACTATTTCACATCGATTAACGAACAAAAATAATCAGTTTGAACAGCTTTGAAAACTATCTGAATTCAAATATTCATGTTTGCACTACAATAAGATGTACCTTTTGACACAGTTTATCATATATTTTATTTTCTATCATTGGAAACATTGATTATATATTATTTTTAAACAAATCTTACCTGATAAGAACCATTAATACCTCATAACCCAACGATATTATACCCAGACCTATAGTATATGGCATAATAAACTCTAACCACTTACTGAAATCTCTCTCAGTAAAAGCTGAAAATATTAATACATACCATTTAAACATTTATTAGTGATACCGTTAAAACGGAGAAAAACAAAATAACCCAAAACAACCCGCCAGAATATCTATAATCATACAAGACTGTTTGATATTTTTTGCATCAGGGGTTCTGGGTTCAGGTTCCCAAACTACTCTATCTTTATCTAATATTGATTAAGCTCAATATACCGTCACAACAGTCTGTTTTAAGGATACGAATATTGATACTATTGATTCTCAATGCCTGATAATGACTACAGATGGCTAGTCGAAATGTCACTCAGTAGTAAGTCAGTTTTCAATGTGTTAATTTTCACAGCTTTTTGGCCGGTTACATGGAAATGCTTGCATTACATTTGCCATAAGACCTCCTTTTTGGCGGCGAAAACATGCGCAAAACCTCATACATGCATAAGGGCACATAAGCAGTAATTGTATTCCATAGAATTTTGACCTGTGTACAATTAGTGAAATTCTTGATACTAGAACTATAGATTGGAATATTAGTCTTGAAGATTCTTGTTTGAATTTGACACCCAATGTTCCAAAAGTGTTCAGTGGCCAAGATAGAAGGCAATGAACAATATCTGGAAATTTAGGACCCTCCACCTCCCCCCAAAAAATTGTTCCGCATGCTAAAATTTTAGTACAAGGATATTCAATCCAATCATTTAGGGTTTTCCCCACAGAGTTTGGAAGAACATGTTAAAAGGTTTCTCATTTCTCACCTATCTTAGAATCAATTGTATTATCATTATTCAATTTAATACTAAACAAGCGAATAGTCTGGTATCCAAGGTAACCAAGAACTGCCAGGGGTGCTACAATATTTGAAATCAACCGTAGGACAGACCATGATCCCTTCTTTTTTCTGCTCTCTAAAAAAATATATAGAAAACATAATATCAGAAACACTTCCACGATAACTGATCAATGACATTCTCACACTTCACGAATAATTCTCATCCCAGTGAGGGAGCCACGGTGGCTAAGTGGGTAAGACGCTGGCTTGCTAGTCTGGAGGCTACGGTCTTCAATCCCTGCATTGGGGGAGAAAGTTCATCAGGATTTTTTGGCATTATCAGACCTGATAAACGTGATCCTGAAGATATACTAAAATTTATTACTGTAAAGACACATCATGTAAGATTTAGTTAAGGAGCTGACAGTTACCCTATAATAGTTTAAACATGAAAAACAAATATATTGAAAATTTCAGTCAAATTTCTTCATTCTGAATGAAGTTTTGACTGTTTGCAGAATAGCATAGTCTTGATTGTACATTTTTAAATTAATTGTGTTTCAATTCTTTCAAAATCACAATCCTCCGATGGTCTAAAGTTGATTATGGACTATTCATGTGAATAAATGTCTTATTAAAATTTATATGGCACTTGAAGCCAGAAGAAAGATATGCAATAAACAGATTTAGTACATCTTTAAATGAACACATTATAACAACTTACCTCGTTCACCAAAGAATTTATCATCAAGAAGTGGTATACATAATGTTATTGTCAATAAATTGAAGAAATTATAGTTTCCAGTTATAATGATGCACACTTGTAACAATAACTGAAAATAACAGAGAGAGATACTAAACAGTCTGGTATAATAATATAGAATTATCAATAAGGATAACATTTGTCAATTCATTTAAAGAAAGGATGCTAAGAGGAACAGGTTTTAACAGAACACAACATATTCACCATGGTAAAATATATAGACACATTATGCATTCAGAGATTATTTCAACAATGCAATAAATGCATTCAGACCTAGTATAGCGATAAAAAAAACCTTCTTAATTTGGCCACTGACATTTAACGGATATAACATTTTGGAAAAGAGATCTTTATTATGTTGTCATTGATATTTAATGGATAATATAACATTTTGGAAAGATATCTTTATTATGTTCAATGTTTTATTGTGTAATTTGGTTGATCTCTGTTGCATACTGTTTTTTTTCCAGTGTATGAAACAAACATTTTTTAATTGTAGAGGGCATGCATGTTACACAAATCACTGGTTTCACATAACCAAGAGCTTTAGTATCATTAATGTTGCACATGTTTATAGTGTACAATTTCCATAATAAATAAAGTAAAATACAATACAATGTGATATTGAAGTCAAAATAAAATTTTACCAGGAATCATTTTAAAATTCAGTAATATCAAAAGTACATGTGGTTTACATAAAATAACTGATACATGTACATTACCTAAGAAAGTGTGTTTTTATAAATACGGTCAATGACAAACAGGTTCTGATAGTTTAAAGTAATTTGTTCCAGAGTAACATGAAATATTACCAAATGAACATAAGTGTACAGAATGTACTACTAAGAAAACGGATATGTTGATTTCTTTTTCGGGGACATAAACTTGAAAGGTGAGAGAAATGGGGCCTAACATCCTCTCAATACAAACTAGGTCATTTCAGAACTAAGATAAGGTTTGATTTTATTTCAATAATTTGCTTGGGAGGAAACTGGAGGACCTGGAGAAAACCAATGAAGTTGGACAGGAGACCCAACTTCTTGTCACAAGCATGGGATTGAAATCATGCCACTTGACTCAATGACAGACCATATGATCTAAAGCACATATGTTTGACCACTCATCCACTCCCATATCGATAATTCTCTCAGTTTATATCTCAACTGTAAGTTTGTCTGATTTATTAATATTATTCTTCCCTACCTTTTATTTCTTGTTAATGATTGATTCTGCATCCTTTTTTCAAAAAGGGAAATAAATGTAATATTACATTTTTATTCAAATTAAATCAGCTGAATCTTATTAACCACCCCATCAAAATTGATTAACCATGTAATTAACCTTTGACTTGTCACTGACCATATCCTAACTCAATAACTCATCAGTAGTGTTAGGCAAAAGCAGCATTATGTTAATCCTAACTAACGTCTATTGTAAAAAGGATAATCCCTTTACACTATAGTGTAACAATAGTCCCTACTTAAATATCTGTAGTCATATACGCTTCAATGACTTGTTGTTAGGGGGCCCAAAACATTCATACAAGCATATTCTTATCTCGCAACAAGCTCATATAATTTATTTGAGAGGCTAAGATAGTCTTCACCTGTGATAAAAACATGTTTTATGTCTAAAATCTGTTACAATGGACTATAACAAATTTCTAGAGCAAAACTGAATTTTTAAAAGTGACAAAAGGTATGTAAATTGTAGGTATTTATAATTTATATCATACAGTGACACAATACAATGAACAGCTAAGAAATACGTAACTGTGTACAACTAGAGCTCACAAACATATTTAAACACTCTAATTTGAATAGTGTTTCAAGGCTATTGTTAATCGATATCAATTAAAACCAATGGAATTAGATCTGTTATTTGTTTCATGGTAATATTTACTAATATTAAAGCTACGTTCCCAGAAAAGTATTTATTGGGTAGTTATTTCCAATAAAAGTATAGCAATAGGTATATATGGAAAGTAGAAATATCCAATCTTACTAGAAAAATACTGGATTCCCTGAAAAACACTCATGGAGCGCATACAGGACAAAAATGTACGGGTTTCCCTAATCGACAGCCGGATAATTAGGAGTGTCTGCATGCATGACATTGAAGTTTGCACGCGGAGATTGAGCGCTTGATGTACATGCTGATAAAACTTTATGGAGAGTTAGGCGTACAACACTTTCTGAGATAAAAATCACGGAAAAAGACGCGGGCAGTGGATAATCCGAGAATTTAATTAGGCTTCGATATTTGTAATAAATAGTCAGCGATAAAGGCAACATCGTCTTTTGTATGCAACAAATTCTCCTCTGACTTCGCACCTGTTGTGTCACGTGACACAAACATGACCTCTTTTGATTTTTATAGCCGGGTATTCTCTGGCAATTGCAATGTTTTGAGAAGGATTTGAAGCAAAATTATGATAATTTAATTAGTTTGAATATGTTTTTAGTCCAAAAATATCATCAAATCACCCAGTTTGTACCCGGGAATGTATCTTTAATTAAAAATAATTGGTATTGTCTCCTATGGAATATTTACTAATCGACTAATGAGCAATATTCCAATTAAACAAACATATAAGGGAAAATATATTGATCAAAAAGATTTATAGTTTCTATTAATCTAAAAATTTATCATATCCATTAAATAGTCAAATATCATTTGAATAATGACTTGGAATATTTGAATAGAAAAATCTGCATTTGATGAGAGCTTTAACTCTTTTATTAATGAATAAAGTTACACAGCTAAAAGATTGTGTTAAAAATTTATTATTAAAAAAGTCATCGAAGTACAATGTATAAAATACTATACTATATCAGATGATATTACAGAAAGAGGAATCAACATTCTTCAATCTTTGTCTAGGATTTAAATTATTAGAAAAACAAAATTAGATTACTGAGTTTAAAACCTGAGTTTTTATATTTGTACATATACGGTAGGTCTAACAGTAGTATTGACATTATCTACGATACGTAGAGAGGTAAGTAAATATAAGTAATTGACAACTACTTGAAACCTAAAATACATATATGAAAGGTCAAATAATTTCCATACATCTATATAAACGAGATACACTTAAAATCTTAAAGCAGGTGAAGAAGATCAAACCATATCTTATCACAACCTATATCCACACAGTATTATATCTTATCACAAAGCTTTACTATCTTTTATATTTAAATAAAAAATACACAAATTGCATTTGTTGAAGTGACATTATAACTTTCAAGAATAAAACTGTTAATATAATTGAAAATAAATATTGTCCTACCTAATGCCAAGTATTTTGCATGAGAATCCATTAAATTCCGTGAAAAACACTTTAAGCCATAATAAATCTTAATATGTTTGTATCTCAACAATGCATTGACAGATCTGTCTTAAATTTATCATACAATTTAATTTGATATTAACTGTGCCATCCTAACAAACCAGCAAAAATCATCAAAATGCCAATACTTCTTAAATAAAAGCATCATCTTAAATAATTTTATATAATAAACACATTTGAAAAATTAATTCCTTGCTTGTGGCAGGAAATGCTTAGTCTTTTGTTTCCTATCAGTCTGCTTTTTTTGTTGCCAATACCTGTTTAATATATTTGCCTATTTCTATAGCTAAAATTTTCTTGTCCATGTGTATTCATTATAAGAAAAGTTTTAGTCTTTTGTTTCCTATCAGTCTGCTTTTTTGTTGACCAATACTGTGATTCGTGTTGATTATGAAATATTGGTTTTCATTTATTAAAGATTTCTGACACATTGATAAAGACATTAATTATGCTATTATTCCATTATCACTGTGCATTAGAAAGAAAAATCAATTTATTGTAGTGTTACAACTGTAGGTGCCAGGTAGAATATTGACTACATTCAGTACTTCATAATCTGATATAGATTTACAGTAATCAATGTAATAACAAGCCATGCATTAAAAATCATCTCTGTGTTATTTATACTGAGAGCTTATTGTGTTTGTAACAGAACATTGAGAGCTTACTGAGACAGATTCTAACCCTTATGGTGATTGCAACAGATTCTAACCATACTGGTAATGAAGACACAGTTCATGCGTATAAATCTCAAATGACACTTTTAAATTTTTTGAAGTGTACAAGTAGCACAATATATTATTTAACAACTAAAAATTATCACCACTCAATATTTTTACAACAGATCGAAAATACTATATAGGCTTAATCACAGACAAAACCAATTGGGGCACTTTATTATAAATCCAGGAAATGCAAATAGATTGGCGGGAAGCTGGAATTCAAATATGGGTTGTGCCGTTTGACTGTTTTCGCATATTTGACAACCCCAGATTTTTCCGTCACACGGAATTCCCTTTGGCTCCATATCGATTCTATGTCACAGGTTTCAATTCCAGCCAGAGTTGCTTATAAGAGATGCCTTTGGAATGCTTTTGTTAGAATCTGAAATACTGGTAATAAGCTTTTCCTATTGGACATTCTATAAAGCCAACTGGACTGTTATTACAGTATATATGGTAAATCTATAGTTGATATTATTTTGATATCTTCTTAGTGAAAAATGTACTTGTTATAACATGTTTTATATACTTATCATTAATATACTCTTGAAGACTGTAAACACACGCTTTAACAAGTCAATCTCATATACCTGTATTTATAGAAGGATACTGGGGGATTTTTTTAAGAGATTCGTTATTAAAAGTAACTTAGTATTTTAATACATGGTTTAAGGTTGGTTCTTAAAAATAACTTAGATTAGAGTTATTTTGTATTTTTAAAAGTCAGATTTGAAAAACATTTTATATACATGTGCTTAGTTTCAAAATATCTTAATATGCCTAAATCTCTCTGATTTGGTTTAAAAAGTTTTATTACTCTAATTTGTAGTTCGTGTCTGTCTATATTTAAAATTATAAGGGACAATGTCGATATAGAACTGATTTTGTGTTCAACTGTCAACAGATTAATCTAAAATCGAAACTAAGATCAGTATGAAAATTCTCTTGTGAAGCTATTAGTTTCATCAGGCTTAAGTGTGATTGTGCGGCTTTTCCCTTTATATAGTGGTCGGAAGCAGCGATTGCTCCGGTCCACCAGCGACTTCTACTGTGCTCAGGCCTCTGACGACTATACAAAGGGAACAGCCGCATAAGTTAAAGACAAAGGCTTTCCCTTAAAATTGCTGGAAGGTGAACACTTTTAACAAAATAAATTATTTAATAGAAATTGCTTTTTGTTTTTCAGATCTGAATAAGCAAAAACAGAATGTCTTCCCAACCTCCAAGATCAAAAGGGTCCCCGTTACCAGCACCAAATCGCAGAGGATCACAGGCCAGTTCATTCAGTAAAAGTCCACCTCGAAGAAGTAGTAAAACCCCTTCACCAACAAGGAATCATAACCAATCTCCCATAAGAGTTGCATCTGCAAAGAGCAGAGATGAATCAGCCAAAAGCAGAAATGGTTCTTCCAAGTCCCGATCCGGCTCAGCAGGGAAGAGAATTGAATCTGGAAAACTTCAGTCAATCAAAAGGACTGGATCAGCCTCTCCCCTACCACCAATATTAGACAGAAAGCAACAGAAACCTATAGGAAAGAGTCAAGGGGAATTAACTAAGAAAGGAATGAAAATTGTTGATATGTCTGGACAAGGAATGACGTCTATACCTGTTACTGTAACAGCAAGTAAGTAAAATTAAAGCAAGCAAGCTCAAATTAAATTTTATGTCAAATTTAGAATTTATGAGTTTGAAATGAAATGGGATTTAACTTTATACTTTTCTGCACCAATCAGACTAATGAAAACAGGCATCCATGACCCTGACAGCACCACTACTGCCTATTAATATTCTGATTCCCAACTGTCAGAGGATGTTTAATCACTTATTTCTTCCTACACTGTAAGACCCTCCACACAGAACTATTGACAAGGGGAAACCAACCCTGAATATCCCGAGGAACTTTCTCAGCCATCCCCGGGATCGAATCTGGGACCCCTAGTTAGTGAGCCAGTATCATTCTTGATGAGCAAAGTACATAACTCAACTATGTTTCCTTTGGATAATATAGATAACCTAAGGGTATCCTCAAAATGATCAGATATGTCAAAGATATCTTGCTCCTTTAGAGATGAACATGAAATAAACAGAAATAATTAGTAACAATAACTAATTAACCTTTCACCAGACAACAACCTTTACCGTTTAATCAATAATCATCATCTTAACACTATACATCTTTTATTTCAGCTAGAGATATTGGAGAATTATGTCTGGCATCCAATAATTTGAGGATTCTTCCAGCAGATATACAGAAGTTAGTCAACTTGGAGAAACTGGATATTAGTAAAAATGGTTTACGCTGTGTCAATCCTGAAGATTTCTCTGGGATACCGAAAGAATTCACTAAACTTACGCAATTACAGGAACTGAAAATCAGTGAATGTAATCTCCCCTTTATTCCACCAGCCATCTGGACTTTGTGCAACCTCAAGGTTCTGGATGTCAGCCGGAACAAAATCAACATGCTCTTACCAGAAGTAGGAAATCTTGTGGCTCTCCAAAAAATCAACCTGCAGCAGACAAATTTAACATCGCTACCTCAAGAAATCGCATACTGTCAGGATCTTGAAGAAATTCTACTGTGGGGTAATTCAATAGAGAGTTTACCAGAAACGCTACCTGAAATGCCTAAACTACGCAAACTCGCCATTAACTATCGAAGCTTCTGTTCCGTTGTTGATTCGTACATGGAAAATCTTTTACGCAAAGGTCAAATTAGATCTGAACACATACCAAATGTAGTATTTGAATTGCCTGCATTAGAATGTCTGGATTTAGAAAGCACAAAAATAAACTTTCTTCCGGACATTTACAACATAAATCTTCGAGAATTTTATGCAAGTAAAAATTTTCTTCAAAATGTTCCAGACACCATCTATAACCTAAAGCATCTCCGAATGGTTGATATGTCACACAACCTAATAATGAACATACCAGAGGATTTAGGACAACTACGAAGCCTGACATCTCTTAAACTAAATAACAATTTATTCGAAAAGGTACCAGTTACAATAGGCAAGCTGTCAAATCTGGAAACACTTGATATGTCCAATAACAGAATCCGACATCTTCCCCCAGAAATCAGATCCTTGTGTCATCTGCACACCCTTCTATTAGAAAATAACAACCTTCAAGCCTTGCCTGATACAATCTGTGAGCTCACAAGCCTAGAAACTCTTGATGTCACCAAAAACTCACTGAAACACCTTCCCATGAAACTTTATATGCTGTCCAACCTGACAGTCGCTCATAGCTATCGTAAACTGCACAAACACGGACTTTGGCTTTATCAAAATCCATTAGAAACTCCCCCACCAGAAATATGGAAAACGGACAAACCAGATCAAATATATGATTTTTTAAAGAAACAACATATTATTAAGATTGATAATCTCCAGAGACAAAAAATTTTGATGTTTGGTGAATCACAATGTGGAAAGACGAGCCTTGCTTATACGCTGGTCCAGAATAAATCCTTTTTAACACGAGAAAATGTTGATAAAACTCGAGTTCTGAAACAACTTTTATGGAGGACAGATAACAAGGTTAAGTTTCTAATCAATGATTTCGGTGGAGATAAAGTGTACAAGATAACTTATCCACTTTTCACAGACTCGAAATCTCTGGTATTCGTTGTTTACAACAGTTCAACATTTCATGAGAAGAATTACCAGGTAATGATTGGTAAATGGATTGACATGTTAGTCTGCAATGCACCTGGTACAGTTGTGAAAATAATCGGTACAAAGAGTGACCTTGATCCCTACACGATTAACTATGAACCTCAAAAGGAAACAATCATATCTCTTGTGCAGAAACAATTGTCAGTCTATTATAAAAACTTGACTGATGAACTAAATGCCGTGGAACGAGATGTGGAACTTATCCAAGCTGCTCAATCTTCTGTTGACAATTTGAGGACAGAAGCGGAGGATGCCATTCTGAAACTACTGCAAGTCAGACAGCGTAAATTAATAGAACTCAAATCTTGCCAGCTTCGTATCAATCCCAAAATAAGCATCGTTAGTTCTAGTGAGGGTATCAGTGGCATACCAGAACTTATCAGTGATGTTGAATTCTTGGTTATTGATAAAACACTGTTTCCACATGCACAATGCAAGATACCCGAAAAGTGGGAAAAATTCAAAGCTCAATTGAAACGACATAAATCAACTTATTTATTATGGGATACGGTTGAAGAAATCGCTGAAAAGTCTAAAATAAGCTCAGAAGAAATGGAGTCCTGCATCCAACACTTCCACGATATAGGGGACATAATTTGGTTTTCAGATGTCCCTGGTTTGTCAGAAATACTTTTCCAAAGACCGAGAGAACTTTTTGATTTGTTAGGAACCTTATTTAGACATGACATGGATGACTTCCTGCATTTTGAAACTTGTAAATTATTCAGAAGTCGAGGAAACTTTACTGCTGAAGAATTTGAAGAAGTTCGAGAACGCTTTTTGTTGTGTGGACAGGTATCTAGACCGCTTTTAAACTGTTTTTTATTTTATCAAAATGTTGATCAGCATCTTATGTCTGATTTATTAGAGTTATTGCCCTTGTTAGATCTATGTTATACCATACCCGAACCAGAATCACCGTCCGGTCATTTGTTCAGCTTGCCGTTAATGGTATTACCCTGGTACAATACAGATACCCAACTCGATGAAATAGCAGACGTGTGGCCAGAAAAACCACCAAACAATGAAAAAGAAGCATCAGTGATTTATTCCTTTCCATTTCATGGTACAGACACCATATTTGAAAAATGTGTAGCAACCATTCAAGATCTGGTTCTGACTAGAATGGATTGGAAATGTGCTGTGTATGCAACGACTGAGGATGAATCTGTGCTGCTTCGAGAAGGTGTTGACATTCAGTCTTGTCCAATCATAAAATTAACTGTACGAGGAATAGACTTTTCATCAATACTTGAACTTCTGACTGACTTGGTTCAAGTGATAAATACTTTATTAATTCGTCATCCAGGAATTTACTGGAAAATAGACTTTCCCATGAAAAATATAGATTTCTTGTCAAAAGTAACATCAATGCCGGATGTGAAGTTTGAAAATACTGATCATATGCTGCCAGCTGTATCCAGCTAATAGACCATAGACCATACAGACTAACAGCTAAAATCAAACATTAGTACATGTTATAGCACAGGGTGAATTAATCAAGCTATCAGCAATGTGAACCCATACTCATAATGTGTTTATGACTGTGTCTAGCTAAAATGTGAAAAATCTGGTAATGTGTTGATGACAGCATTTAGCTAAGATGTGAAAATATTGATAATGTATTGATGACTATATGTAGCTAAGATGTGAAAATATTGATAAACGATTAAATAGCCAAGATGTGAAATTAGCTGATAATGTGCTGATGACTGTATCTAGCTATAATGTGAAAAAACTTGTAATGTGTCAATGACTGTATCTAGCTATAATGTGAAAAATCTCATGTGGCAATGACTGTGTCTAGCTAAGATGTGAAAATATTGATAATGTGTTGATGACTATCTAGATAAGATGTGAAAATACTGATAATATGTTAGTATCTAGCTAAAATGTTAAAATGATGATAATGTGTTCATGACCTTATCTAGCTAATATGTGCAAAAACTTATAATGTGTTGATGATGTTGCAAGGCATAAACACGAGATATCCTGAACTGTTTTCTGTGATATTAACTAAAGATATTCTATATGTATTTCAGTTAGAGAGTTTAGATGAGTTAAAATAACTGATAATGTGTTGATGTTATCTAGCTAAGGTGTGGAATATACTAAAGATATTCTATATGTATTTCAGTTAGAGAGTTTAGATAAGTTAAAATAACTGATAATGTGTTGATGTTATCTAGCTAAGGTGTGAAATATACTAAAGATATTCTGTATGTATTTTAATTAGAGAGTTATTTACTGTCTGTGCTAATAGAACAACATACTTAAATTTAATTGTTGTTATTTACATGTACTTCAACTGTCCACCTAAATACCAATAGGACATACTAAATGCTCTCTTCAGGACTATGGTTTACATTTATAGACCTCTTCCAAAGTTTTTACTTCCAAACCTAGTGGGAGTTTTGGTGGCCGACTGGTTAACATGTGCACATTGGATCATAAGGTTTGTCATTGTACGTGACAGGGAGTAGGATTGCCTATCCAACGTGTGTTTTCTACCCGGCACTAGCAAATTATTAAAATATTCAACCATGCGTTAGTCCCGAAATGACCTAGCTTGTGTGCTGTGAACATTAAACTCTCTCTCTCTCCCTCCAACCAAACCGAGTGCAGGCAGTTATTTGTCATAGTTGTGCCAACCATAATGCAACAAATAAACGAAGCGTGTCAATTTAAGTGTAGACAAGACAGCTTTAAAATAAATTTTTAGGCTTAATAATCGAATCGTAAATTCTTACTGAATATCCAGAAAAAAATTTACCTAATACTTTTGAGGGTGTGAAAGCTAATAACCCCAGTGCAGGTTCTCTTCCAGATATAAATTTCTTAGAAATGAAAATAGTGAACATACCTGTGCGAAAAATGCAAATATTCTCAAAGATCTGACAGGTGCAAAAAATAGAAATGGGATTGGTATCTCAATAACATAGGTGAGGGCACAGCTTAGTTTCAGAAACCATGTTGGGAATTGATGCCAAAACCATGCGAATGTTGTAGGAATACACTGAAATAAAAAATCAATCAAATTATTATTAAAGATGTAATCCTTTAAGGGGAGGGGCTTGGGTAGCCTAATAGTTTAACGTGTCCACTTTAGTTCATAAGGTATGTCATTGAGTTAAACAGCATGGTTTTGAATCCCAGCTTGTATGTGACAAGGAGTAGGGTCGTCTGTCCAACCTCATGGGTCTTCTCTGCTGCTATAAAGACTCCGAGGCAAAAGCGAACTATTGAACTAAAATTGAACCACATTAGTCCCAAAATATCTAATAAATGTACCAAGTAGTCACATCAAGCAGACAAAATGAAATGTTAAAATCCTACTGCTCTGCTCCAATTGGATTAATTAAGATGGGCATACGTCAGTGTGCTATGAGGGAGATTTTGCCCGGACAGTGTTGCTATGGCTTACTCTTATATTGAATTCCAACTGCCAAGGGGATCTTTTACGTGCAGGCCAATGTGTACACAAGACTTCATTTTTTTTGTCCCCTCCGAACAACTAGACAGCTGTCCTTGGCAGGCCCCTCCGTCCTGAACCACTGTCATGGGGAAACCAAGCCGGAAAATCCTCTTGAACTTTCTTAGCCAATACCGGGATCGAACCTGCGACCTCCAGACTAGCGAGCCGTCTTACTCACTTAGCCACCATGGCTCCCTCAAGCAGGCGATAAGCTTGACCTGATAAAATTTAACTGTACCTGTGTTTCAAAGTGATGGGTTAGAGCTGTTAGACCCCACCATGTTGGACATTTACTATTCAACTTGACAACACCAGATGCAAACATCAGCCGAAACAACAACCACTTGACTAACCACATGGTTATCTTATCATGACGATGAGATGGAGCAAATTTCAACTTGGGGATCTGTATCTTAAATGGTGCGATAAGAATAGTGAGGAAACCAGCCTCCAGCAAAAGAATATCCCTGAAAAATATAAATATGCATAATCATATTCATTAGAGTTTGAATTTAATAAGCAGAAATTTTGAATTTGAATATTCCTTATTTATACATTGTAATTTGTAAATGAAATGGGTTTAAAAATATTGTGTTTTCCGCACCAACTGGGAAAATGGTGTGGTGGCTCAGTAGGTAGGACGTTGGCTGGCAAACCTAGCGGTTCTGTGTTCATTCCCAGTGTTGGCCAAGAAAGTTCATCTGGATTTTCTGGGGGGGGGGGGGGGGTCCATCTTGTCAGTGATGCAGGAAGGAATGCATGACAGGGGACAATGTATAGTTGTTAAGATGGTATAAAAAACTGAGAGAGAGAGAGAGAAATAGGTTTAATGCCTACTCAACAAAAACTAGGTCATTTCGGGACTAACATATGGTTTAATTTTATTTCAATAATTTGCTTGCGCGTAGTGGGAGGAAACCGGAGGACCCGGAGAAAACCCACGAGGTTGGATGTAAAAGAATCTTTGACAGTTGGAATTCAAAATAAGAGTAGGCTGTAGCTTTGCTGCCTGAGCCAAATTTCCCTCATAGCACACTGCATGGTGTATGACCGTCTTCGTTTGCTCAGCTGGTGCAGGAAAGTAGGATGCTAAACCCCATTCCATTTCATTTATTTTCATAATAGTTAAATCTAAGTCTTCACCAATTGGGCAAATGAAGATGGGCATGCTCCATGCATGTAGTGTACAATCATGAGAAAACGCTCTCACAGCGGCCCTACGACCTACTCCTAATTCGATTTCCAATCGTTTGGTTTAAGTGCTGTCAAAGATTTATGGAAACTCAGATTTTTATGTTTTTTCATAGCCAGAACCTCCGTCCGGACGAAAACAGGGATAGGTGATCGCGAAGAGTTCTATCTGCCAAGACCAGGATCGAGAGAGAAAAATGTGGGTTTAACGTCTACTTGACATTAACTCGACTAACATGGTTTGATTTTTTTACTTCAGTAATTCCCTTGCACATAGGGGTCTTTAGCAGTGGGAGGAAACCTGAAGACCTGGAGAAAACCCACGAGGTTGAACAGGCGACCCTACACTTTGTCACATACTACCGAGGAATTGAAATCAAGCCATGTGACACAATTACAGAGCTCATGATCTAAAGCTGAGCCACCAAACCAGGATCTTACCTGGGACCGTTCGGTTAGTGTGTCTGAGACAGCAAGATGCTCACTAAGCCACAGAGGCTCATATTGTTAATCAGTTTGGTCAAGAGCTGACATACAAACCAACCCAAAGAACAACATATAGTCCTTCGGATAGGAAAAGATCCTGTGTACACATTGACGTGCACGTAAAAGACCCTTTGACATTATTCAAAATAAGAGTAGACTGTAGCTCAGCTGCCTTGTACAAATTTCCCCAATAGTACATTTTATGTCGTATGCCAATCTTCATTAGTTCAGACGGTGTAGAAAAATTGGAAGTTTAACCCCATTTCATTTTATTTTATTAATAATTAAATCTATGTCTCATAATTTGCTGATTAGAATCCGAAAAAAAATAGCCTTCTCAGCAAAATTTTTTCTCAGTTCTCTGAGTAGTGAGTACTCACTATAAATAATATAATATAAATAATAATCTATTTATTAACAATAGACCTATATAACTATTTCTTTATTGTTATACTTACCATTGAAACCACATGAAAGTCTGTCCAACCTAAAGTAGAGGATAGAAAAATCAATATTAACATATGGTAGAGTGCACTCCACATTTCATCGCATATCAATTTCCATATGGTTGTTTGGTATACTAACAACCTTATTGATTCCACATAAAAACAAATTAAACTAATTGAATCTGATAAAACAGATAGCAGAAAAGCACATTATGGCAGGCAATCTGTAATCTATTTCTTGTGTCAATCATTACCAAAGGGAAATAACCCAAATAAAAACCATTAACCATAACCAATCATCATACTGGGGGTTACAGGAAGCTTTTTCTTGAAAACTTAATGAGCGAGATAATCTGACATTTACCAATGAATTTCATGAAAATTAAATCTTTTTCTAAATTTAGCACATCTCTATGAATTTATTCAAGGACACACTGTTGTGACCGATATAATATTGAATGCATAGAAACTTGGGAGTACAGTGAAGCTAGCTTTATTAATAGATCAAGCTCAGTACATCGAAATTCAATTATGGCATTTAATGTAAAATCATTGTGGTGTGTACAAACGACAAATTACCTAATTAAAAAGATTTGTAATAACATTGTTAAAGGGAAATGTAATTCTCTGGATCCCAATTTTTACATTAATATCAATGTTTAGTAAATTCAAATGGATAGAACTGGATGTATCTTTTTGATCTTTTTCTATAATATCTAAAGTTGTGGGGTTCTTTTTTTTAATTTTTTTTTACTTTATTTAATAACTAATAAAGTGATGTTTTTATTTACTCTACATGTATATTTTAAAATCATAATTTGTCTGTTAATATTATAAATTTTAGTAAATTAGGTTAGGAATTATCCTATTTGACCTTCAGTTTTTTGAATAAGCTTTTAAAAAATTGTCTATATGATCAAGGACTATAACTCTGATAACAATTAATACTCTGTGTAATTTTTTTAAAGTCAATCATGTTATAATCCATGTGACACAATTTAAGCTAGAGTAAGTGCAGAGTACAAGATGTATCCGGATAATATCGCTCAAATTTACCTGGTACATGGAAAGATACAGCATCCATAATAAAGTAAATGATACAACATCTCGTCCGCCTCGGCATACCATACAGAAGAATGATATGAGAATTCCTCCAAGACACAAGAGATCCATGCCCGTTTGTACATCTAAACCAAGTTTAGGTGTCAATTTCAATAATGTTGGTTGTCCATCTAAGAGTTCTTGCCAAGAATTGGCCTCTACAAAAGAATAAATTAATCACATACAATTATAAAAATTTCCTATTCAAACAATATATGCAAAAATACATGTTAGAAACACAAAAACACAACTGTTATAGATTTCCATTTTGAATAATTTGGATGACTTGTGTAGATGTCAAATTTTATTGGGGCATTCTTTTATTGTCTCTTGTTAATGGTCAAGGGTACTTGCATGTCTGGAAATTATGTAACTTAATTTATGAGACTAAAAATGAACAATGACTGTAAGTAAGTCACCGTAATTTAGTTTACAGCACCAATCACTACAGGAGCCATGTGTAATTGGTTACCAGTATAAAAGTTTGATAATAAAAGTGAACTGACCTGTATTGAGAGCCAGTTTGGCAGGTAATACACCATTATCTCCATATAAACCTGTTTAAAAATGAAAGTAACATTATATCAATTGGAGCGTAACATACTGAATAATTTCATAAAATATCTCCTAAAAAAAATAATTTATAATTAAACTTTGGTACATACAGACATTTGGGATAGTCAGGTTTACATATTGTAGGCATTGAAACGCTTTGTTCCAGTAATTGTTTAGTTTGATGGAGATACATAACAAGATGTGGTAGAATTAAGCCTAGAGGCACATATTAGGATACCAGAAAAAAACATGTAACCGATCTGGTTACATTAATATTGGATTATCATATAGAAGGAATTTATAACCACAGACAAAGATTGGGGATCATAAATATTCAGAACCATCAGTATCAGTAATAAGACTTTCATCATTTTAGATACATGTATGGTAACAGTCAATTCTCTGTGACTATGATCTCATTGATCTGATTATTTTACTGATGGTAGGAATGCAGTCATGTTTTTGTGAACCTTAATTGAACGTTTTCAAGGCTTTTTGTGCATTATCATACAAATTCTTGTATCTATTTCTGAGATATTGGTATGTACATGTAGCTTAATTCACCAAAACTCTGGGCTTTGGCATATTGATTAGTAATTATATAGGCCTATATGCATGCATATCAATCAATAATTGGATGGTTCTGTATTTGCAACTCAGCCAACTGATACTATTATTGGCATCTTCGCAGTTCAAATTTCTTTACACTCACACTAGAAGCAGAAAAAATACAAATGAAATGTGCGCCCTAGTTTATGTAAAATGCAACGCATGCTATTTAGCGTGTTTATAATTACCTGGTATTTGCACATACAAAGACGCAAATGCAAATAAGTAAACTACAGACATGCACCACAGAAAAACATCACGTGTCTTTTTCATCTCAGGCATGGTCAATCCTTTGTTGTGATTAGTATTCTAACAGTAATTATTGCAACTCAACCGGTACGGCTTCACACCAAACAACGTTAGTTAGTCGGTACCCGGAAGTAAGTCCGCGAATACAATAGTTCATCAGACAGACTGTCTGCAATCAAAAAGCCAGTTGATATCAAGTCATACTATGAATGAGCTGTATCGAAATATAATTTTATTTTAATTTTCATTTGATTTGTAGTATGATTTGTTTTTATTCTATGAAATACAATTCGCGCACTAATACACGCTTAATAAATGTAGGTCAAAGGGATTGTAAACTGGCTGATGATTGGTTTATATATTTTCATTGATGGAATATTGCCCACTTTTCAACCAATCACTGGTGATATACTATCAAGATTAAAAAATGGCGCCCGCCAGTTTATAAATATTTGTTGATGGTTGTGGAACTTGGCGGACTTCGCTCAGTTATCCCTTTTTTGGTTACTTTTTCTTTGACCTTGTTGTAAATTCAGTTGTAGGTTTTAATCAGGATAGTGAAAACCATAAAAATGACCGTGTAAGTATGGGAGCAGATGAGCCAAGAGTGGGAAAAAGCAGTTGCAACTTTGTGATACCCGCGGTACTGAGTCACTGACACTACTTTTGTTGACGTTTTGTACTGTCAATGCCACTGACACTCACAGTCTGACAGGTGTAAAATCACACTCACAGTCTGACAGGTGTAAAATCTTGACTACCCAAGAAGTGGGATTGGGATTGCCTAGTGGTCTAGAGTGTTGCATAAGGCTTAAAGCTCTAGATGGCTGGTCACCTGGCTTGCAGTTGTGGTTTCAATCTGTGATGTAACTGAGGGTATGTGGTTTGGAGATAAGCCTTAAGAGATGCCTTCCTGGGACTCTGGTTACCTCCCTGGGACTCTGATTACCTCCCTGGGACTCTGATTACCTCCCAGTACTCCCACAGGGAAAACACATCTGGCGCTCTAAGATAATAAAAGTAATATCATAAGACAACTTTTCTGTGATATCACCCTTGGTGGAAGTGGAAGTTTTCTACATACAACAACAGTGAACTGTGAATAGTGTGAACATAGGTCTCATTACACTCGCCCTGTATGTTCAGGAACTGTCCTATTGAATCCTTGTTCAAAAAGAATCGGCCCCCAGTCAATTTTTCTGCTAAACGATCGTGTGTCAGTCTCTGTGAATGCCTGAACATTGTAAAGGCAAAGGAACATTTTAGTGAGAAAATAAGACCTTGCTTATCTCGTTAGAGTCAGTATGTGCAACACAACATGCTGTTATAAATAAGTCCCCTTCTGCTAAACGGCTTGGCAGAATCCATTCAAATCTAAATATAGGGTAACACACAAATTTATGTAACTCGGCCATATAAGACGAAACAAAATTTCTGAAAGACATTGCATAATAATGAAATAAAAACACACTCCTTACTTTTCATTTTAGTGGAAATGGCCATAATGAACTGGAAGATCGATTTGCACATCTCTTGCAACCGATCCGAGACTTGGCTAAATCTTGGGATGTTGATATTGCCAGCTATCTTACAGATTACTTGGAAGAGGTAAAACAAAGCACAATATTAAAATAAATTGAGACACAATATTTTTAAAAATTTCATTAGGACAGTGGAAGAAAAACCAGAATGTCTTTGGTTTAAATTCTGACTTGCTCTGAAAAGAACGTTACTGTACTTTGCATGAAAAATGCAAAGAGCCAAAGTCCTCTGTACAAAATTTGTAGCTCAGTTAGAAAATTTAGTTAGAGGTGACCATATCAAATATACATTGACATTTTATATGATTACTATTGATTAGTCTCAATTTCAAGATTATCAACATATGAATTATGATGTTATATATATCCATTCTTTTCTCATTAAGCTGTACACGATTAAAAAGTTGTGACTTTTATTTTTACCCACCATGAGGACAGTCTCTATCCACAAACAAAAGTGACACATTTTTGGAATGTATCTACATGGATCTTTATGTATTTATCCTCCAACAAGGATGATGCTTTATTAGAAAGTATTTATCCGCTTACAAGGATGTGACTTTATTAGAATGTATCAATCCACAAACAAGGATGTGACTTTATTGGAATGTATCAATCCACAAACAAGGATGGGACTTTATTGGAATGTATTTGTCCACAAACAAGGATGGGACTTTATTGGAATGTATTTGTCCACAAACAAGGATGAGACTTTGTTAGAATGTATATATACGCTTATAAGGATGGGACTTAATTGGAATGTATTTGTAAGGATGAGACTTTGTTGGAATGTATTTATCCACAACCAAGTCTTTTATTGGAGTGAGGATGAGACTTTATTGGAATAATAAGAATAATAGCTTTATTCGTACTTAAGTGTAAACATTCAAAATAAAAATGACATGATATTTACAATACTTAGGATCTTGTATTGAGTCTTTAAATAACATTAAGTCTCTTATTTTGTCAGCTACAAATACATTATTTACACTATTACGTTCAGTGTCACATTTATTAATCATATTTAGTATATTTACATTCATGTCGCTAATATATTTTCACAAATAACAACGACACATCATTGAAATGTGCCTTTTCATAAAAAAAAAAAATGAGGCATGCATGGAATTTGAAATGTATCTATCCATGATTGAAATGTATCTATCCATAAACAATGATGATACATGATGAAAATGTGCCTATCCATGAACAAAGATGAGAAATTATTGGAATTTGCCTATCCATAAACAATGGTGATGCATAATTGAAATGTGCCTATCCATAAACAAAGATAATGCATTTTTGGAATGTATTGATTGAGAATTATTAGACTGTAAGATTACCTACATGTATTATTTATCTTTAGTTTAAAGTGTAAGTTTTTAGCTTTCTATATTTCAAATATGGTGTTTATTATTATGTTTGATTTTGTAGTTGGAACGAGTTACCATTACTTTTGATGAGGGGAAAACCACCATGAATTTTGCAGAAGCAGCTTTATTAATTCAAGGATCAGCTTGTGTTTATAGTAAAAAGGTAAGATATGTATAAACACAAGCAAGTGAAATTAAGTATCTATTATTTCTTAGGGAGAGGGGGTTTACATAGGCTAAGCCTGTTCCCCAATCCCATTCAGACAACCTGAATAAAAATATTGTTTAAAAAAAAAAATCAAAAAAAATCAATTATTTCTCAAAATTTGTAAACACCTGTGTTTGTAAATAAAGATGTGACAAGGAGTAGGGTCGCCTGTCCAACCTCGTGGGTTTTCTCCGGGTCCTCTGGTTTCCTCCCACTGCTAAAGACCCCTACGCGCAAGCAAATGATTGAAATAAAATTGAACCATGTGTTAGTCCTGAAATGACCTAGTTTGTGTCGAGTGGACGTTAAACCTCATTTCTCTCTCTCTTGTAAATAGAGCATGTTAATGCTGTATTCCAGTGTGGCTTGGTGAGTAATGTACTGGTTCACTTACCAAGAGATCCTGGGGTTGATCCCAAGCTTGGCTAAGAAAAATTCCTTGGAATGTTCCAGTCTGGTTTCCCCTTTATCTGTTGTACAGGCTTCAACAGGAAATTTGTTTAGTCAATCATGTCTACAGATTAATGATCACCCAACAGTTGAAAAATAAGAGTATGATGTAGGTCTGCAAAAACCAAGCATTATTTTCTTCATAGCACAGAACATAACATATAACTGTTTTAGAAACATGGTTTAGAAACATAATATGTTAAACTACCATTTCCTCTTTAAATGTAAGTTTAAGAGCCAGAGAATAACCATGTAGTTTTCTTGTTAAACATAGTATAGTATGTAATCTTTTTTCTTCAGGTTGAAAATTTATACAGTTTAGTTTTCCAAGTTATGGATGTTATTTCAAATAAGAAGTAAGTTTGTTACTGTTAGTGTGTGCATGTAATCCTATTCACACATTGTTTAAGTTAGTACCGTAAAAAAAATTCTGTGGACTTGCTGAAGCTCTCTTTTATCAGTTTTAAATTTAATGTCCTAATGTTCTGCTCCGACTGGGCTAATGAAGACAAGCTTATGCCATACAGGGACATTTTGCCTGGACAGTGGTACTAAGCCCTACTCCTACTGCCAAGGGATCTTTTATGTGCACACTAATGTGTACACAGGACCTCGTTTTTTTGTCCCATCCAATTGACTATACATTGTCCCTTGCCAGGCCCTCTATCCTGTGCCACTGACAAGGGGGAACAATGACAGAAAATCCTGATAAACTTTCTCGGCCAACGTAGGGATCAAACACAGGACCTCCAGGTTAGCATGCCAACGTCGTACTGACTGACTGAGCCTCCCTTAGTAGAGTAGTAAATTTTAAAACTTATATAAAAAGAAATGAACAAGGAAAGCCTTGTGAACTCCACACATAAACATGTGGCACCTGTAATCTTTCTCTGATTGCAGTGTCAGATTTAGATAAAGAGTTGCTCTAGACTATTCCACTTATGAAGCCCCTCCCAATCTCCGACCTTCCTGACTAGATAAGGATGAAAGTGTGTTTTAAACACAATTGAGCAAAGGCATACAATGCAAGAAAGGCATACAACAGTGTCAAAATCATTTTACACCTTGGTCGAAGGCCCCCTAGATTTTGAGGCCCTAGGCTTCAGCCTGCCAAGTCTATAGCCCTATAGGTAAATCTGGCACTGCCCGTCTGTTGCATGAGACATGTAACCGACTTGATTCATATTTTAGACTTTAGATGTCAGAAGTTGATTTACAAAAATTGATTTTATCCCAATCAACGTTTTTATACGCCCACATAGAATTTCAGCAATTTCTGTTTATTATTTCTAGAGTTATGGCTCTTGTTTCACTTTGTTTAACCTTGTGAACGCTCTAACCCCAAAAGTTATCATCCTATCTTTCTGAAATTTATATGCATTATTTAAATTAGTGAAACGAAGAAACCTATTTTATTTCAATAATTTCCGTTTATTACTTTTAGAGTTATGGCCCTTGTTGCACTTTGTTTAACCTTGTGAACGCTCTAACCCCAAAAATTATCATCCTATCTTTCTGAAATTTATATGCAGTATTTAAATTAGTTAAACGAAGAAGCCTATTGAATTTCAGCAATTTCTGTGTATTACATCTAGATTTATGGCCCTTGTTTCACTTTATTGAACCTTGTGAACGCTCTAACACCAAAAGTAATCATCCGATCTTTCTGAAATTTATATGCATTATTTAAATAATTGAAAAGGAGAAGCTTATTGAATTTCAGCAATTTCTGTTTATTATGTCTAGAGTTATGGCCCTTGTTTCACTTTATTGAACTTTATGAATGCTCTAACATCAAAAGTTATCTGCCGATCTGTATGAAATTTACATGCGTCATTTAAATTAGTAAAGAGAAGAATCCTATTAAATTTCAGCAATTTCCGTTTATTACTTCTAGAGTTAATGCCCTTGTTTAACTTTGTTCAACCTTGTTAATGCTCAATTGATGAAAGTTATCATCCGAAATGTATGAAATTTATATGCATCATTTAAATTTGTGAAACGAAAAAGCCTGTCAAATTTCAACAATTTCTGTAGATTACTTCCAGAGTTGAGACCCTTGTTTCAATTTGTAGAACCTTGTGAAAATTCAAACGGGAAAATTAAAATCTGATCTATTTGGAACTGTCTTGTAAAGGCCCCCAATTACCTACAAAGGAATAAATATGCGACAACCCTTGTCGACCGCGCAGACGATTTAGCCACTGTGGGCGTATGTTTTGTTGCCTGGAAACCTATCTTTATGTTAATTTGTTTTCCAAATTTGTTGTGTTTTTTTTTTTAAATTCTTTCTTTGATGCATGTATGTTTTCCTATTTGATAGAAACAAGCAGAAGAATTCAGCATCTGGTAATAATGATAATGATGGTGGTGATGATGATGATGAAGATGAAGAGGTTGGTCTTCAAGATTTTCTGAATATGATAAGAACATTTTACATTTGATTTGCATTTTGTTTCAGATTGCACATATAACTATGGAAACAGCGAGTCGAATGACCTTGTGGTTTGACTTGTATGCTTTAAATCTTAAAGTCTATCAATGGGTCATGTGTTGTGGTTACAATCCCATGCTTGTACATGACAAGGATGGTTGCATGTCCAACCTCATGGGTTTAAAGCCTAGCTTATGTCGCCCTACGACGCGATAAAACTGACAGAGACTCGAAATCGGCGACTGGTTTACGATCATGTGGAACTGATCAGTCGTGACTATGAGGGCGACCTGAGCGCTCTTACGACTGGTGTAAGTCGGACGGCAACCAGTCGCCGTCCAGTTTCTCTGAGTCGCACATGTTCTACTCTTACGACTGGAGACAACTAGTTGTCCCTAGTCTCAAGCGACATGAGCGCACCTACGACTGGCTTAAATCGGCGCTTCGCTGACGTAGCCAATAAGGTTCAGTTATTTAGTCACGTGGTACCCAGGGGCGGTAACAACCACGGGAGACAAGTGGAATGAGGCCATTTTGAAGGTTATCACGTGTCAGTCATGTGATGAGTTGTGGCTCCGATTCTTCAACTGATGCCGGGCGAAATGAGCAGGCTTACGACTATGATCAACTGGTTGCTCGTGGTTGCGTCCAGTCGTGGATAAATTCAGTCATAGCGACATAAGCTGTTGGTTGCCGTTAGTCGCCGCCAGTTTCATTGTGTCGTAGGGCGACATAAGCTAGGCTTTATACAAAATTTAAGGATTTCCCAAAAGTACTATCCAAGTTTCTTGAATTATATTTGGATGGTGAGACTCAATGTTTGAATCATTGTGTCCAATGTTTTCTAGTAAGTTGGATATCTGAAAAGACAAAATCAAGACTGTCTGTCTGTAGGTGTGTCATCAATGCTTTGTGGGTTCTGTTGCCTACCTATCCGCATGTGGGTCATTTTGTGTAATTTTTCTTTATTTTCTGCATATTTGTGTATTGCTTTGTCAAAGACCTTTTAAATGACCCTATTAATGACTTTCTGTGTAACTGAGATAATGATTTCATGAATACAGGTAGAGGTGCTATTTAGGTCAAAGTCCTGCTGATCATTTATTTTGTCATTTAGATTATTCATACTAAATTTCATCTTAATCCATACTAAAACAGGTCTTTGGTGGATTTGTTGTAAAATGACCCTGTTGCTCTTACCAGGTTTCCATTGAAGGCAAGCAAAATAATAGAATGATGTTTAAAGCATTAGTCCCGAAATCAATGGACATTTCATCCCATATATAATGATAATAATAGAATGATGTTTAAAGCATTAGTCCCGAAATTAATGGACATTTCATCCCATATAAAATGATAATAATAGAATGATGTTCAAAGCATTAGTCCTGAAATCAATGGACATTTCATCCCATATATAATGATAATAATAGAATGATGTTCAAAGCATTAGTCCTGAAATCAATGGACATTTCATCCCATATATTGTTCTCTATGCTTGTTTGTACTTAGGTTCAACTTTCTCTGTATGGAGATGCATTCCGTCTGCTGTGTGTTGTATATCTGTATTATCTGTATTTGTTTCAGTTTTTATCGTTGGATAATATACCTATTGGTAAGAATATCACAATGAGAGAGGGTGATAAGGTGAGTACATTCAATGTTTCATCTCTCTTCTTTCTTTGCCTGGTGGTTCACCCTTGTCAGTGATGCAGGATGGAGGGCCTGACAAATACAGCTGTCTAGTCGTTCGGATGGGACGGAAAACAGAGGTCCCGTGTAGACATTGGCATGCACGTAAACGATCCTGGCAAAATTTCCCTCATAGTACAATGTATGGCGTATGCCCGTCTTCTTTAGCCCAGTACGGAGCAGAACTATTAGGACGTTAAACCCCATTCCATTTCATTTCTTTGCCTGTCCATTCTCATGGGTTTTCTCGTGGTCCTCCGGTTTCCCCTCACTGCTAAAAACCCCTACGCACAAGGGAATTATGGAAATAAAATTGAACCATATGTTAGTCCCAAAATGACCTAGTTCATGTCGAGTGGACGTTAAACCCCATTTCTTTCTCTTTCTTCTTTCATAATATTATAGCTGAAATTTGGGTTGTGTTAAACACTCCTGCCCTCTCCTGGTTTTATATTCATCAGTATGACATTAAAAGTGTGTAGGAGACTAGAACAAAATAGTTATGTTAGTTTACAAAAGAATTATTATGGCACTCAACTCAACAATCTGGAATTGAATTCTCCCCATATGTCAAAAGGTATTAAGAATTTCTGGCTAGAAGTCATACCCGTATGGTAAACAAACACCACATTTGTTTTCTTTGTTGACAGAACTGTGAAACTCTATTGCCATTCCACCAATTGACATTGTTGTGTAATGATCATTGAGCACCCCATGTATAATTTGTAGAGTAAGAGTATTTAAAGGGAATTAACTCTTGTATTGCACACTGGAAACTGTCACTCGCCTAATACCTCAGCAGGCTCCAGTACCCTACATCTCGCCTCGGCTGTATGACAACTTCCGCGATTTGGAATTACTTTCAAGTTCCCGAATTACAAATGGTGGCACCCATGAAGACGCCTGTGAAGAGTGTTCTATCATACAAAGCTTTTAATGCCTGAAGCTGTTTTTCTTTCAAGTTTATCTGATTTTCTTTCAAAAAAGAAGTACTTTGCAATGAAAACTCTACACACTCTTTGAACGATGCCATTTTTATACGCCCACATGGAAATATGGTCGTATATTGCCATTGCATCATTTAAATTAGTGAAACGAAAAAGCCTATTGAATTTCAGCAATTTCCGTTAATTACGCCGTGAGTTATGGCCCTTGTTTCACTTTGTTGTACCTTGTGAATGCTCTAACGACAAAAGTTATTATCCGATCTGTATAAAATTTATATGCATCATTTAAATTAGTAAAACAAAGAAGCCTATTAAATTTCAGCCATTCCCGTTAATTATATCTAGAGTTATGGCCCTTATTTCACTTTGTTGAATCTTGTGAATGCTCTAATGACAACAGTTATCATCCGATCTATTTGAAATTGATATGCATCATTTAAATTAGTGCAACGAAGAAGCCTATTGAATTTCAGCAATTTCTGTTAATTACGCCGTGAGTTATGGCCCTTGTTTCACTTTGTTGTACCTTGTGAATGCTCTAACGACAAAAGTTATTATCTGATCTGTATGAAATTTATATGTATCATTTAAATTAGTAAAACAAACAAGCCTATTGAGTTTCAGCAAATTTCCGTTAATTACATCTAGAGTTATGGCCCTTGTTTAACTTTGTTGAATTTTGTGAACGCTTGAACGACAAAAGTTATCACTTAATCTGTATGAAATTCATATGCATCATTTAGATTAGTGAAATGAAGAAGCCTATTGAATGTCAGCAATTTCCGTCAATTACTTCTACTAGAGTTATGACCCTTGTTTTACTTTGTTGAACCTTGTGAACGTTCGAACGACAAAAGTTATCATCAAATCTGTATGAAATTTATATGCATTATTTGAATTAGTAAAACGAAAAAGTCTGTCAAATTTCAACAATTTCTGTAGATTACTTCCAGAGTTACGGCCCTTTTTTTAGTTTTTAGAACCTTGTGAACCCTCAAATGACGAAAATTAGAATGTCATCTGTATGAAATTGTCTATTAGATTCCCCTAATTACCTACAAAAGAATATATATGCGACAACCCTTGTCGACTGCCCGGACGATTTAGCTGCTGTGGGCGTATGTTTTGTTGTCTGGCAACCTATCTTTAGAACTTCTTTCTAAAAGTGGCAAGTTTTTCTGATATGTAAACCGATAGCTGCATCGCAACTGTATGGGTGTAGGTACATATCACTTACCGTCATACAGCCAAGGCTAGATGTAAGGTACCAGAATCTGCCGAGGTTTGCCGAGTGTGGAAACTGTCTCCCTGTGGTGTAAATAGTTTGGTTGAGAGAGTGTTGCCTATCCCACCACAGTATTATAATGTTTTTGGAGATAAACATTCCCCTGAAATAACATAGACATGGTTTTATTCTGAATTTTCCTCTGACAATGGACTTTGGTAGCCATTTGACATATGTATTTTTTTTCTATTGTAGTCTGTACTACCAGTAAAACTAACACCATTAGCAATTATTCCATTAGGAAATACAGAAAGAGGACAAAATCCTTTATTAAGGTATGTAGAATAATGCAGAGAAAGAATTTAGGCCATATTATCTTGCGTCATTTAAGAAAAACAAAAGAAAAAAATCATTCATATCAATTACCGCATGTAAATGTTTTTACTCAGTTACAGGAAGTAACTATATAAAATTCAGTGAATCCAGAAATGTTGTGTAGGCTCATTTATCAAGTACACAACCCTGATAAATGTTAATGACAATCATAAATGATACTGGATAATCATACATTCCTATAAACAGATAAATGTATTGCCTCGCAATGTGATGTGTAGGAGAAGTCATTTAGCCCAGTACAGCAGTAGTGATTCTTTGACAAAATAAAAATCTCCCTCCCACATCTACAGTGGCCCATATACGACTTTTAAATATTTTTTAGTTTTGGGTTTTGTTTTTTAGTTTTAGGTTTGTTAGGTTTAGGTCAGTGGAAACGTTTTCACCTAGGTGATAACTTATCACCTCGGTGGAAACGTTTTCACCTAGGTTCCAAAGAAGAGCGCAAATTAACTACACAGAAAGTGACGAGTATAACTACATTCTGAAAAACAAGAAAAGTATGTCATTCAGCAAAAGTGACGGATCCTGCCCGAAAACAAAAGATATTTGAAATAAAAAATACATAAAAAATTTGATTAATGTTTTATACGCTCAATATTATTTCGCTTATATGGCGATGTTGCCAGGATTATTGGGGGTGGGAGGGAGGTTGTATTTGTTCCGATAATTCCACATGGGGTCATGATCGTCAAAAGGGCGACGTCGCAACAGAACATGTAAGGGTAGGCTTCAAAACAATTTGAAGTAGATATTATCGTCTTTCATATGAAGCATACTTTATATTTAAAGTGAACATATAAGCTAAAATAAAGTATGCTTCAGTTGGGGCCTCCGCTACAACCCAAGATATATCCTTCCTTTAATTTAGGAGGGCGCAAGATCCAACACTAGGGAAAGTACCAAAATTTGTCGACCGGAATATTCTCGACCGGCCTTAGGTGGGATGGTTGCCAGGAACCGACTTGAGGTGAGGTCGGGGGCTTCCTTCGGGCATTGATCCCGGTTACCCCCTCCCACCCCCAATAATCCTGGCAACATCGCCATATAAGCGAAATCTTATTGAGCACATAAAACATTAATCAATCAAATTGTTTTATGTATTTTTTAATTTCAAATATCTTTTGTTTCCAGACAGGATCCGTCACTTTTGCTGAATGACATACTTTTCTTGTTTTTCCGAATGTTTTTCCGTAGGTATGACTACATTCGGAAAAACAAGAAAAGTATGAAGCATACTTTATATTTAAAGTGAACATATAAGCTAAAATAAAGTATGCTTCAGTTGAAAGACGCCACATAAGCTTCAGTCAATCAATCGATTAACATGACTTAAATATATTTATCCTGATGGTACTTAACGTAACTGTATAGCGAACAAATAATGTTTGGTGGTTTTATTGGTCGCTAGGATCCAACGTGAGGTAGGGGGCTTCTTCCGGGCATCGATGTACATTCCCTTGAAATTTGAAAATTTGTCACATTCACGTTGCGGGTGTTGCTCTGTTGTAAATACACACATTGTTTTATTCCATCAGATCTGTAATGGCTTTTTATGTTTCAGTAAAACAGGAGAGATTTTGGGTAGTAGAGATGATTTTAAAATGAATACATGTTATATACATAAAAGTGGCGCCATGTTGTTAGACATGTCATATATGGCTCTTCTACAGATGTCATTACAATTCCCACATTTACATAGTAAGTACAAGTCTTACATATTGTTCTTTTCTTACCAGATGGGACTACTGTAGTTGTGTGGTTTGGTCAATGACCCAGATACAAATATCTTTCAAACCAGGAATTAGGCAACTGTTACAGACATTGTCGGGCACTTATTCTTGCCTTGTCAGATACAAACATTGTCTGGCACTTATTTTTGTCTTATCAGACACAATCATTTTGGTTCCTGTCATTTTGTCCTGTACAGATTTGTCTTTTTGTGGTGTTTTCATTGATGTGTTTGATACGTGTGTACAGATTTGTCTTTTTGTGGTGTTTTCATTGATGTGTTTGATACGTAAAAAATATCAGGTACTAGTTACAAGGAAAATATGTCAGAACATCTGCATAGAACAAGAAAGAAGCCTCATGCACGATTATTGATAGTGCATGTAGCAATTGAAGTGCTGGGTGTTGCCACTGCAGTCACGATACAATACGTATTGCGATTCAGGTACTATATGATACGATTCTTATAACTATTCATAACCAGGTCAATATTTACCAAGAAAACAACAGAATAAATGAATAGTTGACGTCGAAGGGTATGGGAAGGATATTTAATTAAACGCCCGTCTGTTTATCTTGGCATTGATTCTATGTTATCAGGTGTGATTTATCTAGTTATTTCATTTTAGATACTGTTGAACCAATGGTGCCTATAGCTGAGGTTCCTGAAACAGACACGACCTCAAGTGCTACTTTAACAGAACAAATGGAAGAGTTACCTACCCCACCAGCAGCCGATGTATCTAGTAAGTGTTGGTTTCACTTTTATCTGAAATATCTTACCACAGTTTGGGCATTTTATGAAATTTTTGTGGGATAATTTTCAGCCAGATAGTGTGAGGCACATGTGGTCCTTTATGTTAAATCACTGAACACTCTGTAATTCATAATTTTATTATTCCACACTACAATCTGAAACCACATGGTCCACCATTCAAACTTCCACTCTTCCCAACCAACCCCACAGTCATTTCCTGTTACAGAACATACTGGAGTAATAAGCCAGACAGAGTTATGTCCCATGAATTACTTCACAGGTACAATGTACATGTACATGTATGTTAACACACTCCCCTTTTTTCTTTAAAGAAAAAGATTAAAGAATGTCACTGCAGAAAGTAATAAAAATAAATTGAAGTGAAACATCTATTCACCCAGTGGATAGTCAAAATTAAAAGTAAACATTGAAAAACAAAAACACATTAACATTAATTCAGTTTATCTCAAAACACTAGTCATTTTCATAGGATCTATTCAAAACTGCCACGTTGAAGAATGTTAATCAGGGATTTATTGGATGCGCCATGTTTTGTAAGACAGTCCGATAATTGATGGCAAGCTTCAACCCAAATGACTTTAGAAATGTCTCCATTACTTAACATCTGTTTAATACTCGCAATATCTATTCTGAGTCTTTTTTCATTGACAAGTTTGGTTGAATGTATATTCTCGAACAAGGATTTATTGTCCGTAAATATTTCAATTCTAAGTCGGTTCTGTTTCACACAATACAAAATTTCACTGTACAGACATCCTAAGAAATAAGCAGAATCTATGGCTTCTACCATGGATAGAGTTTCTGCAGCTAACGTACTTTTCACAATACGTCTTATTTTGTGGGACTTCCATGTAAGGGGACAACATTTACCACTAGAGTCAATAAGGAATATGATGTATCCAGCAGCACTTGATACTCCGTCACATAAATTTGCGTATGATGCATCACAATACACACCAAGATAAGCATTAGTTAAGTCAATTTGTGGAAACTTGATGGATACATCATCATATCAAATTTTCTTCATGAGTTTATTGACGCGAAGAAGATCTTGAACTTTTGGATCTTTAACGGATAAGCTTAATTCAAGTGCATCGAAACTTGCATCAGGGCGCGTTTGGTTGGTAACCCACAGTATCTGTCCAACAGCACTACGCAACTGTGTCAGTTCATTTTGATTGAGCGGTTCAGATTTCTGAGAAGCACGATTTGACGAAACAACAATAGGTATGAGTTCTTCTACATAAGATGACTGATTAACGACAATGGAGTCCAATCTGTGATTTACTTGTAAACCTATGTAACTAAATTCCCCATCTGCTCTTTTACCTATTTTAAAAATGTTCTGTAATTTATCCATGACTCTTTCCTTAAATGTAGGTGTGCCACACCAAATAAAATCATCAACATGCATCACTATTATTCCATTCAGAATGAAAGAAAAACAGCCCAAAGTCTATCTCACTTTGTTTACATTTTAACTTGACCAGTTCATCGCAAACTCTAAAATACCACTTTCGAGATGCATCATTGAGTCCATATACGCACTTTTTTAGTTTCCACAAAACTGAGGTGTCCTCATACTCTGTTGGTGGTGAGATATAAACATCTCTGTCCATATCTTGGCCTTGAAGGAAGGCAGCTTTAATATCTATTGTATTACATTTCCAAGAAAACGATGAAGCTAGAGACAGAAATATACGTAAAGTTTCTTTACTAGCTGTGGGTGAATCTGATTGGATAAATTCTTGTTCTTCAAAGCCTCTGGCCACCAGTCTTGCTTTTACACCTCTTTTTCCTTCAATTTCTTTTTCTGTTATCACCCATCTAGTAGTCAAATAAGGTTGTCCACAATATTCAACTTCATCAAACACGTCAAAATTTCTCCAGTTCTCTATCTCCTTATCTTTTGCTAATTTCACATCATATTCATCATGCCATGAAGGGGGTATAAACACAACATTACAGTCTGCTTGGTTATGATCAGCATCAGTGACAGTAGGATCATTGGTAATATTGATAGTGTCAAGTTTTGTCCACTGAGTAACACCATTATCAAAATTTACTACTTCAATGGAACTGTCACTTAAATGTTCAACATTAAACCAATGTTTATATTTTCCGGTGCTTTTACCAGCTCTACTTACTATTTTGGCTTGTATCCAGTTTCCATCTTTTGACTGATATTTAATTGTGTCATCTATTTTAAGTGATTCTGGAAGATTTATATGTGTTTGTTCACTTTTTTTTGTTCCCGTGCCGATTTCTGGTTCTCTATTGTTTGTTAGAGATGTTTGATTTGATGTGGGGGTGAGGGTATTTATAGAGGGTTGTTCTATGTCAGTGTCTTTGTTTTGAAATTCCTCGTCAACTCTAATTACTCGATATGCTGCTACGTGGACATAAACACTGCCATGTCTAATAAATACAATTTTATGGTCTTGACCTAAAACACGTCCAGGTCCTTTCCATTCGTTGCTAGATTCACGTTTATAATAGACTTTCTCACCAATACTAAAAATATCTCCGCATGGTCTTATTTGATGGCGAAGTGCGCGACGAATACGTTCTGATGACTCTGATTCAATGAATGATTTTCGTACTGAATGTAAGGCATTGAGATGCTTATAAAATACTTCGCTGTTTGTTGTGCCTTCAAGTGCCGGAGGCTTGTTTACACAAACGGAGGGTAAATTGGGGTTTCTACCAAAGACTAATTGGTACGGGCTATAACCATGTACCATCTGCAAAGAATTTTTAGAGTTTATTGCCCAAACCAATGCAGTCTCCAAATCTAGTCCTGGATTTTCTGACAAAACTTTAGTTACATTGTCATCAATAATAGAATGATTCCTCTCACATATCCCATTTTGCCACGGACTCATTCCGGCAGAATTCCAGACTTCTACATTAAGATTCTCCGCCATATCCCTGTATAAATCATTTGAAAATTCACCGCCATTGTCAGTAAGAAATTTATTTGGTGGGCCCATTCCACTTCCAATCCACAGTCTCATTACTTTATCAATAATTGTTGATGGAAGTTTATTCTTTATGATCGCAGCTAAACTAAATCTTGTTGCTATATCTATCAGATGGAGGAAATACACACCAGGGCGCCATTCTTTCAAGTCCATTGCCACTATATCATTGAATTCCGTTGTTAATGGCAATGAGACAACAGGTCTGGGTGGAGTCTTCTTAAAGCGTTTACAAATATCACAACTATTTGTAACATTTTCAATAATTTTGGCAGTTTCAGGACTTTTATCACCAGCGTCATTTAACAAAGCTTTTAGTCTCTTGCTTGATGGGTGGGCAAATTGTTTATGTAATTTTTCTAATGCCTTTTCTTTATCTCCCTCAATCAGATTATGTATATTGAACAAAACGTCAGTTGTTTCTGTCGGCATATTTGTATTACAAATCGGGATACTGTAGTGGCCAGCTGATGTGCACTGTAAATCTACATTTTGTCCAAATATAGTTGCCTGATCTCTCCTTAGATCTAAGACAACATCAGCTTTCTTCATTGTTGGTTTTCCAAGCAATAATGGTATATCGCAATCAACCACATCTGCAGATATACGACATGACACACCAGCGATTTCACAGGGAAATGTCACTTTTTCTTTGGACTTAAAACACTGGCCACTACCAAATTTAAAGATAGTATTACTGTCGGTTCTCTCAACAGTTTTTAATATACTATTCAAAAAAAGTAGGGGATATTTGATTTTTAAGTGTTATTAAAGTCACCTAATGAAACTGACAAAGAAACAAATGACAAAATGAAATGAAGTTCACATTCATCGATTTATTCCAAATGATCGTTAGACTAAGTAAGGCACAGACTGACCATTATAAGGGTAAAATGATACCCGGGGTCCAACAGCAAAGTTACCACAGCATCACAACCAAGTCAGTAACGGGTAAATCCTCCTCTGTTTGCCAAACAAGCATTGATCCGACGTGGCATACTCCTAATGAGACGTCTAAGGTCATTTTGGTCCAGATTGTCCCATTCCTGTTGCAACGCAGCAGCAAGTTCTTGGACATTGGCAGGATGTTGTTGACGTTGACGTAACCTCTGTCCAAGCATGTCCCGGACATGCTCGATGGGGGAGAGGTCGGGACTCAGTGCTGGCCAAGGTAATGTGGTGATGTTCTGTTGTTGGAGGTAACCTGTAACGATCCTGGCCCTGTGACATCTTGCGTTGTCATCCTGGAAGATGAAATGGCGGCCATGACGTCCGAACGGCACAACATGGACTGCCAAGATGTTGTCCCGGTAGTACTGGCCTGTAACACGCCCTGCAACAACATGTAAAGCCATTCTTCCAGCAACAGTGATGCCTCCCCACACCATAACAGAACCACCCCCAAATCGATCATGTCTGATGACGTTAACGTCTTGGAAGCGCTCGTTTCGACGACGCCACACCCTCCTACGTCTGTCCAAAAAATCAACAGTGAACCTTGACTCATCTGAAAACATCACATTGCTCCAGCGTTGATTATCCCAGTGTTGACGATCCCTACACCAACGACGTCTTGCCTGAATGTGATGATCTCTCAAACAAGGGATCACGCGAGGACGTCGGGCGCGAAGGTGACCCATATGCAGTCGATTCCGAATCGTCTGGCCACTCACTCTCACACCAGTGTCTGTTTGAAGACGAGCGCTGATCTGATTTGCTGTGATGACACGATTTCTCAAGGCCAAGGTACGGATAAATCGATCCTGGACTTGAGTTGTCGCCCTTGGTTGACCTGAGCGTGGTCTGTCCTGTACAGATTGTGTATCACGGTATCTGGACCATAGCCTGCTTATGACAGACTGAGAAACATTCATCGTCCGCGCCACAACCGCCTGTTTTGTGCCGATCTGTAGCATGCCAAGGGCACGTAACCTTTCATTTTGGGTAAGCCGACGCATATCAAAATTTGTTTTCTGGTCACTATAAC